ATCCAATCTGATAGCCTGTGTCTTTTGATTGGGGCATTTAGCCCATTTACATTCAGGGTAACTATTGAAAGATATGAATTTAGTGCCATTGTATTGCCTGTAAGGGGACTGTTACTGTATATAGTCTGTGTTCCTTTCTGGTCTATGTTACTTTTAGGCTCTCTCTTTGCTTAGAGGACCCCTTTCAATATATCTTGTAGGTCTAGTTTTGTGTTTGCAAATTCTTTCAGTTTTTGTTTGTCCTGGAAGCTTTTTATCTCTCCTTCTATTTTCAATGACAGCCTAGCTGGATATAGTATTCTTGGCTGCATATTTTTCTCATTTAGTGCTCTGAAGATATCATGCCAGTCCTTTCTGGCCTGCCAGGTCTCTGTGGATAGGTCTGTTGCCAATCTAATGTTTCTACCATTGTAGGTTACAGATCTCTTGTCCCGAGCTGCTTTCAGGATTTTCTCTTTGTCTCTGAGACTCGTAAGTTTTACTATTAGATGTCAGGGTGCTGACCTATTTTTATTGATTTTGAGAGGGGTTCTCTGTGCCTCCTGGATTTTGATACCTGTTTCCTTCCCCAAATGAGGGAAGTTCTCTGCTATAATTTGCTCCAATATACCTTCTGTCCCTCTCTTTCTTCTTCTTCTGGGATTCCAATTATTCTAATGGTTTGTCTTACGGTATCACTTATCTCTCGAATTCTGCCCTCGTGATCCAGTAGTTGTTTATCTCTCTTTTTCTCAGGTTCTTTATTTTCCATCATTTGGTCTTCTATATCACTAATTCTCTCTTCTGCCTCATTGATCCTAGCAGTTAGTGCCCCGATATTTGATTGCACCTCATTAATAGCCTTTTTTATTTCTACCTGGTTAGATTTTAGTTCTTTTACTTCTCCAGAAAGGGTTTCTCTAATAACTTCCATGCCTTTTTCAAGCCCAGCTAGTATCTTTAAAATCATCATTCTGAACTCTAGTTCTGACATCTTACTAATGTCCATATTGATTAGGTCCCTGGCAGTCGGTACTGCCTCTTGTTCTTTTTGTTGAGGTGACTTTTTCTGTCTTGTCATTTTGTCCAGAGGAGAACAGATGAAAGAGAGAACAAAATGTTAACGGGGTAACAACGTCCCCAGAAAATATACTCTAAACAAATCAGAAAAGACCTGAAGCCAGGGGAAAAGAAAGGGAAAGAAAGAAAAAAGAAAAAAAAAGAAAAAGATAAAAACAAACAAAAACAAAACAAAACAAAAATAGAATATGATCAAATATGATCAGGCTGGTGCATAGATCAGTGCCACACACTAGATTTTGGGCATATTTTGGTCTGTTAGAGAAAGTGCCTCCCAAAATTGTAAAGAAAGAAAAACTTATATATGTACAAAAATAAGGGTTAATATGATGAAGGGATGGAATATGACTGTAAAGATGAAAGTTATAAAAGATTTTATAAAAGGAATTGATAAGAAGTTGGTTGAAAAAAGAAAGAAGAGGATTTTAAAAAAGAGGGGGGGAGAGAATGTGATCAGGCAGGTGACTAGAACAAAGCCATACACTAGAGATTTAGGGTATATTTTGATCTGTTAGAAGAAACTGTATCCCAAAATTTTAAGAGAGAACAATATATATATATATATATATATATATATACCAAAAATAAGGTTAACTACTATGAAGGGATAGAATGTGACTCTAAAAATGAAAAATAGAAAAGATTTTTTTAAAAAAAGGATTGATAAGATGTTGTTTGAAAAAGGGAATAAGAAAAGTTCAAAATAAAACAAAGAAAGAAAAAGAAAAAAGAGAAAATTTAAAAAATTAACTTTGAAAGACTAAAGAATCATGGTAAAAAACCCATGAATTTTATGTGCAGTATTCCCCTAGCCCTGGAGTTCTGCCATTCTCGTTGATCGGTAAACTTGGTCTTGGCTGGCTGTTCTCGCTGATCTTCTGGGGGAGGGGCCTGTTGCCGTGGTTCCCAAATGTCTTTGCCAGAGGTGGAATTGCCCTGCCCTTGCCCGGTTAGGGCTAAGTAATCTGCTCAGGTTTGCTCTCGGGTGCTTTTGTTCTCTGCAAGCTTTCTGTACAGCTTTGGAGGTGGAGAGTGAAAATGGGGGCCTCCCAATCTCAGTCCTGGAGGAGCCGAGAACTCGGGCCCCACTCCTCAGTGCGCCCCCAGAGAAAAGCAGTCAGTCACTCCAGTCTCCCCGGCCTCTGGCCGCACTCCATGCTCACCTGGCCTGTGACCAAGCGTTTTTTATCTCTGGCACCCGACCCCCATGTGGAGTCTTCAAACCCAGCAGATCCCTGCGCTGTGCTCCCGTGCTGCTCCTCCCTGGGGAGGAAGGGGAGTCTCCCCTGATCTGCCACTTGTTGGGTCCCTGCTGGAGGAACAGTGGCCCGACTGTGCTGCGGATCACAGTTTATGGCAACCCCGAGCTGAGAGCCCGCGCCTCGGCTCCCTCTCTGCAGCGGGCTTCCCCGCTCCGATACCTGGGAGCTCTGCTGCCCTCAGGCACCCCCAGTCTTTCTGTGACCCCGAGGGTCCTGAGACCACACTGTCCCAGCGAGTGTTCCACCCCCACTTAGCCACTGGAGCGACGTCCCTCAGCGGAGCTGACTTCTAAAAGTTCTGATTTTGTGCTCTGCGGCTCTATCACTTGCCAGAAGTGGCCCACGGAGGCCCCTCCCCCGCCGTCTATTCTCCGAATATCGCCTCAGATTCACTTCTCCGTCCGTCCTACCTTCCAGAAAGTGGTCGCTTTTCTGTTCAGAGAGTTGCTGCTATTCCTTTCTTCGATCTCCTGTTGAGTTCGTAGGTGTTCAGAATGGTTTGATCCCCATCCAGCTGAAATCCTGGGACCAGACGAAATCCAGATCTCCTACTCCTCCGCTATCTTGCTCCCCCCGCCCACGTTCCACTTATATTTTTATAACAATGTCTCTTTCATCTCTTTTTCTAAAAGCCCTAATTGCAAACCCACACTGTCACCAGCATTCCTGATCTCTCTTTCCCTACTCTGTTTTCTTTTCATAGCCCTATCACCTTTTTACATATAGTATAAATTACTTACTTATTTTGTTTATTGTATCTCTCCCCCTGCCTCCAAAAGGGTAGGGACTTTTATTTGTTTCATTCACTCCTATACCTCTAGTGCTCCTCATAGGTTATGCCATAGAGTAGTAGGTGCTCAGTGAGTGTTTTGAGTGAATGAATGTCAAGTGTGGATTTGTATCCACGTCTTTCTCCCAAGCACAATAAGAACTTTAGTGCTCTTCTGGTTTCCTTTCTCACCTCTCATCCTCTCCTCACCCTCCATCCTTCCTAGTATGCTTTATGCTTATGTTAAGATTCCCTGGAATTTAATTCCGGATGGTTGTGAGGATTCTTGTTTTGCAGCCTACTCATTTAGACTTGGCAATATGTTTTACAAATGTCTTTGCTCATCAAAGCTTCTTGTAGCTCTTGTATTCATTTTCCTCTCTCAGAAATATACTTTTGTATATTTTTTTTCAGAGAGAATCTGTAGATGGTAAATTTGGGGGGTCTTTGTATATCTAGAAATGTCTTTATTCATCTCCAATCTTCAGTGATACTGTGGCTACATACAGAATTCCAGGTTTAAAAAATTTCCTCGGGGCGCCTGGGTGGCTCAGTTGGTTAAGTGACTGCCTTCGGCTCAGGTCATGATCCTGGAGTCCCTGGATCGAGTCCTGCATCGGGCTCCCTGCTCGGCAGGGAGTCTGCTTCTCCCTCTGACCCTCCCCCCGCTCATGTACTCACTCTCTCTCATTCTCTCTCTCTCAAATAAATAAATAAAATCTTTAAAAAAAAAATTTCCTCATAACTTTGAAGGTATTGAAGATGTTACCCCTCAGTGGTGAGGTTTTAAAAATGTATACTAATTATGATCTGGTATAGTAATTATTGTTGTTGTTTGTGTGGTTTTATCCTAATTGGTGCTCAGTAAGCCCTTTCAGTGTGAGTGCTACATTCTTTTTATAGTTAACTTTGGAAGTAGCTGTGCCAGGCACTGGGTTAAGCAAAGAGAAATGAAATAAGATGTGACGAAGGCCTTCCTCGAAGAATTTGCAGTGTAGTGGACAAATCACACGAGTAACTAGATAGTGGTGATGCACTGGACTAAGGGCTACGAAGTGGGAAGCACTTAGTACAGAGGGTATTTCTAGAGCATGGAAGAGAACATCTCACCAAGTCAGAGGGCACGTTTGTGCATGATGTGTAGCTTAGGCCTCGAGTGCCTTATGTCTGGGTCTCCAAAGACTGGGATTTGAACTCAGGGTGAGTGTAGAATACAATCCACACACACCAGTTAGTTCTAATCACAGGCTCTACCAGACATCAAAAAGGACAGGAGAGCGTCAGGGACAGTCGGTCCATCTGGCCAAGCATATCTTGCTGGTGTCTCCCCTCTGTCCAGAGAGGTGGCAACTGTCAGCGGCTGTGTAGGCCAAGAAACCTCCCAGATGTGAGAAGGACCCATAAAGAGGCTCTTAGACTTTTACCCCACATTTCCCACCCCCAGTGGAAAGTCTCAGGAGCCAGAGACCCCTTCCACTGTCACACAAAGGAGTGTTATGCTAGCCAGCAGGCCACACCTCCCAGGCCATGTGATTGGAATCCATGTCCTGGAATTATTGCTGAGCCTTACTTATCCAGTCTTTCTCCTTCTCTATGTAATTTGTGCGTTGTAAACCCCTCTGTTTACACATGCACAAATTCTATTTGAGGTCTACCCCAGGGGCTTTTTAGTAGACAGGCCTGGCCTATCAAATTAGCAGTGTGACCTCTTAATGTATGTTCTTCATTTTGCATCTTTTCTGGTCACTGAAAGATTTTGGGGGCTACTCTCTATTAAAAAGCAGCCCTCCTTGGGAATATGTAGGTGCTAGGTTTCAGGCTCTGAGACCCGCGAGTTTTGCAGAGGCCAGTGGGTAGCCCGTTTGTCCTCCATCCTCCTTCAGTTCGTTGCCCACTCTCTATGCTGACAGGTTCACGAGGATACGTATCACATGCAACAGGGCCTGCAGGAGCGAGTGAAAAACTGCAAGAGGATCAGGACGGACCAACGCTCCGTATACCTTCAGAGGGTAGAGTGCCAACAGCTGGAGCAGAAGCTGAAGCAGGCAGAGGCCTGGTTGCTGCGGCTGGGACAGCTGGCCCGCCTAGTAGACTACATGATTTGCCAGAGCCTTGTGTCTATCGTAGAGGAGGAGATAACCTCCTTTGTGGCCAACATGCTGCAAGTGAGGTGGTGGGTGGCATGTGGGGAGGTGGGCAGAGGCAGGCAGCAGACACTGACATGTAGCCCCCTGACCTCTCCTGGCCCTTCCTTACAGGCCCCAAGGAAGAAACCCTTTCTCTCAGCCCAGCTGGTCTTTGACAATCATGGCCAGCTGTCTCATGAGCCGTGTATTGAAAATATGATCCAGATTTTAAATGTGGGCCTGCAGTCTGTCAAGGCCTCTGTCCTGAAGGTATTCTGGATTGGGCAGGGGGCTGGCTGTAGGAATTCCCAATTCCTATCCTCTGTGTAATTAGAAGCTCTCAGCCTGGTCTGAACCCTCACTGGTTTCCATTTCTGCCCCCTCTACATACCTTGGCATGAAGGTAATGCAATCTCCAGACCTGAAGACCCCCTGCGACTCCTTGTATTCTGAAGGTATTTAAGTAAGGAGACTTAGGCAGGGGGCAGGGAGGGTGGAAGGAGGGGGACAGGCACATGCACAGTATCAAGGGCATGGCCATAGAATCAGACCTTGGGTGTGGATGGAACAGCTGTATCTGGGTAGTGCACACAGGTGTTGGGGGGGCATGTTTTTGCTCACTCAGGTGTGTGCTTGTGTGTATGTGTGTGCATGCAGTCGAGTGGAATGAGAGGTGTATGAAAGAATGTGAGTGAGTACATTGTCCTTCCTCTGGTTCATCCAAACTCTGTGAGGCTTTTCTCTAATGTTGTAATGGCATTTTGTTTCCTGTTAAATTTGATTGCTAAGTTAATTTGTACTTACTTGAACTCTGCTTGTTCAATATTTGCTTTATTTCATACAGCTCTTTTTTATTTCATATAGGATAATCCATTAATATTATTGAGCCATTATGGTTACCAGTTATTACTGGTTATCAGTCCTCAAACTTGTGAACCACCAGGGAGGAAATACATCTTCACACTTCCTTTATTTGGAATACTAACCCAGTTACAAATAAAATCAATACAGGCATTCAGTCACATCTGACATGTAGGTGCTCCCCCCGCCCTTAATTCAACTAGTATGTTTTCATGAAGATGATTTAAAGACATGAAGTTAATTTTAGGAAATAGGTGACAGGGGAGGAAAAGGTTCATTGAAAGGAGTCCATGTCTTTTACGGATGACACCAATTTGGGCACATTCTTTTCTCAAGTGAATCTAGGATAATGGGTAGAGACAACTGATGTTTGTTTACATGATACAGTGGGACCAAACATGTTAGTTTACTAACCTATAACATGGGAATAAGAAGAATACCTAACTTGCAGGATTAAAAGAGGTAATATGTCTAGTGTAGTGCTCAGCACGTAGTGATACATGCTATAGATAGTAATTTCTTACTGTTACTAGTATTAAAGATAGAAATAAACCAGATATTTCACATTATTCTCCCATTTAATACTAATTCGTATTTTGGCATACTGTAGTAATTTTCTTTGAATGGCAAAACAGATAAAAACCTTAAAAATTTTATTCTAAGTTCTAATGAAAGTGAAAATGTTTACTTGCAGTGTCTTGGGTTACCCCTTCTACTTTTTTTTTCTTCGTGGGCAGCAAAGCAAAGTTTACTGGGCGATAGGCCAAAGCTCCCAAAGAGGGAGGGGACCCGAGAGGTTTGCCCACCCCTTCTACTTTTAAAAGAACACCATAGACTGATATATTTAGGGGTTAAATGTCCTGATGCTTGTTATCTTACGTTCACATGTTTTAGGGGAAAGAGAGGAGGAAAAACAAACAAAGCAATGTGACAAAATGTTAATAACTGTTGAATCAAAGTGGATGGATAAAGGGATTTGTAGTACCTTTAAACTTCTCTACATATTTGAGATTTTTCGGAATCAAAATTTGAAGGAAAAAAAAAAAAGATCAGCATGGAAAATCGAAGTAATAACATGGAGGAACCAGAACCAAAGTTCTGATTTAGGGATTTTCTTAAGTTCTTTATGAAAATTGGAGTAGCATTTAATAAAAGTAAATACTGAGTAGTTAAAACACAACTAGTAGTCTTTAAGAAATGTACATCTATCTGAGAAATCTTTTACTTAAGTGAGGCAAAATTTGCATGGCATTTTAACCAAATTACAAAATGATTTTGGTGCCTCTGTGTATATTTTCAAAAATATGAAAAATCAGCCCCTTACAGTAGAAACTTACACACTGACTAGGTTCTGGTCCCTAGAAGAAGACCCAGCCTATTACTAATAAAACAGGTGCAGCATATCCTGCAGTCTTAGGCTGCATTCTCCAACATTTTCCAGAGAACAGTCTTAGTACTGGAACATTTTGCAACTAAAAAGAGATGATCAATATTGTTATCTGATGTCCTTACAATCTTATCAGGAATTTTCTGCAATTTAAAACTGGGAAATTACAACTGGATAAGATTTTTCTCATCTGGCAGGTGTCAAGTTCAGGAACTTAAAGTTTTTATATTAACTTTACCAAGATCAGTGTATCTTTTTGATATTTTATGATAAACTTTTTTGTATATGTTTTGGTTGGGATGGCTTTGAAGTTAGCTGAGAGATATAATGCAAAGAATGAACCGGTCATTATTGTATTTTTTTGCCAGGGGGCTGCATGTGGCTGGGGGCGGGGGGCGGGTGTCTTGGGTGTGTGAGGTATGAACAGTATGACCAGCAAGAGAAAGAATAGAGGTAAGCAGTGTAGCAGTGAGTGGATTGATCATTGAAAGAGAAGAGAGACTTTTTTCTTGCCACTCTGTGACTAAGAAATTCTGAAGAGATGAAGAGTTGTATAAATATGCTTGACAAGCCGCTTTGCTGCTGTGTGTAAAATGTCTGAGTGACTCATTCAAAGGAACCTACAGTGAACGTCTATATTATTTGGTTTTTCACCGTTGGATTGACATTTTAAAATGCAGCTCCATGTTGACTTTTGTGTTTCTTTGATTTAGTTGATATCAGACTTCTTATCATAAGCAAGCTTTATTTTACTCTTATGTTGGCTATGAAGTAAGTTATTAGTGATTTCCGTTTTGTTTTGTTGGGATATCGCAGTCACCAAGTTGTGTTAAAAATACACTAGCTTTTCTTCCCATTGCTCAGAATCACACATGAATCGACTGTATCGCACCATATTGCTTGAGCGCTCTCGTGGGTCTTGGCACCTTGAATCACAGTTCTTCAACCTCGTCTTGTGTTTTGGAGCTCACAAAACGGAAAGTGACCAAATTCAAAGACAGAAAAGCTGTGGCAGCACCATGCTTCACAGAAATGGAAAAACTAGGTTGTCAGGAAGAGAGCCCTGTCTCTCAAGTTGCTGCTTATCCTTTTATCTCAACTTCTCTCTGTGCTTCTTCCCAGTTCCCCTGACTCTCCCCTAAAACGAGCTGTCTCTGCCTCCTTTGAACTTTCTGCTCCCTTATAACTTGCTTCCAAATGACTTGGGCTTTCTATGGTACCAACTCCATCCTTGACTCGATACGGTCTTTCAGTTTTCCTGGATGTGTGACTGACTTATTTCAAATTTTCAAGACCAGGAATATATTGATTCAGCCTATCCTATAGAGAGAACCACATATCCATAAGCTCTGGCAAAGGGGAATTGGGTTATGGTACAAATTAATTGGTTTTAGCTATAAGGAAAAGCAGATCCTCTAAGAAGGGTGTGTTTGGTGGAGGCTCCAATCTTCAGCTATGCTTGTATTGGCTACAAACATTCATTATGTAGGCCTAAATGTGCACATTGGTTTTGGGTAACATATTTCTGACTTAGAACTCGGTAAGCAAAAAGGGGAATTTATTGACTCCCATAACTAAGAAATACCTGGATGCAGCTAAATTCAGGCTCAGCTGGATTCAAGGCCCAGGCAATGTCATCAAGGCTTTATTTCTCTTTCTTAGTCTTTTGACTTTGCTTGTGTGTTCAAATTCTGAGTCACTGAGAATGCTTTCAGTGGAAGTAACAGAAGACCTAAGAGTAGCCTAACAATAACAACAATTATCTCACATAGCAAGAAGTCTCTAGGTAGATGCTCCCAGGGTTGGTTCAGTGGCTCAAAGATGTCATCAAGAGTCAGGCTCCTTATATCCTTCCCCTACTCCTTTCTGAGGTCAGCTGTAGGTAAGGGCAAATTCTCTTAGAGGGGTGTGTGTGGCAGGGGAGGCTGAATTAGAAACGTTTTCATCCCAAGGCCTCATAGTTGCAAGACAAGCTCCAGCTCCAAGCATCCCATTCTTATGCAAGATCAGGGGAAAAGGGGAGGAACATTGGAGGGAGATCTCTCCTTGCCTGACTCTCACATTTTATCAGGAAAGGAAATCTTCCAGAAACTCCCCAGCAGACTCACTTTTATATCTCATTGTAAAAATCTAGGTCATGTGGCTACCTCCAGCAGCAAGAAGGGCTGGGAAATCAAATGGCTGACATTTCTAGTTTCTCACAGAAGATGGGCTCTTCCACTGCAGAAGAAGGGAGAAGGGAGTAGCTCTTGGGTAGTCAGCCAGTATGCCTTCCAAGGTTCCATTCTTCCATTCTCAAAACGTGGCAAGCAAGAGAGTTACCAGCATTCTCTATAGCATCATTTCATACTGTATTATTTCCCTCCTAATAATTTATATTTAATAAAACCTTATTTAATTTTAGTTCTACAAGTAACAATATATTTAAGCTAACCAGCAGTCTTTATGTTGATTGGTCTCTCAGTAATTGTGTGAAGCTCATTCTCTATTTAGATTCCTTAGGAAGGGTTTGTGGGAGCAAAAATTTATTTTCCTTTTTTCCTGGATACCTGGACATTTTTTTTTCTTGAAATTCAGTAATTTTAGTAGAATATGTCTTGTTGTTGAACATTCTGAGGCAGTGTCCTCAATTATGCTCTTTCAAAATGTAGTTTCTGCTTTTGTTTTTTAAAGATTTATTTATTTATTTGAGAGAGAGTACTGGGCATCTAATTTCTGAACATTTCGATGCTTTTCCCCCCTTTTTGCACAAAGTTTTAACACAAATACTGAAATTGGCAATTAACCAGTTTCTAAGAAGTTAAAGGAGAAGCCAGGCTCAAGGATATTCCTTAAGACAGATACTAAGGACAGCCATGTTCAACAGCTTTATCCACTCCTCCTCTGTTCTACAGAGGCTGGAGTTCTACGAACTACATTTCCCAGATCTCCTTGCAGCGAGGTGTTGTATGTGATTTAGGTGTGCATGGGACTTCAGTTCACACAGAACTGAGGTAAGAGTGGGAGAGAGGCAGCGCCTATGCCTTCCATTCTGCTGGAGGCGATCGTGACAGAGGTAGTGTGCTTCTGTGGCTGGTGGTGTGGAAGGGACATCCCAATTTGCCAGGCAGCACTGAGCCATGGATGCTTAGCCTAGAGTGTTTGTTTTTCAGTTCTTCCAACTATCTGCAAACCATTTAATATTCTATAATAATTCCCTTACTGCTTATACTAAATAAATTCTGTTTTCCAAACCTGAACCCTAAATAATAAATTCCCTCAGTGGGTCTGTGTTTGTGATATAGATGTATGTGTAAACTCACTCAGGAGCAAGGAGTGTGTGTGTGTGTGTGTGTGTGTGTGTGTGTGTGTAGAGACAGAGGTTGTGTGGGGACCCTGCAGGGTACTCAATGGACAATTATGGCATGTGCCCCACTAGAAGAAGATGAAGAGGAAGATTCGAACACGGAATTGGTGATGCCCAAGCTCCAGGGCCAGCCCAGCGATGCTGTGCACATCTTCTGTGGCCCGAATATAGGGTTGGTGTGGCCCTGGAAATCTCACACTATTACCGAAGCCCTAGAGGTCCGTGGGTACCGGCTACGGGGCCAGTACTTGCCCCCCAATTATAAGCAGCTGCAAGAGGATCTGGACAACAATCCTCGGATCCAGCAAGCACTGACTACGCAACAGGCCTTGCTGGAGGTGAGAAGAGAGGTTTAAGGCGGGGGGTGATGCCCACTAATTCCTGTCATAAGCACCTTGTCTGTGCCTAGGGCATGCTGTGGGAGGTGAAGGAATTCTGCAGGGAACATCACTGGATGACAGGCATTCATCAGTTCCTGCAAGCCTGGGGGCCTCAGAAGCTGGAGTCCATGAGAGGTTGTCCTCTCAAGAACTACGTGATGCTGGTGGGCTGCCTGAACATTTGGCAGACCCATGTCTCCAATATACCTGACAAGTTGGTCACAAAAGGCAGATTGATGCTGCTGAAATGCCATCACATACAGTCAGAGATGGGTGAGTGCTGCTTATCCTCTTTCCTTTCCTTCTGCCTTCCTTGTCTCATCCGCTTGGCCCTCCTCTGGCCTGGAATGTCCTCCAAGTGCTTTTGGTGAAGGCCCCTCATTGGACCTGTAGAGCCTCCCAAAGGCCCAGGTCCCAGGCCCTTCCCTTTGCAATGAAAGGTGTGACCATTACAGAGGATAGCCTCTCTATCTGCTTTGGCCCTGCTCACTCCCCATACTCTTCAGGAGTCATGTTTCTGTCACCTGACACTTTCTATTTTTCTGACCTGGAAGTAGTTTAAATCAAATGTGACTGAGAAAAATCTTAACGTACTCCTTAGGCTCGTGAGCTCAGTTTCTTTGCAGATATTCTCAGGAATCAGGAGTGCCCCTCCCCACGGATGCAGCGGAGTCAAAATTGACAGTATAATTTGCATGTATAAAAAGTTATTCTCTTTAACTGTTATGGTCTTACTCTGTAGTCATAACTTCTGCAGATGCTGAGAGAATGTATTCCAATTGAACGTGAAAGCATTTTTCATTTAAAGCAGCACTTAGGGTCTAATTCAGACTATTTTGGGTATTTGATCAATTCAAAATTCATTCTACAGTTCTGGGTTGTTTTTATTCTCAAGTGCCCTCTGTTCTTCTTCTCCCGCAAGGTGGCATCTGGCATTAGAGAGGGCTGCTGGGCTGTGTGCTCTTCTTTGCTGGCTTCTGTCTGCCCTTACCAAGTGTAATACATCTCTGCCTGGCCTCTGCCCTCCTTCTAACTAGCTGCTTCTGGTGCAGCTGTGGCCTGAGCTGGTGTAACTATATATGTTCTCTTGGCTGGTGGAGCCCATAGTGTCTACCTTTGCTGACTTGGGCCTCCATTAGCTCCTGCTGGCTTTGCAGGCCCTTGGGATTTTAGTGAACCCTTCATCTAGTCTTCGTCTTAGGCTGGCTAGCCCCATAGCTTCTGCTTTAGGGTCCCTCACCCCGCTGCATGGAACCCATCCAGGCCCACTGGTTATTAACTTTCCATTGTCTTCTGTGTCTCCTGCCATTTGGGACTTGTGGGGGACTTGGGAGCAATGTATTTGGCCCTCTCTTTGCCACAAGGCACCACACTGTGATTTCTACGCTGGCATGACTATCTCATGTTGGCACATGGGTACTCTGCAGTGGTAACTTCCTGAAGTTCCACATGGAAAGCGGAGCTCAAGCCCACTCTGTCATCTGTTTCCTCTTCAACCCATCTGGGTTTCCTTCTTGTCTTGGTTTCCCTCTGTCCCCTGAGTAGGCCAAGGCCCAGCTGTCGGGTCTCCCTGGGTCTCTGAGAAATCCTCTTTAAGACTTCATTTTGTTCCTGTTTTTTTCCTCCCTTCCAACAGGAAGGATGTCTCGTGCTATTGTTTACTAGCTAAAGTGTCTCTGCCTAGAAGCTGGTCTTAGAAAGGCTCACAGTGGGGTAGACCGGAAGCCACTGATTTGTTCTTCTAGGGAACAGGAGGTGGTTCTGTTTTCTCACCTAGCTCCCAATAACCAATAGTGTCTGCTTCCTGCAAAGAGTAGATACTGTCAGACCCATGGCCTGCATGCGTGCTTTCTTTATGAAGGTGGGTGGCCTTGGGGGACCCTGAAAGAGCTTGCTTGAAAATGCTTGCCTGCCTTGCCCTTTGTCTTTGCTCTTCAACAGATGAAAACGCATGCCTAATTATGCATCTTTTGGGCCACAAAAATTCCCCACTCTTCCCTCCCTCCACCCCACCTAAATGTACAGGGGGTTCAGGCTGGCATGGCAGGAACAGGGAGGGCCTGTGGCTGGCCTGCTTTGTTTCTGACCCCGTTTTGGGAAGGCTTTCTCCAGTGTTGTTCGGGAAGTCTCTGTTCTTCCTCGTTGGTTAGATTCTTGGTCCTTAGTCCAAGATCAACTGGCCTCTTCAAAAACAACAGATGGAGAGAGAAAAACATGGGGTTCAGAATCCTGGGTCTGCTTTTCACTGGTTTGTGTGACCTCAGGTCCCTGGGCTTCATTCAGTTTATTTGTTTGTAACAGGGATATAATAATGCAGTCACTCACAGGGTTCTGACAAGGAAGAGTAAATGAGATATTATTTGCAATGTTTCTAGCATTGAGACAGGCATGCAGTAGGTGCTTAATTTTTTCACTTAACCTTATCCCCTTCTCTCTACCCTTATCCTTCTTGTGATCTAGTTTTGTCTGCTTATCCTCCAACTCTGTTCCTCTTCTGCCTGGGCTTCCTTGAACTGTGAATGACGTAGTCACTCTTGTGAGTTAGCGCCCATCCTTTATTCTTCCCTCTCCCGGACTCCACCACATCCAGGCTGTCACCAAATCCCTCCCATTTTCTGCCTGCTAAATCTCTCTTAAGTCTGTTTCCCATCCGTCTCCAATTTCTAACCCCCAGCAGCCCTGGTATTTCCAGCCTATCGCTGATTTAGACCGTCCCATGTCACTGTTGAGCTCCTCTCTGCCCTCACCTGTCTGCCCCTGTGGCTCTTAAAAGCAGCACCAGCCCAGCTACTGTGATGGGCCCCAGGGATCATTTGTAAAAGGTTAAGTTCTCTTCTTGGTGTTCTCTTCAACCTCACGTGCCCCTCCAGGTGTTCCCCCCCTCTCAGTTTTCTCAGTCTCAGTTCTTGGTATTGAGTCCCATTGGTTACTCCCTTCAAGGCTCCAGAAGGGTCATACCCAGTGCGTTTCAATTCTCTGTCCCTGGAACTCACTATCTCACTCTCCAGTTGCGGATGCTCATAGAGGATAAGTCAGTTTATTTTCACCCCTCACAACATAGAACAGAGTGCAGCAAGGCTGCCTGAGTTTGAATCTTTGCTCGGCCACTGTGTGATTTTTTTTTTAAGTTTTTGTTTGTTTGTTTGTTTGTTTGTTTAAAAGATTTTTAATTTATTTATTTGACAGAGACACAGCGAGAGAGGAAACACAAGCAGGGGGAGCGGGAGAGGGAGAAGCAGGCTTCCCGGGGAGCAGGGAGCCTGATGCGGGGCTCGATCCCAGGACCCTGGGATCATGACCTGAGCCGAAGGCAGACGCTTAACGACTGAGCCACCCAGGCGCCTCTTTTTTAAGTTTTTATTTAAATTCCAGTCAGTTAACATAGAGCATAATATTAGTTTCAGGTGTACAATATAGTAACTCAACACTTCCATACAACACCCTGTGCTCATCACAGCAAGTGCCCCCCATAGTCCCCATCATCTATTTCACCTATCCCCCCACCAACCTCCCCTCTGGTAACCATCAGATTGTTCTCTACAGTTAGGAGTCTGTTTTTTGGTTTGCCCCCCCTCCTCTTTTTTCCCCTTTGCTCTTTTGTTTTGTTTCTTAAATTCTACATATGAATGAAAGCATATGGTAATTGTCTGTCTCAGACTGACTTATTTTGCTTAACCTAATACTCTCCAGCTCCATCCATGTTGTTGCAAATGACAAGATTTTATTCTTTTTATGGCTGAATAATATTCCATTGTGTATATATACCACATCTTTATCCATTCATTAATCGATGGATACCTGGGCTGCTTCCATAATTTGGCTATTGTACATAATGCTGCTATAAACATCTGGGTGAATGTATCCCTCTGAATTAGTATCTTTGTATTCTATGGGTAAATACCTGGTAGTGCAATTGCTAGATCTTAGGGTAGTTCTATTTTTAACTTTTTGAGGAATCTCCATACTGTTTTCCAGAGTGGCTGTACCCAGTCTGCATTCCCACCAACAATGCAAGAGGGTTCCTCTTTCTCCACATCCTTGCCAACACTGTTGTTTCTTGGGTGCCTGGGTGGCTCAGTTGGTGAAGCCTCTGCCTTCAGCTCGGGTCATGATCCCAGGGTCCTAGGATGGAGTTTTGCATCTGGCTCCCTGTTCAGCGGGGAGTTGGCTTCTCCCTCTACCCCTCCCCCCTGCTCGTGATCTCTCTCTCTCTCTCTCTCACTCTTGCTCTCTCAAATAAATAAATAAAATCTTAAAAAAAAAGAAATTGAGAAAAAAAAAGACTTGTTGTTTCTTTTTTTTTTTTTTTTTTTTTAAAGATTTTATTTATTTATTTGAGAGAGAGAGAATGAGAGACAGAGAGCATGAGAGGGAGGAGGGTCAGGGAGAGAAGCAGACTCCCTGCTAAACAGGGAGCCCGATGCGGGACTCGATCCCGGGACTCCAGGATCATGACCTGAGCCGAAGGCAGTCGCTTAACCAACTGAGCCACTCAGGCTCCCCAAGACTTGTTGTTTCTTGTGGCATTAATTTTAGCCATTCTAACAGGTGTGAGCTGATATCTTATTGTGGTTTTGATTTGCCTTTCCCTGATGATGAGTGATGTTGAGCATCTTTTCATGTGTCTGTTGGCCATCTATCTGTATGTCTTATTTGGAAACATGTCTCTTCATATCTGCTGCCCATTTCTCAATTGGATTATTCATTTTTGGAGTGTTGAGTTTTATAAGTTCTTTATATATTTTGGATACTAACCCTTTATCAGATATATCACTTGCAAATATTTTCTTCCATTCTATAGGTTGCCATTTACTTTTGTTGATTGTTTCCTTTGCTGTGCAGAAGTTTTTTATTTTGATGAAATCCCAATAGTTCATTTTTGCTTTTGTTTCTTCTGCCTCAGGAGTCATATCTAGTAAGAAGTTGCTCTGGCCCATGTCAGAGAGGTTATTGCCTGTGTTCTCATCTAGGATTTTGATGGTTTTCTGTCTCACATTTAGGTCTTTAATCCATTTTGAATTTATTTTTGTGTGTGGTGTAAAAAGTGGTCAACTTTCATTCTTTTGCACATAGATGTCCAGTTTTCCCAATACCACTTGTTGAAGAGACAGTCTTTTTCCCATTGGATATTCTTTTCTGCTTTGTTGAAGATTAATTGACCATGTAATTGTGAGTTTGTATCTGTTTTTTGTGCCAGTACCATACTGTCTTGATCACTACAGCTTTGTAATATAACTTGAAGTCTGGAATTGTGATGCCTCCAGCTTTTCGTTTCTTTTTCAAGATTGCTTTGGCTATTCAGGGCCTTCTGTGGTTCCATACAAATTTTAGGATTGTTTGTTTTAGCTCTGTGAAAAATGCTGTTGGTATTTTGATAGGGATTGCATTAAATGTGTAGATTGCTTTGGGTAGTATAGACATTTTAACAATATTTGTTCTTCCAATCCTTAAGCATGGAATGTCTTTCCATTTCTTTGTGTCCTTTTTAATTTCTTTCATCAGTGTTTATAGTTTTCAGAGTACAGGTCTTTCATGTCTTAGGTTAAATCTATTCCTAGGTGTCTTTTTGTTCTCGGTGCAGTTGTAAATGGGATTCATTCCTTAATTTTTCTATCTGCTGTTTCATTATTGGTGTAGAGAAATGTAATGTCTGCACGTTTATTTTGTATTTATTTTGTATCCTGCAACTTCACTGAATTTGTTTATTAGTTCTAGCAGCTTTTTGGTGGTCTTTTGGGTTTTCTATATATAGTATCATGTCATCTACAAATAATGAATGTTTGACTTCTTCCTTGCTGATCTGGATGCCTTTTATTTCTTTTTGTTGTCTGATTACTGTGGCTAGGACTTCCAGTACTATCTTTTTCTTTTTTTTGAGATTTTATTTATTTGAGAGAGAGTGCACAAGGAGGGGGAGGGACAGAGGGAGAAGCAGACTCCCCATTGAGTGGAGAGCCCAATGCAGGGCTCAATCCCAGGATGCTGGGATCATGACCTGAGACGAAGGCAGACGTTTAACTGACTGAGCCACCCAGGTTGTCCCTACAGTACTATCTTGAATAAAAATGGTGAGAGTGGACATCCCTGTCTTGTTCCTGACTGTAGTGGAAAGGTCTCAGTTTTTCCCCCATTTAGGATAATATTAGTTGTGGGTTTTTCATAAATGGCCCTTATTATGTTGAAGTATGTTCCCTCTAAACCTACTTTGTTGAGGGTTTTTATCATGAATGGATGTTGTACTTTGTCAAGTGCTTTTTCTGCATCTACTGAAAAGATCATGATTCTTATCCTTTCTTTTATTAATGTGATGTATCACATTGATTCATTTGCAAATATTGAACCATTCTTGCAGCCCAGGAATAAATCCCACTTGATCATGGTGAATGATTGTTTTAATGTATTATTGGATTCGGTTTGCTAGTATTTTATTGAGAATTTTTGCATCTGTGATCATCAGGGATATTGGCCTGAAGTTCTCTTTTTTAGTGGTGTCTTTATCTGGCTTTGGTGTCAGGGTAGTGCGGCCACATAGAATGAATGTAGTTTTCCTTCCTTTTCTATTTTTTGGAATAGCTTGAGAAGAATAGGTATTAACTCTTCTTTAAGTGTTTGGTAGATAACACCCAGTGCTCCATTCAGTACGTGCCCTCTTTAATACCCACCACCAGGCTAACCCATCCCCCACCCCCCTCCCCTCTAGAACCCTCAGTTTGTTTTTCAGAGTCCATCATCTCTCATGGTTCATCTCCCTCTCTGATTTTCCCCCCTTCATTCTTCCCCTCCTGCTATCTTCTTCTTTTTTTCTTAACATATATTGCATTATTTGTTTCAGAGGTACAGATCTGTGATTCAACAGTCTTGCACAATTCACAGCGCTCACCATAGCACATACCCTCCCCAATGTCTATCACCCAGCCACCCCATCCCTCCCACCCCACCCCCCACTCCAGCAACCCTCAGTTTGTTTCCTGAGATTAAGAATTCCTCATATCAGTGAGGTCATATGATACATGTCTTTCTCTGATTGACTTATTTCGCTCAGCATAACACCCTCCAGTTCCGTCCACATCGTTGCAAATGGCAAGATCTCATTCCTTTTGATGGCTGCATAATATCCCATTGTATATATATACCACATCTTCTTTATCCATTCATCTGTCGATGGACATCTTGGCTCTTTCCACAGTTTGGCTATTGTGGACATTGCTGCTATAAACATCGGGGTGCACATATCCCTTCAGATCACTACATTTGTATCTTTGGGGTAAATACCCAGTAGTGCAATTGCTGGATCGTATGGTAGCTCTATTTTCAACTTTTTGAGGAACCTCCATACTGTTTTCCAGAGTGGCTGCACCAGCTTGCACACGTACTGAATGGAACACTGGGTGTTATACGCAAACAATGAATCACGGAACACTACATCAGAAACTAATGATGTAATGTATGGTGATTAACATAACATAATACAATTTAAAAAAAAAGAACAAGGCATTTGTACTCTGCAAAAAAAAAAAAAAAGTAAATAAATAAATGTTTGGTAGAATTTGCCTGTGAAGCCATGTGGTCCTGGAGTTTTGTTGCCATTGTGTGATGTTGATAATGTCGTTAAACCCCTCTGAGGCTCAGTTTATTAATCTGTAAAACAGGGACAATAATATTATCTACTTCAAAGAGTTTTTGTGAGGATTTAAAGGGTTAATACAGGTAAAGTAGTTGATATTGTATATGGCATGTAGTAAGCAAGCACTCTATGCTGTATTTTGTGGTATACTGCATTTCATATTTATTTTTTCTTTGTCTCCTTCTTCTTCTTCTTCTTCTTCTTCTTCTTCTTCTTCTTCTTCTTCTTCTTCTTCTTCTGCTTCTTCTTCTTCTTCTTCTTCTTTCTTCTTCTTCTCTTCTTCTTCTTCTTCTTCTTCTTTTTTTTTTTTGTAAGTAGGCTCCACGTCCAGTGTGGAGCCCAGTGTAGGGCTTGAACTCATGATCCTGAGATCAAGACCTGAGCTGAGATCAAGAATCAGATGCTTAACTGACTGAGCCACTCAGGCGCCCCTGCATATCATATTTCTATATTGTATTTTGCTCTCCTGTGCATATTTTAACATCTCTGAACTTAAGAGGTGTATTATAAGTGATGGAATGTCAGATTTTAAATGGCATCAATTTTTTCTTTTTGTGTGGTATATAAAATAAATGGTGTTTATTATAATCAGTGGTATCTTGGTGCTGTCAGTGATTTGGTGAGGCCTCATGCCAATGTTACTCCTGCCCTTGGAAACGGTGGAGTTGTTCATATCACCAAAGGCAGCCTCTAAGATTACCTTCTAGCCCCATATCCACCTGACAGCTTCTTCTTTTAATCCTTAAAAACAAAGAGCAGATTACACATTCTTCTTGGTACCTCTTCTACTGGAGCAAAGCCACTAAGGCTCCGCAAACAGAAAGCTTTCATCGCAATAGGGCATTCTGCTATTCACGAACATGTCATTCCCGTGCCTTTGCACGTGCTATTTCATCTGCTTGGCGTGGCTTTGCTCTTTGGAGCATTAGCTACTCGACACATTCAGCTCCAGTGTTCCCTCCCAGGGGAGGCCTTTCCCAGCCTCCACAGGCCTCCTCTCCTTTCACTATATCAGGCTCAGGACTTGCAGAGCATTTATCACACTGGTTTGTGATTGTCCATGTGTTTGTCTCTGCCACCATACTGTGAACTTCTGAGGGTGGGAACACTTTCTGTCCCACCCAGTCACTCTGGTCTCCTGGTGCCTGGCACAGCCTTTAGTAGCCGTGGACAGCTGTGGACAGCACCAGTGAAGAGCCGCTGACCAGACACTGGGCGGGGGTCCAGTAAGTGTTCACTGAGTGAAGGAATGAATTCATGGTCTGGCTTCCCCATTACTCCTTCCCCACTCTGGACCCACAGCACTTCCCCAGCACCCCTTCTCTTTCATATAGCCCCCTACCATCTGACCCTCTCCTGTCTTCAGAATCCAAGCTGGATAGCATCAGGAAGGACATTCTTACACATGTGCAGAATGAGTGCTGGACCCTCAGTCAGCAACTAATAACAGAGCTCATGGATTTCACGGAGGTCTTCCAAACCATCAACTCAGACATTCATACCATTGCACGGTGCTCCCAGAAGGTAGGCTCTTCCTGCCTTTCCTTCCCAGCTTATCCAGGGGCCCATTTTGCTCACATGCTCAGCACACTCTTCTTCAGGTCTCTGGTGAGCTCCCAATGGGGCTTGATGCTTTTAAACTAGGCTCACGTATGTGATCTGCCCTTACTAACTCTCACCCTGTTCTCATGGCCCTCAGTTTCCTCACGTCAGGAAAAGGCCGTGGCAAGATGAGAACCACAGTCCTGCTTTCAGAGATAGTCCTGCTCTCTGTGACAGTCAGCTAGGGATCTATTGCCCTGTCATGATTTGGTGTGGGCGGAGCTGCACTGTCTTCACAGAGACCTGGGTCAGATGGGATCTGATCCCACAGTGCCCCTGATCCCAGTTGGGTTAATGGTGGCTGCTGGGGTCTGGAGCCTCTAGAAGGTGGGAGTGCCCCTCAGGGGTGAGCCCAGACTGGTGCGCAGGGTTGTGGGGGTGCTGGTCTCATGCTGTGGCCCCTGCAGTTGAACGAGGCCAATGAGCAGTACAACATGCTGGAGGAGCGAATGGAATACATACGGTCACTCCACGAACTCATCCGGAACCACTTTAGCCTCTTTAGTGCTGAGAACGAGGCACTGGACATCTCGGTGAGAAGGCAATTCCCGAAGTCACCCATGCCTCCCAGCCCCCCTCCCCCCCACACGCTTCTGCTTGACCGCATTCTGCTTGCCCCACAGCTCCTGGATGTGTGGGAGGCATTTCAATTTGAGAAAAGCCAGGCCTCAGAGTTCCTGCTCAGCAAGCGGCATGCCATCGTGCCCAAGCTACAGCAGCTGATAGCCGCGTCACTGGTGGAGCTGGAAGGCCTGATTGACAAGGCCCTCTCCGGCCCCTTCATGGACCCTGCACAAGAGCAGAGGAGCACTGAGCGCCAGCTCATCTCCCTGGAGCGTCAGTTCCAGAACACAGCCAGCCACCTCAGTGAGCTGCACCATGCCTATGCCACCTTCACTGGTACTGAGGATCCCTGCCCCCCACACCATCCTGTGATAGACCCTGCAACTGAGATAAGGGTCCTGTGTCCTGAGTGTCCCTAAGCAAGTCTCGGGAATCACATAGCTTCCTTTTAGTCTCTTCTATAAATGAAAATTGCAGGATAAAATCTTGCATTGGCTATGTCAAGGGTTGTGCTTAGGGTGGGGAGACGGGGGCTCACAGGACGTCACAGGAAGGCAAATAGGTGAATGTTCCATTAGTATGTGATGGGGTTAGAGGGCTGAAAGCCCGTGCAGGAGAAATGAAAAGGTGCCCTCCTTGTAATTCTTAGCCTATTCAACCCAGTTCCAGGCTGCAGGGCCTAGATAAAAATAGGTCTTGATAAGCCGTAGCCACTGCTCCCAGCCAATGTGGTGTAGATGGGCAGCTGCTGTGGGTCTCCCTGACCCATAGGCTGAGACCAACAGAACTGTTGAGCCCTCCGTACAATGGTGCAGCTAGGCTGGTTCCCTTCTGCACATAAAGAACTTTGTGGGCTCAAGTTTCTTTTCTCAGGTGCAGTCACTTCTATTGGTTACTTTTATCCCCTGGAAGGTCACATTGCTTCTGAGTTGCCTCTTGGTCAACTACCAACTATTGCCAACTCTGCCTGTGGGCATCCCCAGTCCCAGGGCCATTGGGCCAGATGTAAGGTGGAGGACACCCTGGACCTTCCTCAAGCAAGGAACTTTTTCTTTGGCCAAGTATGGAGAGACCCTTGTCCCATACTCTAACTGACATAGACGACAGAGCTTGAACTTTCTTCTAGGGATTGGGGATGTTTGTGGAAAAGAGATTGGGAACCCAGGCCCTGTGATGCTAGGCCCAGGAAACCCCACAGTACTGCTTTTAGCTCCTTCTTCCATCCCCGGCTCTTCACCAGACTCCCAGTGTTTGTTAAAAGAATCCAGGATCTTAGAGCTAGATTATTAATACTATTCTTTATTGTTCATTACATATCTTTTATTTTACTCAATACTTTTGACATTTGCTTGGTTTTATAACCACGTTAACAACTATTTTGACATCTAAGGTTTACTGATTTTGTTTACCCACTACCAATTTTTTTTTTTTTTTGAGATTTTATTTATTTATTTGACAGAGACACAGCGAGAGAGGGAACACAAGCAGGAGGAGTGGGGGAGGGAGAAACAGGCTTCCCATGGAGCAGGGAGCCCGATGTGGGGCTTGATCCCAGGACCCTGGGATCATGACCTGAACCGAAGGCAGACACTTAATGACTGAGCCACCCAGGCGCCCCACCCACTACCATTTTTTTAAATTGAAGTATAGTCGACAATGAATGTTACAGTAGTTTCAGGTGTATAACATAGTGATTTGACAAATGATTCTATATATTATGCTGTGTGGACCACAAGTGCAGCTACCATCTGTCCCCATATAATTCTATTACAGTACTGTTGACTATATCCCTATGCTGTCTCTTTCATCCCAATGACTTCTTCATTCCATAACGAGAGCTATATCCCCCTCCCCTTCACCCATTGTGCCCAACCCCCACCCCCTTCCCTCTGGCAAATCTGAGTTCTCTGTATTTAGGGGTCTGTCTCTGCTTTTTGTTTATTCTTTTTTTTTTTTAGATTCCATATATAAGTGAAATTGTATGGAATTTGTCTTTGTCTGACTTATTTCACTTAGCATAATACCCTCTAGGTCCATCCGTGTTGTCACACTACCATTTTTAGAAATACCACATCTTTTCATTATTTTCATTCTTTCCTTAAATGGCTATAATATTTCTTTGATACTTTGAGTATTTATTTTTTCTAAGAAGGGAGTTAGAGATGTTAAAATTTCTAAGATCTTTATGCCTAGAATGACTTTATAATGTCCTTACATCACAGCTTGGCTAAATACTGAATTCTGAATTCACAAATTTTTTTCCCCAAACTTAGGCTATTGCATCACTGCCTTCTGATAGTTGGCATTGTGGGCAAATTTGATACCAATCTAATTTTTTTTCCTGGATAGGTAATCTGTTTATCAGTTATTTGATAATGGCTGTTATTATATTTGCTCTGGTCTCCTTTCAGAATTCATACTTATATTTTGGATTTTCTGGATCTCTTCTCCATTTCTTTTATCTTCATCATGAGTCATTCCTTTATTCTGAATCCTGGAGAAATATCATGAGCTTGTCTTATAAACTTCCACTCTCTGTAATTTCCATTGCATTTTAAAATGCGCACACATATTGTATGTGTATGCATGCTTATGTGCACATATATATGTATGTAAGTGAATGTGTATGTGTATATAAACCTGAATGGATCTTGGTTGCTAAGATCATTCCCTACCAGGGCTCCTCAGAGAGTGGATGATTCCAGGGCTATCACAGGGTAGGTACAAGATGAGCCTAGAATATTTTTTTAACCCAGAAGGTAAGAGAGTAATAAATTCCTTTAATAAGTGATGGGAGCATGTCACAAGGACACAGAAGGGATGCCACTGGCCAAAACTGGGACAATTTAAGCACCAAAGTACAAAGTAAACTATTGGAAAAATAGGAATTGATTATCCACACTAATAATAAATAGATAAATAAATCAATGAGGGAGAAATGAGGACTTGCACTTATAGTAGAGTGCCAAGAGTCAACTGGAGAAAATCTGTAGGGAAAAATCATCATTTTGCAAACATTCTAATAAATATTGGATCAGGTAAGGATCATTAGTGGATGTCAAATCTGGGGGCAAATTTGATGAGGAGTAGAACATTTGCACAGTCTTAGAGATTCTCCTACAGAGACTACTTATTAATTGCAAGGGAGGGGAAAAAACACCTTAGCAATTATTTAGTAGAGAAACTGGGCAACATTTTGACCAGGTGATCAAAGATTAACATCACCAATGAGGGACAGATGATCATGTACCTCCAGACATGATACCCAGAGGACACAAAAACTATTCAGTAGTCCAGCTGAAAATTAATAACTTCAGTCATGAAAGTCATACAGAACATGAACTTTCTGTTAACAAAAAAAAAGAGACAAGGGGGTCAGTATACTTCAAAAATGTCTGTTAGAAAAGATAAAGGCTGTGAGGCATGTTCTAGATTAAAAGAAGTTAAAGGGACATGACAAGTAAATGTGGTACTTGATCCTGGGCTGGATGCTGTACTTGAGGGGAAAAATGCTATATAGGACATTATTAGGTCAGCTGACAACATTGGAACACAGACTGTAGATTAAAGAATTCTATCAATGTAATATATGAAGTTGATCACTATACTATAGTTATATAAGAGAATATCCCTCTTCTTAGGAAATACTCATTTGAGTTTTCGGATAATAGGGCCATGAAATATGTAACTTACCCTTCAGTAGTTCAGAAAAGAATTATGTGTTTGTGTATACATATGCCCATACACACACAGAGCATGGAAACACAACTGATAAAGAAAACGGGTAAAATGTTAACAAAAAGTGAATCTCAGGAAATGGTATATAGATATTCTTGTTACCGCTTTTGCTTGCAACTTTAAAAGATTTGAAATCACAGGGCGCCTGGGTAGCTCAGTTGGTTAAGTGTCCAACTCTTGATTTGGGCTTGGGTTGTGATCTCAGGGTTGTTGAGATTGACCCCCTCAGCGGCCTCTGCACTCAGGGCGGAGTCTGCTTAAGATTCTCTCCCTCTCCCACTCCCCCGCCCCATCTCCACTCGCGTGTGTGCTCTCTCTTTAAAAAAAAAAAAAAAAGTGAAATCACTTCCAAATAAAGTTTTAAAATGCAGTGGAATTTACTGAGTAGATACCACAGCAAATGTCTGTCAGAGGATATTTGCTGTTAATCCTCAAGTTTGTCTTTCTCCTCTCATGTGTCTGGAGATATAATGCCTGTTCTTTCTTACAGAGGAAGTTCCTCATTTGTCCACTATTTGATGTTGAGACAACTGCTACCAAAGATTATATGAGTCTGTAGCCAGATCTTTTGAGTTCAGACAAAGAAAGATTGGAAGAGTTTAAATTCACTATCATTTTTTGGGGGGGCCTGCATCAGATGAGAGCTCTGTTAGCGTGATAGTGATTCTAAGCCTTTCAGTATTCTGCTCTCCATGATGGATGATGTTTACACATGTAAGATGCATGATTCCCAGCATCTGGGCTTTATTTTATCACTTTTTCTCTCACTCAAGAAAGTATACTGGAACTCAAATGAATGAGAATGACAATTTTACTGCAATATCCTTAAATCTGGTCTGATAGCTTTTAATTGCAAATCTCAGGACTATAATAATAATAATTATTATTTTTAAAGATTTATTTATTTGAGAGAGAGAGCATGCACACATGCATGCCCAGCAGGGAGGGGCTGGGGGAGAGAAACCTCAAGCAGACTCCCCACTGAGTGTGGAGCTGACGTGGGGCTCTCTCTCACTACCCATGAGATCATGACCTGAGCTGAAACCAAGAGTTGGACAACCAACTGAGCCACCCAGGTGCCCCCTCAGAACTACAATTAATATTACCTGTAAATTACTTTTGACACATACCTCACAACCGAATATAAATTATTGGTCAAGAACTAATGCAGCAGCTTATGAGATGAAGGGAGGGAATGATGACCCGAAGTACACAAAATAGGAAGCATCTCCATTTACATTTTACGGCCTTCTCTGTGGGCCCAATCTTTAGCATATGCATCTCTGTGGATTTGTCCATCTGTCTAACAGATATTTGTTGAGTGCCTGTGCTGTGCACGGGGCTTGCAGTGTATCAGTGGACAAATCACAGACCTCCTGCCCTCACAGGCCCAATATTGTAGCTGGGAGAGAAAGACAACAAATTATAAACGTAAAATATAACCAAATTATATGGGGTATTTTAGAAAGGGCGAAGTGGCCCAGAGAAAAGAAGAGAGCAGGTAAGAGGTGTCGGGGATGGCGGGGAGGGTAGCAGTTCGTAACAGCTCGGGCTCCACGGGTCTCATGCAGAAGGACTTGGATTTGGTGAGAGAGTGAGGTATATGGTTCTCTGAGGGGAGAGAGTTCCAGAAGAGTGACCTCCAGTCAGAAGCCCTCAGCAGGAGAGAGCATGCCTGGTGCATCCGAGCAACAGGAAAAACTGTCCCTTGGATGGTCCCCACCCACATTGTACTGGACAATTGTGGCTTTCAGACCATTGTTTCTGCCATTATGGGCTCTTGACTGACCATTCCCCACCACGCCCCTCCCCGCGCAGCCCCCCCCCCCCGCCCCCCCGCCCAGGCCTCATCCTGCCCTACCCCACAGGGGACGAGAGTCCTGTGCCCTTGCCAGTCCGCGGGACCCGTCCGATTGTCCTGCAGCAGCGCATCTGGCATCTGTACCGGGTCATCTCTGAGAGCATCAGCGAATGGAAGTGCGTGGCTTTTGCCAAGGTTCTGACACCGCCCTCGGAGCCCCTGCCTGAGTGGAGAGTCTGCCGGCGGGCGCGGGGGAAGGTGGGGAAGGGGCTCCGGCTGACATGAACCTTTGTTGCTCCAGTTCAGCATGACTATGGCCCAGGAGAAGACAGACGGCTGGCTGACGGAGGCAGCCCGGATGAGTACAAGCCTGGGGCTGCACAGCCCAGTCCTGCAGTGCTGCGTGCGCATCCTGGAGGAGTTTCGCAGCTACCTGCCATTACTGACCAAGCTGGGCAGCCTCCAGCTGCAGAGCCTCCAAGCCCTTCTCAGAGGTGTGTTTTGGGTAGAGTCAGGGGGAGGGGAAGGAAAGGACGTGGGGATTAGAACGATGTAACAACTCGGTTCCCTGCTCCTCCTATAGGCAACATCTTTCCTCCCTGGGTTGCTCCCTGCCTTGCTCCCACAGGGACCAACATTTCTGAACCTCTGCACCATCATGTGGGTCCTCTCTGCTGACTTGGGCTAGACTCAGGCTCGAGTCTTAGCTGTGGGCTCTGTGTTGTGCTCTGGACCCTATGTTCTGAGTTCTTGGCTCTGTGTTGTGCTTTCAGATCTGCTCTCTGGGGGCTGGGCTGGGCTGGGCTCAGGGCTGCAGATCTGGGGCTCTGGGATATGGGCCGGGCTCTGCCATGCACTGGGTGTTGCTCCGACTTGTCCCCTCTACCTCCAGCCTTAGGGCTAGACAGTCTCTACAACATGGAACTCCTAACACTGGGCCAGCTGCTCACTTTTCCGCTGCTGGATTTTGCAGATCGAATCAATCAGGTGGGGCCCTCCAGAGAGAAGGAGTTGGTCCAAACCCAGGACCTATTTGCTAAGCTGTAATAGATCCAGTTAAGTTCTAGCAACCGCTCGCGACAGGGGGTCGTAGATACTGGCTTGTGGGTGGGAAGGTGGGAAGTTGAGTTTGCTGTCTTGCCTGGAGGTTGTGGGGGTCTGATGGGTGGTTTCAGACTCTGAGAGTATGCCCCACTCCCAAAGTTGTGGGCACACAGGATTGCAGATGTCCCCCAACACCTGCCCAGTTCCAACATGAACTGATTAAGGTAGCGTCCCCAGCTGAAACCTTGCAAAAGAGTGGGTTTCAAGGCAGCAGTTTTAGGTCAACGCCTGCTGCGGATGGCATGTCTGAAGCCAAATGGTCCTACTCTCAATCTCTGACACTTCCACTCCCTTGAGCCCTGGCCCTTGAGTCCCAGCTTCAGGGGTATCCCCTGAGCCATCACCCAGTGCTGGTCCCTGAGACCCAGCTGTTCCAGATCTGGCAGGGTGAAAATGAACGAGTCCACGCCCAAGAAACCCTACGGCGGCTGCAGCGGGTCTGGGAGTCACGCCAGCTTCGCCTCATCAACTTCATCCTGCATGTGCCCTACGAGCCCCCAGCCTTGGAGCGCTCCAAGAAGCAAGTGATCCGTAGCCCCCAGTGGGAGGTGGTGGCCAAGGACAGCGGCACCTTCATCCTTTCAGGTGAGACCCAGCCCTTGCGGCCCAGTTGATAGGCCGCTGCCAGGGGCCACATTTGTCCACTGTGTCCACCAAGCCCTGTGGGATCTAGCTTCTCCAGCAGGGCCCCATCCTTACTGGACAGGAGGAGACATCAGTCTGTCCTGAGACAGTGTCTTTCATGTAGCTCCTATTAAGTCTTAATCTTGGGAGCTCCCTCCTCCTGCCCAGTGCCTGCCTCTTCAGCAAAGGTCCTTCCCTTTCTGGGTGTACTAAGAAATCCCTCACCGTCATGTCTCTCCATTTTCCAGTGCTCCTTCCTCCAGATTGCATCCTGCTGTCTGATCTTCTGCCCACTCATTTCCTCTTTTGTCGTTCCTACATGAAACCTACCTGCCTTCTCTGAGCCAAATACAGGAGGTGTGGGGGTTCACAGACCGAAGTCCTGTCCCTCAGGAGCTCCCAGTCCAGTGAAAGAGGACAATAGAATAGAGATGAGTGCATGGTGGAGAACCTAACCGAGGGCAGTAGAATCTCAGAAAGAGGACCAGCTTCAAAGGACCAGGGAGAGTCAGAGGAATCTTCTCTTCCCACAGGCAAAGGCCTCATGCTGACCCCTGAAGGAGTAGGAGTTTGCCAAACTTACAGGGAGAGAAGAGCATGCCAGGCAGAGGGAACAACATATGTACAGGCCCCGAGATGGCATAGTTAGGGAATTGCCAGTAGGAGAGAAATTCTCTTATCCAGCCCACTTGAAACCCAACCGGCAAATTCAAAGTTAAATAGGAAGATCATAAAATATGATGTATATATGGCTTAAGATTTTTACTTTAGCTTAAAACATATAAACATACATTGATTTACTAACCTTTTATCCAAAGGATAAGAGCTTTACTTTGATTTGTCGTTGACTGATAGAAGTTCCTCATCGCCTTTCCTGCATTAATGCATTGTCCACCATTTCCGCTTTCAATTTCTGTAAAGTTGGGCAGTGACATGAAGACACTTGTGAAGTTGCTAGAGTCCAGAATTTTTCTAGATTTTTATTATAATTTCCCAAGTTTTAAAAATTGACTGGCCTATACCTAATTTAATATCATGTTTTTATCAACTCACCTTTACTGAAGGCTTTCCATAGTTTCTGTAGAACCAGCAACTCCTTCCCCACCCATATTTCAGTGCTTAACATATTAGATCAAATTCTGTACTTAAGATTATAACTCACATGAACAGGCTTGCAGACACATTCTGACTCTCGGTGAGCATACTTTTCACCTAGTGGAAGAAGACATGTTTGGGTCTTCTAGAGAATAGCTTGAGAACTGTGAGTTTCAGTGTAATTTGGGTAATAGTCATCCCTGCCCTTGCCCCATCTGACTGCCAGCTCAGCTGAGCTGGAACCCACTCTTCCTTAGATTACAGCAGCCTGCAGGATTCTATCCAGGAAAGTCTTCAGGTGTTGTTCAAGATCCTGGCCATCCAAAAGTCAGGAGACTTAAACAAAGTAGCTTTGGAGTGGGTAACCATCATGCATAGCCTGAGTGAGTGCCGGCCTCTAGCTGGGTGAGTGGGCGGGACCTGAGGTGGGACAGCCTGGAGGGATGGGGTAAGAGGTGGGGTTTGGGTGGCGGGGGAGATCAGAAGGACAGAGTGAGGACCCCCTTCAGAGCCACTTCTTGGGCTGAGGTGACCAGGCGAAAGTTTATTCACGGCGGAAGTTTGCTGTCTTCCAAGCAAGATCCCTGGGTCCTGCTGAGTGTTTTGGGGGGGCATCCTGAGAGGTCAGGACCAGCTGGACCCCCTCGCAGAAGCTAAACCCTAGTCTCCATCCAGTGTTCCTCTGGCTGCTCACACAGGTGCCCTGCTGGAGGTGTGGGTGACTTTCCAGCAGCAGTGGATTTTTCTGAATAAAGTTCTGCACGAGATGAAGATCGAGTTTCCTAGTCCTGACCTGGTAGGGAAAAAGAGTGAGGCAGGTGGACAAGGGCTACTGCGCTGTGGGGCTCAGGTGGGGAGGGAGAGCTGCCCTCACTTTTACCCCCTCTCTCACCGCAGAACTCCCGGTTCAAGGCCACGGATGATCAGTATCGGACCCTGATGCAGATCTCTGTAGATGACCCCCTGGTTCTGTCACTTATAGTGCCCAGTGTCAAGCGGAGCCCTCATTTCCAAGGGCAGCAGCTGCAGCAGCTGCTGCAAGCAGGCTCCGTGGAGCTGGAGGGCATCATTATGGCTCTGAAGAACGTGCTCTATAGTGTGTGTGCTCATTTCCCCCGCCTCTTCTTCCTCAGTGATAGTGAGCTGGTGGCCCTGCTGGCTGCCCCACTGGAGTCCTGTGAGGCTCAGCTGTGGGTAAGACGCTGCTTTCCTCATGTGCACGCCGTGAGCTTCACGTCCAGCCCACCTGACGAACACATGGGTGACCGGGAGGCAAGCCCCAACACATCGACTCAGGTGGAGGCCCTGGCAGTGCTGGGGGCAGGTGGGGAGCAGGTGAAGCTGCAGAGGTCCATTCCCCTGCATCCAGATCTCCCCAAGTGGCTGGCCTCCCTGGAGAAGTGCCTGCGTTCGGCACTGGTGCACAAGTTGCAGGGCTGTGTGGCCTCCCGCCTTGCTCTGGGCCCACCGATGGATGAGGCCTTCAAGCAGCTGCCCCAGGAAGACCAGCTGCCCCCACAGCTGTTCGCCCACCACTGGTTCCACCTGGTCCAGGCCTTCCCTTGGCAGTGTGTGCTGGTGGCTGAGGAAGTGCTGTGGCGGGCAGAGGTGGAGGAGGCTCTGCTCGGGGGGAGGGCCTCGGCCATGGTCCCCATGCATGTGTGCAAGCTCGAGACCCTGGTGCACTTTATACGGGCCCAGAGGGCCTCCCAGGGCGAGCAGCCCCTGGCTTCTGTCCGCCAGACCAGCCTGCTCAGTGCCCTGCTGGTCATGGCAGTGACTCACCGGGATATAGCACAGCTCCTGCAGGAGCACCAGGTCAGCGATCTGACAGATTTCCACTGGGCTCGCCAACTCAAATACCACCTGGGTTCACCTCACATCGTTCCCCAAAGCCCCCTGCAGAGTCTCAAGACGATTGCATCGGCTGCGACTTCTCCGTCGCCAGCGGCGTGCTGGGTAGACGTGCTAGGCCGGTCCTTCCTGTACAATTATGAGTACCTGGGTCCCAGACTGGGGTCTCTGCCCAGCCTGTTGCCTGAGCGGCCAGCCCTGGTACTGCTGCTGGCCCTGGAGGAGGTGGCCTGTGGGACTCTGCTGGGCCCCGAGGGAGTAGGCAAGGCAGCCACGGCGAAGAGCCTGGCACGGGCCCTGGGGCGCCAGCTGGTGACGATGCCTTGCCTGCCTCAGATGGAGGCCCAGAGCCTAAGCAACTACCTGCATGGGGCCTTGCAGGGCGGTGCCTGGTTGCTGTTGGAAGCCGCCCAGCGCCTGCCCCCTGGCTTGCTCTCCGCCCTGGGCCGGCGCCTGGCTGACCTGCACCACCTCTATGCCCCGCTGTACCAGGAGGCCTCCCGCAGCATCAGCACCATGGACCCCACGCAACCCCAGCTCCTCGGCAGTGGCTTCTTTGAGAAACACCACGTATACGTGCGCCTTGGCTATGGCTCTCTCCTGACGCTGCGCTCCCTGAGCCCTGCCGTGCCTGCCAACCTGCGCTTGCTGCTGCGGCCTGTGGCCTTGACTCTGCCTGACCTGCAGCGAGTGGCAGAGCTGACCCTGCTGGGTGCAGGGATGCGGGATGCCTCCCGCATGGCTTCCTGCCTATCGAGATTCTTCGCCCTGGAGCTCGAGCTGGTGTCTGCGCCCCTGCCTTGCCGCTTGGCCCTGCTCCAGCACGTACTGGAAGACATGATACAGGATTTAAACACAACCAAGGAGGAGCCCAGGTCCCAGCAGGCCCACAGCCTGGCTGTGACCGAAGAGGCTGCCCTACTGCGTGCCCTGCTACGCTCACCGCTGTTCAGCATCCTCACTGGTATCCGCCTGCACAACCTCCAAGAGCTGCTCTATGGGCTCTTCCCTAATGCCAGGCAGCTGTTGGCACAGCCTGTGGCCCACGCGCCGAGGAAGCCACTGCTGGTGGAGGAACTGCAGCAGATGGGCATTCATCCCAGCCCTGACAGTCTGGGGTCCCTGGAGCAGCTGAGCCAGGCTCTGGGCCGGGCTCTGGGTGTTTTGCTCCTGGGCCCTGCCGGCAGTGGCAAAACCACTTGTTGGCACAGCTTATTTAAGATCCAGAATCGGCTGGCGGCCAGGGAGGACGCCTCAAGCCAGGGCTGCCAGCCGGTGGAGATCACACACCTGTACCCCAATGTCCTCAGCCCCCAGGAGTTCCTGGGATGGCTAGAGGGCCCCTGCTGGCACCACGGCGTCTTCCCTAGGCTGCTGCGTGCAGCCAGTCCGGGTAAGACTGTGGGCCCAAAGGGGCCACCACAGGAATCAGTGGGGACCCAGCACTGGATAATATGTGATGGGGTCGCCAGTGCGGCTTGGCTGGACTCCATCACCTGCCTCCTGAAAGACGCCCCCCAGCTCAGCCTCCCCAACGGTCAGCAGATAGCACGACCCCCAGGTACTTTTCTCCTGATGGAGGTGGGAGATGCAACAGGCGTGTCCCCCACAGTGGTGAGCCAGTGTGCCCTGGTCTGGTGTGGTGGGGAGCAGACGTGGCAGGGGATGCTTAGCGTCCTGATGGCAGCCCTGCCCCACGAGTACCGCCTGCAGCAACACACGGTCACCGAGCTCAACCACCTGGCCAAAGTGCTGGTGCCAGCGACGTTCCAGTTCCTCACCCGCCAGGGCGCCAGCTCTCTGCTGCATGTACATGGGCAGCAGGCCGTTTGCCCAGGTGTGGCTGAAGTCACCAGCCTGGCCCGTATCTTACGCTGTCTGCTGGACCCCTACCTACGCATAGATGAGGGGCAGAAGGCACATGTCTCAGGTGAAGGGAAGGGAAAGGGAAGGGACGGTTTGGAGATGAGGGGCCTTGAGGAGAGCTGGCAGAGAGCTGGTGCCTGGAGCATGGGCTCTTCGGTGGGCTTGGGCCAGGGGACCGGAAGTGGACAGTGACAGCCAATCTCTACTCTCTCCCCACCCCCCACCCCCACTTTTCCTACCCGGGCTCCCATTCTGGCCATGGGGACCTTTGCAGAAGACCTCAGCTTTAGCGAGGTGGCCCAAAGCTTCAAGTCCTCAAAAAGCAGCTCTCTGAACTGGTCCCAGGTTGACAGTGATGATGTACCTAATCAGCGCAAGGAACATTTGCTGGCTATCAGCAGCTTTCTTTTCGCGTTGATCTGGGGCTTTGGAGGCCACCTTCCCTCCAGGTATCTGCAGGGGCGGGGCTGGGGGGTGACGCGGAGGGCTGAGATGGACTGGCGCATGGGAGTTAAAAACCCAGGTGACATCACTGTCGGGGGGCGGGTGGAGTGTGTGTCACAAATGGTACTGTGGTAACTGACCCTTTTGCTCGTACACCCATCTGAACAGGCTCTGGCCCCTCTTTGATTCCTTCTTGAGGGGTTCTATCAGTTGCCTCTCCAACTATCCTGAGCCACCGCCTTCAGCCTTGGTGTTTGATCTACATGTGTGCCCTGATAATGGGACCCTGGTCCCCTTCGCTGGCCATTACCTGGGCAGCTGCATCAGGGGAACTCTGGGCACCTTCCACCCTTCTCCGCAGGTGTGAAGACAGTGGGGCAGCAGCTGGGGTTGGGGCTCAAGGAGATATCCTGGGGGAGTCCATGTTCTCGGCCCAGCTAAGGCCCACCTGCTCCCGTTCTTTGATATGTTCTCACAATCACGAGAACATGTGAAGTGTTCTGCGAGTGCAGCTCTAAGCCGAGACCCCTAGACTTCGCTTTCAGCTAAATTACTCTCCTAAACTGGTGCTGCCCCAGTAAAGCCCTGCTCCTGTCCCACAGACTGAACGGCTCTTGTATGTGGTGGACCTGCTTCTGTCAGAGGGACACCCCGTGCTGCTGGCTGGAGAGGCGGCAACCGGGAAGTCCACCTTTGTGGAGGTGCTTGTGGGGCCCCAGCATCCGTACGTGCGCAGCCCCATCCACCCTGCCTTCACTCCCATCCACCTTCGCCTGCTGCTGAGTCGAGGGGCCCAGGGCCAAGCACAAGCTGCCCCATGGCCTGGGCAGCACCTGGATTCTAAGGGCTCCCTCCTCTTCCTGCTGGAGGATCTGCACCTGGCCGCTTCTGGTAAGGAGCTGGGTGGAGGGAAGGAAGGAGTCGTTGTGATCTCTTAAGGCTGTAAAATCCCTAATAATACTTGCTGACTCCCAATTAGACACCTACAGACCAAATCTCAGCATCCCATTCTTCGTATCTGCTCATATCTGCTCATTGTTCATGTGCTCCCCGAACAATCACACCATCTCTGTGTTTGGCTGCTAAATCTTCATCCCCAGGTCAGGCTTTTCTTCTAAGCACTAGACCTGTTTATCCAACTCCTTACTGTGTATCTCTACCTTGTTGTCCCATTGGCACTTCAGACTCAACTCATCATCTTACCCCTAAAACCTGCTCCTGTCCTCTAAGTAACTAGTACAACCATCCATCCAGTCACCTAAGCTAGAAATCTTGTTGGCATCTCCCCCTTTCTTACCAAAGTCCATTCACTGTGTCTCTCAATTTGGCATTCTAAATATCTCTCAAATCTTTCCACTTATTTCCAGTCCATCTTCCCTGGTTCAGACAGTCATTACCCGGACCATTGGGAATGCTCTTGCAAGGCTCCTTACAGTGAGGCTTTCTTCTCTAGGCTCTTACACTCTGTACTCTAACTGGACTCATCTATGTACAGGCATTCAGTAAGTCAAGCTTCCTCTAGCCTCTGGGATTGCTGTCCTCTCTGCCTTCCCTACTCTATTTATCTGGCTAGGTCCTTGTTCTTTACAAATAATCTTAGTCACTATCTTCTTCAGGAAACCTGAGCCTCCTGGCTAGGTTAGATACTCACCTTGTGTTCTGTACAAAAGTCTGTGACAACCATGGTTTTATGATTATATGTTCACTTGTTGATCCTTCCAGTACACTCTGAGCTTCATGAGAAGAGAGATTTGTCTTACTCATTTTGATAGACTCAACAGGAAGCAAGTGCTCAGTAAGAGTTTGTAGAAGCAAAGATTAGAAAGGAAAGGGGAAATTGTGGTAAAAGTTTGGAATATTGAAGTTTAAAGTTTCTAAAGTGGTGTGCTTCTAGATGGTGACAGGTTTGAATATGGCCATGGGAATGGGCAGAAATGGAGTCAGGGAAGTGAGTGGACTAAAGCATTAGCTGGATTGTCCAGTTAGACACTGAAGTCTTTTATGGGATGTAGAAAACTTGAATCAGGTGGTATACAATTTATTGAGGGCTATGTTCTGCACATTTTATCTAGATCATCTTTAGTGTTTATAAAAGCCCATTAAGGTGGAGATTTGTTTGGGTGCCCGGGTGGCTCAGATGGTTAAGGGTCTGCTTTTGGCTCAGGTCCTGATCTCTAGGTCCTAGGATCGAGCCCCCATGGGGCTCCCTGGTCGGCGGGGAGTCTGCATTTCCCTCTCCCTCTGCCTCTCCCCCTGCTTGTGCTCTTTCTATCTCTCTCTCTCAAACGAATAAATAAAATCTTTAAAAAAGATGAAGATTTGTTATGATCATTTTAAAGATGAAGAAACTGAAAGATTTTATAACTTGCCCAAGACACTCTAGCCAGTAAGTGTCAGAACCAAGATTAAAATTTAAGTCTGTGTAGCACCAAAACCTGTAATTTTCTACAACTCTATTATTTGGGCCTTTCAGTGAATTTGCACAAATAATTTGTTATTGTCAGTGGAAAATAGAAAGAGTAAATTCAGATCTGTGGATAGCAACTGAGAAGAGATTTCAACAGGAAGGTTGAAAACATTGCAAGTAGTGTTGTGGAGTGAAGTATATTACAGCCGGCAGCGTAAAAGATATCCCAGGGTGACAGCCACTAAAACATCTAGTATAAAATAAAAAATTAATAAATGTACAACAAAACAAAAAACTGTGACCCACTGTCTGGAAAAAACAGTCAATAAAAACTGACCTTGAAATGGTCAAGAAGTTGAATCCAGCAAATATTTATAGCAGCTATTACAGCTATTATAAAAGTCCTCAGGTACTTAAAGGAAAATATGACCTGAATGAATGAACACATAGGTAATCTCTGCAAAGAAATGGAAACTACTAAAAATAACTAAACAGAAATTTTAGAAGTGGAAAATACAGTAACTGAAATGAAAAATTCACTGTATGGTTTAATAGCAGATTGGAGCTAGCAAAAGAAAGTCAGTGAATCCTGAAAAACAAAAAAATATTGAATATGAATAGAGCTCCATACACACACACAACTGGAGCTCCAGAAGGAAAGGGGAGAGAATAGGGCAGAAAAAAAAAACCTGTGAGGAAATAATGATCAAAACTTCCCCAAATTTCTTGGAAAATACTGACTTTTCAGATATAGAAAGCTCAGTTATCCCCAAGTAAAATAATAAAAAGAAAACCATCCCTAGGCACATCATAGTCATGACCTGAGCCGAAGACAGAAGCTTAACCCACTGGGCCACCAGGCGCCCCATCCCACAGATTTTGATAACTTTTTTTTCATTATTTTTCAGTTCAAAATATTTTCTAGTTTACCCTGTGGTTTCTTGGATGCATGAGTTATTTAGAAGTGTGGTTTTTATTTTATTTTATTTTATTTTATTTTATTTTATTTTATTTTATTTGTTTTTTAGAGAGTGTGAGAGCGAGGGGTGAGGAGGGGCAGAGGAAGAGGGAGAGAGAGGATCTAAAGCAGGCTCCACACCCAGCACAGAGTCTGATGCAGGGCTCGATCTCATGACCCTGAGATCATGACCTGAACTGAAATCAAGAACCAGACGCTTAGCTGACTATGGCACCCAGGCACCCCTAGGAATGTGTTGTTTAATTTCAAAGAATTTGGGAATTTTCTAGGTATATTATTGTTACTGAGTTTTATTGTTGTAGTCAGAGAAAATATTCTATAAATTTTAATCCTTTGAAATTTGTTGACAGCATATCATCTCTCTCTTTCAAATAAATAAATAAAATCTTTAGGAAAAAAAAATAAAAATGCTAAAAGGGACACCTGGGTGGCTCAGTCAGTTAAACAGCCGACTCGATTTCGGCTCAGGTCATGATTTCAGGGTCTTGTAAGATCAAGGCCTGCGATGGGCTCCACGCTGGGTGGGGAGCCTGCTTAAGATTCTCTCTCTCCCTCTCCCTCTGAACTGCATGCCCACCCCCCTACCCTGGCTCCCTGCCCCTCGTGCTCTCTCTCTCTTAAAAAACAAATGCCTAAAAGATGTTCTTCAGGTAGAAGGGAAATAGTATCATATGGAAACTCAGATCTACAGAAAAGAATGAAGAGCACCAGAAATGGTAAATATGTGGGTGCATATAAATAGCTATCTTTTTCATCTCTTAATTTCCTTAAAACAAAGTCAACAGTTTAAAAATTTTTATTTAAATTCCAGTTAGTTAACTTACAGTGCAATATTGGTTTCAGGAGTAGAATTCAGTGATTCATCACTTACACATAACACCCAGTGCCCATCACAAGTGCCCTCCTCCATACCCATCACCCACCTAGCCCATCCCCCACCCACCTCCCTCCATCAACCCTCAGTTCCTTATCTTGAAGAGTCTCTTATGGTTTGCTTCCCTCTCTCTCCCCCTCCCCATATGTTCATCTGTCATTGGCAATGGTGTGGATGGAGCTAGAATGTATTATGCTAAGCAAAATACATCAGAGAAAAACAATACCATATGATTTTACTCATATGTGAAATTTAAGTAATAACGTTTCTAGATGGAGTTGGTAATGTAGACAGAGGTAGAAAATAAATTGGGACACTAGTAAAAGGATAGGGTAGGGAGCAGGGAGTAAAAATTATACTATTGTAAGGTTCTTACATTCGTGCAATATGAGATAGGAAGTGGGAAAGGTCAGGTATGAAGTGTGAAGTGGCATGATATTACTTAAAAGTATCAAATCATTAGGGAGGCATAATATTACCCTGGAAAAATCACTAAATAGGGGTGCCTGGGTGGTTCAGTCGTTAGGCGTCTGCCTTCGGCTCAGGTCGTGATCCCAGGGTCCTGGGATTGAGCCCTGCATCAGGCTCCCTGCTCTTGGGAAGCCTGCTTCTCCCTCTCCCACTCCCTCTGTTTGTGTTCCCTCTCTTGCTGTGTCTCTGTCTGTCAAATAAATAAATAAAATCTTTAAAAAAAATCACTAATAATAGCAAAGAATATAATTTAAAATATATAATATTTTAAATATACAAATACTTAAGTTTTGTAAAAGGAAGCAGAAAATGAGCAATAGAGAAATTAAAAATAAAAGAGACAATTAGAAGACAAATGATAGTATGATGGACTTTAAACCAACCATATGAATAATGACATTGAATGTAAACTCCTAAGCACTCCAAAAAGTCCTTCAAGACAAAGGGTATTACCAGAGAGAGAGAACTGGATATCTCCTCCTTAAAAGATTTAATTAATAAAAAAGACATCAAAGTTCTAAATGTGAATGCACCTGAAACAGCTTCAAAATATATAAAGAAAAAAATGGATAGAAACGAGAAAGAAATAGCAGGTACAAAAATCATAGTAGGAGATTTAACACTCCTCTCAATAATTGATAGAACAGGAGAGAGGAAAAGGAAATAAGGTATAGATCTACATAACACTATCAACTGTATGTACATTTACAGAACGTCATACCCACCAACTGCAAAATGCATTTTCCTTTCAAGAGTACATGGGGGGCGCCTGGGTGGCTCAGTCGGTTAAGCGACTGCCTTCGGCTCAGGTCATGATCCTGGAGTCCCTGGATCGAGTCCCGCATCGGGCTTCCTGCTCGGCAGGGAGCCTGCTTCTCCCTCTGACCCTCCCCCCTCTCATGTGCTCTCTCTCTCTCTCTCATTCTGTCTCAAATAAATAAATAAAATCTTAAAAAAAAAAAAAAGAGTACATGGAACATTCTCCAAGATAGATGATATACTGGGCTATAAAATAAGTCTCAACAAATTTCAAAGGATTAAAATTTATAGAATATTTTCTCTGACTACAGCAATAAAACTCAGTAACAATAATATACCTAGAAAATTCCCAAATTCTTTAAAATTAAACAACACACTTTTAGGGGTGCCTGGGTACCATAGTCAGCTAAGCATCTGGTTCTTGATTTCAGCTCAGGTCATGATCTCAGGGTCATGAGATCGAGCCCCACGTCAGGCTCTGTGCTGGGCCTGCTTAAAATCCTCTCTCTCCCTCTTCCTCTGCCCCTCCTCACCGCCCCCTCACACTCTCTAAAAAATAAATAAAATAAAATAAAATAAAATAAATAAAATAAAATAAAAACCACACTTCTAAATAACTCATGCATCCAAGAAACCACAGGGTAAACTAGAAAATATTTTGAACTGAAAAATAATGAAAAAAAAAGTTATCAAAATCTGTGGCCTGGTGGCCCAGTGGGTTAAGTTTCTGTCTTCGGCTCAGGTCATGATCCCAGGGTCCTGGGATCGAGTCCCACATCAGGCTCCTTGCTCAGCGGGGAGCCTGCTTCTCCCTCTGCCTGCCACTCCCCTTCTCGTGCTCACTCTCTGTCAAATAAATAAATAAAATCTTAAAAAAAAAAAAATCTGTGGGATGTAGCTTAAGCAGTATATCCCCAGAATGCAAAGGTGACTCAACATTCAAAAATCAGTATAATTCATGACGTTAACAGAATGAGGAAAAGTTTAAGATCATCACAATAGATAAAGAGAAAGCACTTGATAAAATTCAACTCTGTTCATGGTTGCAAACTAGGAATAGAAGGGAACTTTCACAGTTTGATGAAGGGCATCTATTAAAACCTATAGCTAATTATATACTTAATGGTGAAATATTGAACACTTTCAAAGATCAGTCACAAGGCAACAACGTCCACTTTCACTGCTTCTATTCAATATTGCACCAGAGACCCACATCAGTGCAATAAGAAAAAGAAATAAAAGCCTTTAAAATTGGAAAAGACAAAGTAATACTGTCTCTGCTGACATATAATATGATTTTCTACCTAGAGAATCCTAAGGAATCTACAACAACAAAAACAAACCCTACAAAACTGCTAGAATAAATAAGTGAATTTAATTTAGCAGGGTCAGGGCGCCTGGGTGGCTCAGTCGGTTAAGCATCTGCCTTTGGCTCTGGTCATGATCCCGGGGTCCTGGGATCGAGCCCCGTGTAGGGCTTCCCTGTTCAGCGGAGAGTCTGCTATTCTCCCTCTGCCTCTCCCCTCCACTTGTGTGCTCTCTCTCTTTCTCAAATAAATAAAATCTTTAAAAAAAATTTAGCAGCGTCATAGGATACATAGTCAATCTATTGAAATCGTTAGTATTTCTATATCCTAGTAACGAGCAAAAATTTTAAATATAGTTAAAATATCATCTGAAAGCTTAAAATATTTAGGAATAAACTTAGAGATGTACACTGAAAATTACTAAATATTGCTGAGATAAAGGAAACTTAAATTAATGGAGAGATATACCATGTTCATGGGTCAGAGGAGTCAATATCATTAAGGTGCTCATTCTTCCCAAATTGATCTATAGATTCAATGCAATGCCAATCTAAATCTGAGCAGACTTTTTTTTTTTGTAGAAAATGACAGGATTGATAAACTCATTCTGAGACTTATAGAAATGCAAAAGGCCTAGAAGAAACAAAACGACTTTGAAAAAGGGGAACAAAGTAGAAGGGCTTACACTAGTTATTTCAAGGCTTCCTATACAGCTATAGTAATCAAGAGAGTAGGGTACTGGTATAAGGACATGGATACAAACAGACTAATGGAACAGAATAGAGAATCTGATATATGAACATATATGGTCAACTGGTTTTCAACAATTGTGCCAAGATAATTCAAAAGGGGAAAGGATAGTCCTTTCAAGGAATGGAGTTGAAACAACTACATATCTGTGTGGGTGAAAGGGAACCGTACATCCTACCCCATGACATACACAAAAATTAATTATAAATCAATTCAAGACCTAAATGTAAAAGCTAAAACTATAAAACTTTACAAAAAAATGTTAGAGAAAAATCTGTGTGACCTTGGTTAGATGAAATGATTTCTTAAATAGGACACAAAAATTGAATTTTAGGAAAATTAAAAACCTATGCCCTTCAAAAGACACTGTTAAGAAAATGAAAAATGGGCCATACACAGAAATATGATACACATATCTGACAAAGGACCTGCCCAGAATACATAAAAAAGCTCTTACAACTCAATAAGAAAACAAACTCCATTTTTTAAAAAATGGATAAAAGAATAGATACTTCACAAAGGTAAGATTTGTGAGTGGCCAATAGCACATGTTGCAGTATTATTCTGCAGAGTCAAAACATGGAAACAACCTAAATGCCCATCAGTGTGTCACTGGATCTACAATTCTGGTATTTTTATACTGGAATACTACTATTCCAATAAAATGCAACACACTGATGCACACAAAACATGGGTGAATCCCAGAATCATGCTGAGTAAGAGAAGCCAGACGTGGCAAACTACATACTATATGATTCCCTTTATATGAAGCTTTAGAACAGGCAAAGCTATGGGGCTCCTGGGTGGCTCAGCATCCAACTCTTGGTTTCGGCCCGGGTCGTGGTCTCAAGGTCATGGGATTGAGCCCTGCTCAGGCTCTGGGCTCGGCTTGGCGCAGAGTCGGCTTGGGATTCTCCCTCTCCCTCTGCCCCAACCCCTGCTCGTGCTCACTCTCTAAAATAAGTAAAATCTTAAAAAAAAAAAAAAAGAACAGGCAAAGCTAATCGATAGTGATAGAAATCAGATCAGATGGAAGTTCCTGGGACAATGTGGTAGGGGGACTGACTGCAAAGGATCATGAGGTAACTTTCTGAGATGATGAAAATGTTCTAAATATCATTGGGGTAGCAGTTACATAGATGTATACATTCGTCAAAACTCACTGAACTATACATTTAAAATGTATACATTTTATTTTATATAAATCATATCTTAACATTGACTTTACAGAAAAGCACATGTGCTAACTCCCACCTCTGCGTGTGATGGTTGCACTTTCCCCCTCTTGTGGTCAGATCAGGTTTCCATCCATCTCAGCTTCCAAACCTTCCTACCGTTAACGAATAATTGGTCACAGAAGTGGGATTTGCGGGGAGAAGAAAGAAGAAATTACTTATGTGTAGGGAGAGTGTGGGGGAGAGAGATCAATTTACTCAGACATGACCGAGTCCCAACGCACCAGGTGTACAAAATTCCTTTAGAACCCTGTGTGCGCCAGAAGTAAAGCCAGTGATGCAGGGACAGGAAGAAGAGAGTGACACTGTCATGTGCACCCCTGCATGTCCTCACTGTTGGTCTTCATGTCCCACAGACCCAGAGAAGAGCTGCCAGCCAGTGTTGGAGACTCTGCGCCAGGCCATAGATGGCACGGTGTACGCCCACAGCACCTTGGAATTGCAGACGCTGCAGCCTGTGGTCAACTTCCTGGCCACGGCCACAGTACCAGGCTTCTGTGAGCGCCCACTGTGCCCACGCCTCTTTCGACTCTTCACAGTGCTGGCCCTGGGGAGCGTGACCCAGGCCATGCTGCTGAGCAGGCACACACCGAGCATCCAGGCCTGGCTTGAGCGCTTTCCCTCTGTGGAACGGGAGGGGCTTCTAGCAAAAGCCTTGGTCCGGGCCTCGGTGGAGGCCTGGGAGGCCGTGGGCAACTGCTTTCTGCCTTCCCCCCTCCACCCACATTACCGCTTCTCCCTGCACTCTGTGAGCCAACTACTGGGCAGCTTACAGCTGCTGCCCACCAGGATGGGCTCCCGGGGCTTTCTGGACTGTCCCAGCCATCAGGAGCACTTGCGCCGGGTGTCAGGCTTGCGTGGCACCCGCCTGACGATTATGGTGGCCATGCGCAACATGGTGCGTCTCTGGTTGCACGAGGCCCAGAGAACCTTTTGTGACCGGCTGGACAGCCCTAGGGAACGCTCTCACTGCGCCAAGCTGCTCCTAGAAGTAGCTCAGAGTGTGTTCTGCTGTGGGCCAGCACCCCAGAATGGGGCCAAGGGCTCTGAGGAGGAGGAGGAGGAAGAGGAGGAGGAGGAGAGGGTGCCTGAAGTGGAATCCGAAGGGGAGCTGGCCCAGTGGGAAGACTTAAGCAACAGCGACAGTGAGACAGAGGAGGAGGAGGACCCTTATGGCCTGCAGGTCACCACCAGCTCACCCTCCTGTGATTCGGGTCTAGCACCTTCCATAGCACCAGTAAGGAGGGAGACCATAGAAAGCCTAAGTCCGAAGATAAGCCAGCAGGAGGGCACAAAGGCTTCTGGCTACAGACTCCAGTTAAACAGAAGCAAGAATAGGTGGCAGAAAACCTCCCGGAGGGACACGGCCTCACCCCTTCTGCTACCAGTGCTGCTACTCCGCCCCCAGGAAAAGCCCTCAGACCTGGTGTTCAGTCAGGAGCTGATCCTGGGGTCCAGCTCTGAGAGCCCCAGCTTGTACCTGGAACGGCAGTGGGAGAGCCTGGAGGAGCAGCTGTCCACTGCAGCTGCTCAGTTGAAGCTGAACGCCCACCTTGCCCGGTGCCACTCCATGGCCAAGCACGTGGCCCGCCTGGTCCGGGTGCTGGCCAGGCCCCGGCAGCACGGCCTGTTGTTCTCAAGGGCTCTGGGTACTGGGCGCCGTACGGCCATCACTCTGGCAGCTAGCATCTGCCAGGCCCGCCTCTTCCATCTGCCGTCTGGCGCAGAGGACGCCGTCCTCCAGTGCCTACGGGAGGCCAGTTGGCATGCTGGCGTGTTAGGCCAGCCGGTGGCCCTGCTGGTGCCCAAGGGTGTGGATCTTACCACCCTTCATCGTCTGCTGGCCCTGGCAACCTTGGGCAGTTTCCCTGACCAGTATACAGAGGCAGATCTGGACAGCATTGAAGAACATCTCCCCAGGGAGAACCTTAGTGTCAAGCAGAACAGCAAGAAGGAAACGCTGTTGCAGAGGTGAGGTCAGGAACCCCATGGGAGGGGCTGCTCTGCTCTCGCTCTACACTGGCCAAAAGGCCAAAAAGAAATCTAAGAGCTGCTGTGAGGGCTCAGAAGATGAGGGCTAAGGGGTCAGGTTTGGGACTGGGGCCTAGATGGGCAAACAGGGATAAAGGGGAGGATGGTATCTGAGCCCCTGGCCCGCAGGTTCTATCAGCAAGTCTGCAACCACCTGCATATGTTCATCCTGCTTGGAGATGACCAGGCCCACAGACAGCTGCCCTCCACCCTTTTCCTGAGGCTTCTTCAACTGGCCATTGCTAGCATTGACCGCTATGAACCCTGGGACCAAGACTCCCTGATCAGTGTGGTCCGGTACTACCTGGAAAGCACTCAGAATCTATCCATTGATGATGGTGAGCCCTTTCTACCTGTTCTCACTACTCCTCTCAACCAGGTGTTAGTGAGGACTCAGGTCAGTCTCTCTCTCTCTCTCTATATATATATCTCTCTCTCCCTAGAACCTAGTGATCCCCTTCACCTTTTCTGCCTTCCTTCCTGAATCAGAAGAGGGTCCCTTTACTTTCCCATTCTCCTATAAACTCACAAGCTAAATTCATGCCCATTTCAGACTCCTTGAAGTGCCCAGACCTCCAGGCGTCAATTCCCAGGGTGGCCAAAGCCATGGCTCTCATTCACCTTTCGGCTGTCAGCTACTATGGACACCTATGCCCTGAGTTACCACTCGTCACCCCCAAGACTTTCCTAGACTTTCTGGACGCCTTCATGCTGCTGCAGCAACAGATGACCCTGCAGATTAAGAACAAGTTCCAGCGGTGAGTGCTCCCATTTCCCGCACTGTACCTCCTTCTGCTTCCTTGGGCCCACTTTATTGGTACATCGTATCTCCAGGATCCAGAATGCCTTAGAAAATTTGAGAATGCTGATCGAGAAGCACAATGCCTACACCAACTTTGTCTTCAACTTGGAACAGCTGCTGAAAGACTCCCGCAAGGTAAAGGGGGAGAAGATTATGAGGTATGCACAGGAGGGCAAAGCAGGAGCCCCCAGGGGGCTTTGGAGGAACCAACCAGAGTGAACCTTAGCTCTTATCTCCTGAGAGTACCCCTTTCCCCAGGGGATCTCTTTAATCCCTGCTGCCTCCTCCTCTAGAGTTCAGGCTCAAAGTTCCCCATGGCACAGCTGAGACCAGGCTGATTCTTCTAAACACAGGAAACCCCAGTCTGCTTCTGCTGTCCTTAGTGTGTACTTTGACGATGGGAAGTCCAGTATACTGTCCAAGATCTGAATAGATTCCCATCAGGGATGAGGCAGAGATTACATTCTCACGGTTGCCTCTACTCTTACCCCTTCTTCTGGATTCTCTATCCTGGCTCATTGGCACACCTCTTATGGCCATCCTCCTTTCCCACACAGCTTTGTCCCTGTACCCTCTTCCTTCCACAAAAGCACCAACTACACAAGGCTCACATGCACACTGGGGAAATGTGGATGGGTGATGGCAGCAGAGCAATTTACATTTTTAGACCAGAACCAGAAAGAGATTGGAATGGTACACTAGACCTCACTGTCCTGAACTTCTTTAGTCACCCTCCTCTACAGGGTATCTCCCAGTCACCAGCTCTTCTCCTCACCTCTCCCGGTGCCCACTCCACAGTGTTATTCAGTGCTCCACCTTTCCTTTAGAGCTCGTCCAATATAATTCTCATGTAACAAGAGAGAATTTTTCTAGTCCAAATCTAAATCCCATTTTTTTTAAAGATTTTATTTATTTATTTGAGAGAGAGAGAGTGAGAGAGAGAGCACATGAGAGGGGGGAGGGTCAGAGGGAGAAGCGGACTCCCTGCCGAGCAGGGAGCCCGATGTGGGACTCGATCCAGGGACTCCAGGATCATGACCTGAGCCGAAGGCAGTCGCTTAACCAACTGAGCCACCCAGGCGCCCAATCCCATTTTGTTTTTAATAAGAGAAATTCTGAAATAGCTTTTTTTTTTTTTCCTTCCTGCTACACAAGGCTTTGGTGAAGGTTCAGGGATAACTTCCAGAGAAGTAAACTAGTGGTCAACCCACACACAGACAAATGCTTCCCCTCTACTGGGCTCTCAGGCCATAAGCTCCCAATGCCTAGCCTGTCTCTTTTGATGGGTGCCTCAGGGCCATCACCCAGTGCTGCACAACTCTAGTAGGAGTATGTATTCCATTGTATCTACATGCATGGTTGTCATCGTGTTCTCTGTAAACGATGCTCCCTAGAGTTCTCACAGTACTGGTGCCCTCCTACCATCCACCACCAAGGATCACTAGCTTAGATGAAACCTCAAGACTCATTGAGATTAAAAAAAAAAAAAAAAAGTTCACATAGGGACAGGAATGGCCTCCCGCATGTTTTCCAAATTCCAGTTTCTTGTCTTGGGTCCTACCATTTCCCAAGATTATTAATACCAGGAATTATTAATCTGGTTTAAAGGTGCTATTATTCTTTGATCCCTGGGTCAGTTATATCAAAGGACAACATAAGAAGCCCAAAATCTGGATAAGAGATGTTCATAGTGGAGGTGCCTGGTTGGCTCAGTCTGAAGAGCATGCAACTCTTGATCTCAGGGTTGTGAGTTCAAGCCCTGTGTTGGGTGTAGAGATTACTTAAAAATAAAGTCTTAAGAAAAGAGAGAGCGAGCGAGAGAGAGATGTTCATAGTGTCAGAGGCATTCAGTGTCAGATCCCTTGGCCATTCATTCAACAACCATAATAGTGTGTACTTCTTTCAGAGTTCCCCACCCCAGGAAACGGCATCACCATCCACTTAGTTAAGCCAAATCCCAGGAGTCATTCTGGAGCCCTTCGTCTCTATTCTCTCTCATATTCAGCTGGTTCATTATTCATTACTGTACTCTACAAAAATTAATTGAACTCCACTCTTCTTGTCCATCCACTTATTAATACTTATGTCCGTGTCTACATCTATGTCTACATCTAGATCTAGGTCAATAGAATCCTTGCTACAACTTTTTGAGGTGGCTATCCTTTTTCCCATTTTACAGATGAGAAAACTAAGATCCAGAGAGGTTAGGATGGGGATTAAATGAGATTGCACATGGACAGCATTTGAATGTCCTGGCACATAGTAAGAGCTCAATAAATGATAGCTCCTCCTAATAAGAAAGATAAGGTACCATCCTTGCCTTCATGGTACCTAGTTTACTGGAACATATAGACTCATCCAGGCAATTACAAGACAGTGTGCTATGACAGAGAAAGTCCATGGTGCTCTGAAGTATCAAGACTTTTCTAGAGAAAGCAAAGTGCCACAATGAGTTATGTGTAGAACATGGCAAGCACTGAAAACATTCCTTAAATATGGAAACAAATGAATGAAGTGCACAACGTTGATACCTGGAGGTTAGCTAAGATCTGGGTGGGGAGGATGTCACAGGCTGAAGGAAAAGCATGGGCAGATGCCCAGAGGCGAGAGAACGCATGCCACATTGGAGGAGCTGAAAGTCAGGAATGGCTGGAGAGTGGGGTGCTGGGGGAGGAGAGACATGAGGTTGGAAAGTGGAGTCGAGGCCTCCTGGGCACAGAGGCCTCATAAACCAACTGGGAGAGTGGGGAGTGTTCGGGAATGTGAGGATGATGGTCTTTGGCTGCAGCAAGGAGAGCAGAGTAGAGCAGAAACTAAGACAGCAGTGAGGAAGCACGGGCCCAGGCAGGGGAGCACACAGGACAGACAGGTAGGAGGCAGACCTGAACAGCCTTAAAGACGGGCTGGGGTCAGGGGAATAGAAGAGATGGAGTCAGGGGAACAATGAGGTTTTCTTCCTTAGGAAACTTGGGTGTGTTTTGCCACAGTTCTCTGAGAAAAAGAACAGGTGAGGAGGCAAATAAGATTGCAAGAGACCTGATGGGGCGTAGCCAAGACATTGTTCCTTTGGGGACATGTGGAGTCCGGGGAGCATGCAAGGCATCCAAGAGGAGACTGCCACTAGGCAGATGGATATGTGGATGTGGGGCTCAGGAAAAAATCGGGCTTGAGACAGCGATTTGAGAGTTGTTAAAATAGAAGTGGTAATCAAAGCCATGAGATTAGGGAGGACACATAGAAGTGTAGAATGAGAAGATACAGAGGCCCTGAAACATTGCTGAGGAATATTTAAGGGATGGTAGAGGAAGAGACTGAGAAAGAGCAACCAAAGAAGCTGAAGAAAGCCAAAGGATACCATGGGGTCATGAAAGTCAAAGGAAGACAATGCTTCAAGAGCGAGGGAACTGTCTTCTGTGACAAATGCCACTAATGGGTCAAGTAAGATGAAGAGTGTGGCATAAGCACATAGGCTTTGGAGTCAGACTGCCGGGGCCTGTGTGGCAGATCAGGAGAAGCAATCACCCACTTGGAGCTGCGTTACCAGGTGTGTGACTCACACATCAGCAAGTGACAGTTTCAGGGCTCAGTCCAGGGCTCTGGGCCTATATGGAGTTCAACTTGGTCATCCTGACTATCAAGCGAGGAGTATGCTGGAGTCCCAAGCCCCCGGGGCTCCCTCTGGGGTATTCCCAACTGGCCCAGGATCTGGAGCTGCAGAGCCTGGATCTCTGTTTGCAGACCGTCAGCATACATCAGCAGCAGCTAGAGAAGGGCAAGCTGCTGTTCAGGCAGCAGCTAGGAGAGTGTCAGCAGCAGGAGAACCTCATCGGGAACCTGACCAAGCAGCGGGATGCCCTGCAGGCTCAGCATGAGGCTTTCCTGGAGCAGGTGGGTTTTCCTGCTGCCTGCCCTGCACTGGTCCTCTCTTGGGAGGGGACAGCCTTTCACAGGATGCCCAGAGGAGAGAATGGGGTGACTTGTCATGGAGTCTTTGGGGTGAGGGGCAAAGGTAATAGGATGGCTTGAGGAACTGTCCCTCATGGGAACCCCTAGGAAGAAATGATCCCTCCTGGCAGCACCTTGAAGGAAGAGGACACTCTGGGAACTCACTTCAGGGGTGCATCTCTCCTCATTTAGATGGGCAAGGCCTTCCTGGGACCTCTGAGCCAGCTGCAGGTGGCTGACTTTGAGGAGATACGGAGCTATCGAGCGCCACCAGAATCGGTGGTCCAGGTGACCGATGCACTGTGCGACCTGTTCCACTGTGAAAGAGGCTGGGCCAGTGCCAAGCAACTCTTAGGCACCGAGGATTTTTATCAGGTAGGAATGTGGAGCACAATGGAGGAGGAGAGTGGAGGCCTAAGCGGGGCGGGGGGGGACCTGGCAGAGTGAGGCAGTTGGGGCAAAGTCCAGAGCACCTATGTCTGCCCCTACCCCTCTTAACACACTTTCCCAGGAGCTGGTGTTCTTCCCCAAGGAGAAGATGACGGACTCAGAGATGATAAAGTTAACCCAAGCTCTGAAGGCTCCAGGTATGAGTGACGCAGCTCTGCGGGCAGTAAGCATACCCGCAGCAAACCTGGCCGCCTGGCTCTGGGCTGTTCTGCGCTATGGGCTGGCCCAGCGCCGAGGACTGCCCACGGGCCTCCTGCTGCGGCAGATCGAGGCCACGCTGGCTCGGGAGCAGGCCCGCCTGGGCCACTGCCAGTTTCAGGCCCAGGAGACCCTAGAGCACAATTTGGATCTGGCCAAGACACTGGAAGAGGCTCGGGCTTCGAACAACCGTATGATAGAGAAACTCAGTCAGGCTCAGTGTGGCCAATATCACAAGTGGCCCATCAAGGCTGCACTGCTCACACCCATGCACTCCTGGACTACAGAGCTCCAGGTAACCAGCCCCTCCCGCGGTTCCCCTCAAAGCTCATTTCTGCACCACTGCCCCCAACCCCTCGGCTCCTCCCTGGGCTCTCCCTGCCATGCTTTCCTGCACCCCTTGCCTCGCTCCCTCTCTGCCTGTACCCTCCTCGCTGGCCCACATGCCTTCTGCTCTTCCTTCCCGTGCCAGAAGTTGAAGGGGCACTGCCTGACTGTGTTCGGAGACGCCCTCCTGTGTTCAGCTGCCATCATCTACCTGGGTCCTTTCCCACCAGTGCGGCGCCAGGAGCTACTAGACAAGTGGCTGGCTCTGTGTAGGGGCTTTCAGGAGACCCTGGGCCCAGATGATGTGGCACAAGCCCTGAAGCAGAAGCAGAAATCTGTCGTCGTGCCACCAAAGAAACCCCTGCTCTCCGTACGCTCTCCCTTCAGCCTTCTGTCCTTGCTGAGCTCCGAATCCGAACAGTTCCAGTGGGACCGAGACCTGAAGCCCCAGGCGAAGTCAGCCCGCCTGGCAGGCCTGCTTCTACGAAGCAACACCCACTACTCCAGTTGCCGTTGGCCTCTGGTGCTTGACCCCGGCAACCAGGCCCTCATCTGGCTGAACCCACTGCCTCTGCAAGAGACTAGATGCTTGGCCCCAGGCCCCACAGAGTACAGAGGTAAAGCCAGGGATGAGGAACATAACGCTTCTCGGGTATCTGAACTGCCAACACTCTCGGCCACATGTGGTCTTCCCTTTCATAATGAAGACACTAAATTTTTGTGGCCAGGGTATCCTAGACTTCATCAGTCCATATGATATTAGTCAACTAGTCACATTTACATCTTGGGGCCTACATTGCGATGATTCTGAATCTACATGGCTGACCAGTCCATGATCTTCTACTTCCCTGGTCTGCCCAGCATTCTTAGAAACTTGGCCTACAACTCAGAGCCTTCCTTATTATCCAAGTTTATCCCATGTTCAGGAATTCTGGGGAAGTATTTCTATTAGCTCTGCTTGGAGCAGAGACCCATCTGGGTAGAGTGTCAGAAGGAGGTGTTTTCCAGGGGAAGGAAGCAAGGGTGTTGTGTAGGGGAAGGAAAAAAGGGTGTTTATATTCCAGAAGAAAGGGTTGGGAATTGCACTGGGGAGAATAATAGACATCTACAATGGACTAGGTATGTAATAAAGTGGTCTGTAACACGGGCTCTGTAATCAGACTGTCTGGGTCAAATATCTGTTCTTTACTAGCTGTGCAAATAGGGCAAGGTACTTAATCGCTCTAAGCCTAAATTTATTTGCCAATAAAATGAACATCTTAATTATACCCATCTCATAAAACGTTGTATTAAGCAAGAGAATTCATGTAAAAGGGGTTTACACAGTGCCTAAAAATAATAAGTTCCGAAAAATGTTAGTATCACTACTAATGTATTACTACTACCATTATTCCACTCCATCCCTTGGCTGTCCAGCACAACCCTTCCATTGTGCCCATACCCCATTACAAAAATGCCCATGACACAACTATCTCATGTGTAACTATAAGTGAATTTACCCCCCTCTAGTAAGAGTCCCCTGAAGAAACCTCCAGCTGCAGCATCCAATTCTGAGTCCTCGAACTGTGAACGATGTTCACTGTTCTTGATCAGACCTAGATGTAGCTCTTTGTGATTCTATAACCTATGATAGAGTGCAAGCTAAATCTCACCCTAGTAATACACCTGATAGGCAGAGTGAAGCAAAATCAAATCAAGATAACTACAGTAAACTTCCTGTTTAGAGACCAGGTAAGGGTAAGAAACACACACTTGTATGTTAATCTTCCATCATGTGCTGTGTGACGCCAAACAGGGATAGTAAGGCGAATGATTAGCATCACTTCACTGGCTATAGAGTGAGTTCTTGGACAGCCACTTTGGCTGTCCTGGGTTCTGATGAACAGTATAATTTTCCTTGTCCATTGTCCCCACGGCTATCTATGAAAGGAACATTGGGCAAGAGTCCCCTGTTTGTAGCTGTTCTGCCTTACATATCCACTTCGTATTAGAATGGGATGGGGGCTTAGGATTTGCCTTAAAATTAAGCAAACATTGATCACTTGTTACCAGACAGGGGATTTTCTAGCTAATTCCTTTAAATCTCTCATCATTTCCCTGCAGATTTCATTTGTCAGGACTCTATTAGCTATTAACCAATGCCAGAAATCTTGGTATGTTCTCATTCTTGAATTTAAACCCCATTTTTTTTGTCTTCTCTCTTAACATTGGTTCTGGGGCTCTAGCAATCCCACTAAGCCTTAATGTAATTGTCATCCATCTAAACCTTGGCCTTCACCTCAGAGCTGTGGTAATAAAATAGTCTGAGTAGTGAGGTTAGGCTAATTGCCCATGGAATGTAGCCCCTATTACCTGGGGCTGTATCCAAATCAAAAGTGGGAGGGAGACTATTAGGTTTGTCAAGCAGGGAATGCTTAAAGAGAAGTGCTTGGGATGGACCTGGAGAATTAGACTTCCCTGATTTTCCAGGCTCTTCCAATAGCCAAATTTCCTATTCCATGCAACATTAGGTAGAAAATCATTTTTACAAATCAACAAGATGCATGAGTATCTGATAATCTGTGGTCTGAAATTGCTTGATATGAGCAGAAAGGAATTTTCTTTTTTTGGGAGGTTGTTCCTCTTATCTAAGAGAGAAGTAGCCAACGTGCCTTCTGCTAAATCCACTGAAGTTCAGTGAGCATATGGTCCAAGTCCCATGAGATAAACCAACTTCTTACCTACCACATAACATAGGAGGGAAAACAAAAATCCTCATTGCCCCTCCCCACCACTAACTCCCTGTATCAGCTAGGAATTCTATCATGATCAGTAACAAAAGCCCAACTTACCATGGCTTAAGAAATAAGGATTTATTGGGGCATCTGGATGGCTCAGTTGGTTAAGTTGACTCTTGCTTGACCTCAGCTCAGGTTTGGATCTCAGGGTCATGAGTTCAGGCCCTGCATTGGGTTCCACGCTGGGTGTGGAGACTACTTCAAAAGAGAGACAGAGACAGAGACAGAGACTAGAAAGAAGGATTTATTTATCTCACACTATAAGAAGTACTGAGATAAGCAGGCACAGGGCTTCAGTATTGACTTCAAGTACCCAGATTCTTCTACCTTTCTGCTCAATGATCCTTAGCATGTTGGCTTATCACATTATAGTGGGTTGAATCCTAACCCACAGAACCTATTCATAGGAACTTATTTGGAAAAAGAGTCTTGTAGGTATAACTAAGTTAAGGACCTTCAAATGAGATCACCCTAGATTATCTGGGTTGGCCCTAAATCCAGTGACAATTGTCCTTATAAGAGAAAAAAGAGAAGGCATAGGTACACAGAGGGAAGGCCTCATGAAGATGCAGACAGATAGTGCTGTCAGGTAGCCACGAGCCAAGGAACTCCTGGAACCAACAGAAGCTGGAGAAGGCAAGGAAGGAGTCTTTCTTAAAGCCTCCAAAAGGAGTGCAGCTTTCCCAGCACCTTGATTTTGGACTTCTGGCCTCTAGAGCTACAAGGAAATAAGTTTTTGGTTTTTTTTTTTTTTCCCAGCCACCATATTTGTGGTAATTTGTTACCATATTGGCTGCTATCCCCCCGAAGCATCATGTCAGAGTTGCTGCTTGCCATTTCTCTCCCTTTTATCAGGAAAGCAAAAGATCGTCCAGAAGTCTGAATAGCCAAATGTGGTAGGCAGAGTTTTGGCCCCCATCACCTTTGTCCTCCATTGTTACTCCTATAACTATGTTCCATGGCAGGAAAGACTATGCAGATGTAATTAAGATTACTAACCAATTGACCTTAAGATAGAGATATCCTGGATTATCTGGGTGTGCCCAATGTAATCACATGTGCCCTTCAAAGAAGCAAGGCGGAAAGAAAAGACAGGAAGATTTGAAACATGAGAAGAATTCAAGAAACTGTTGCTGGCTTGAAGATGGAGTGGGCTACTGGGAAAGTGTGAGGTAGAAATGAATTCTGTCAAAAACCAGTAAGCCTGAAAGAGGACCCTAGCCCCTGATGAGAACTGCAGCCCCAGTTGATGCCTGATTAGCACTGTGTAACCCCGAGCGGAGCATCCAGTCATGCTGTGTGGCGTTTCTAACCTTCTGAGCTCAAACATAATAAATGGGTGCTGGGCGCCTGGGTGGCTCAGTTGGTTAAGCGACTGCCTTCGGCTCAGGTCATGATCCTGGAGTCCCGGGATCAAGTCCCGCATCGGGCTCCCTGCTCAGCGGGGGGTCTGCTTCTCCCTCTGACCCTCCTCCCTCTCATGCTCTCTGTCTCTCATTCTCTCTCAAATAAATAAATAAAATCTTAAAAAAAATTAAAAAAAAATGGATGTCGTTTTAAGCTGCTAAGCGGTAATTTGTGGTAATTTGTTAAGCAATAGGAAATGAATCCACTAAACTGTGGACCAGGCAACCTCCATTCGCCTACTTCATAATGCTTAATACTTCTTAAAAAAAGATTTTATTTATTTATTTGAGAGACAGCACAAGCAGGGGGAAGAGGCAGAGGGAGAGGGAGAAGCAGACTCCCCGCTGAGCAGGGAGCCTGATGCGGGGCTCGATCCCAGGACCCTGGGATCATGACCTGAGCTGAAGGCAGACGCTTAACCAACTGAGTCACCCAGGTGCCCCAGTGCTTAATACTTTAAAAAAATTCTTAAAATTCTTAAATTTCTTAATACTTAAAAAAATATATTATTTTTCTTTTCCAGTTCCTGCAGTAGAGGCGGCAAAGGAGGAGACTAGGGAGGGAGCCATCAGGGTCCACCATATACCCCATGACTTGGCTAATTCCAGTTTATGGCCTTTCACTTACAAGTTGCTACTTCCAGGCACTGATTTCTATATTAGCAACAATTTGTTTCATTGTGATGGAAAATTAGCTTAGGCAAAAAGAGAAATACACAGACTCTTCTAACCAGTCTGGTGAAAGGCAGAAATGGAACTGATTTCAGGGATACCTAGAACCCCTCTCTGGAGTTCTAGAGAAACAGTAATGGCAGCTACCATTTGTGGAGTGCTTCCTGGGTCCAGCAGAGTGCTTTCTATGTTATCATTTCATGTCTTCTGCCCCTTGTAACCCTGGGAGGTACTCATTAATATCAATCCCATGTTGCAGACGAGTTGCAGATAAGGAAATTGAGTCGGAAGGAGCTTAAGTGACTCCTAAGTTGTCTTCCTGTGGGCCTTCCCTCATGAGATGGAGCCCTTGGGTGAACGATGCTCCCTAGGAGCCTGGCTCATCCTCTGAGAGGAGTTCCTCTGCATCTTTCTGCCACAGAGAAGGGCTTTGTGAGAAATCAAGAAGAAGAGGAGGAAGACGACAGTCGTGAAGAGTGTGATAAGGCTAAGGACAAGACAAAAGAGCGGAAGACAGAGGACAGGGAAAATGAGGAGGAGGAGGGAGAAAAGGAAGAGGAGCAAGAACACGAGGAGGAGGATGAGACAGAGAGGCAGAGGTCAAGGCCAGCCTCTGACACTGGGTCTCTGCCCCTTCCCTACCTTCGTGTACTCTCAGGCACTGACCCAGAGTTGGGTCCTCAGCTCTGGGAGGCAGCTGCCAGTGGTGAGAATGGGTCCCCATCCACCGTGTCCCCCTCTGTGGCCCCACAAGCCTCTCACCCCCAGCCTGACCTCAGCTCCCATCCCTAAGCCAGGCACTAACTGCGTGGAAGAGCCCTGAGGGAATCCTCCCATTAGCCAGCGGGGAGCTGGTCAGAGCCAGATTTTGGGGGGGTGGGTGGGAGGGGCGCGGTGCTGGCATGGTGGGTAGGGTGTCCTTGTCGCCCCCTCATAGGCCTGCCCGTGCTACTGACCAACATGGAGCTGGGCCTAGGGTGCCAAGAACTGCAGTGGCTACTGCAGCGGGAGGAGCTGAGCCCTTCCCAGGTGCAGCCGGGCTTCTGTCTCTATCTGAGCACTAGTCTCCCCCTCAGTGCCTTGGAAAAAGGTGAGTCCCAGTGGGTAAGTTGCCACCACAGCTTTGTGGACACACTAGGTCTCCCGCTTCACTCAGTCTGGCCCCGAGCAAGCTCAGGACTGTGGTCGGGACATGTGCCTGGTGTACCCCAGCCACTGGCTTTGCCAAGGGGGAAGGGTTAAGCATCTCCCATGTGACCCCAAGTGCTAGGTTATGAACTGCTGAAGGGGCTGAATGTGCTGGATCTGAGCCTGAACATGGATATCCTAGAAGACCAGATGCTGCATGAAATCTTGGGCATAGAGTGTCCCGAGCTCAAGAGCCGTTGGCGGGACCTAAAGACCAGAGCCCTGGACAGCTGTGCAGCTGTGGAGGCTGCTGAGGTGCCTGGGGGTCCTGGCTATGGGTGGGGGTGAGCTTTGGAGGGGCCCGGGTGTGGGGGCAGAGGTGGGTGTGAATGGCTGAGGACTATGGGAAAGGATCAGACCCACGGAATGGGTGGCTGTTTGCAGGAGCGGCTGCTGCTGATGCTACTCCAGAACCCAAAACATCAGAAACCAGCTAAATTCCTACGGGACATGGTGAGGGCGCAGGCAGAGCTATGTCAGCTGCGCGCTCACTGCGAGGATCTAGAAGAGCTGAGACTGCAGGAGGTGGCATTGTGGGCGCCCTATAGGCGTGTGGTCTGGCACGCGATGGCCATAATAAAGGCCCTTAGCCCGCTGCAGAACCTGCTGCCCCTTTTCCGCATGAGCCCCGACAACTGGCTAGCGGCCACCAAGCGGGCTCTGAACAGCATGAAGCAGTGTGAGATTCACCAGGGGGAGGACCTGCCCAGCCATCTGCTGCATCTGAGAACACAGCTGACCCGCCAGCTACTGGGCAGCACCGTGGCTGCCCTGGGCCCGATCCACGTACCACTGGTGGGAGCCTTGGGTGCTTTGGCGCTGCTGCGAGCGGCAAGGAAAGCACCAGAGCTGGAGAGGCTAGCCTTTGTGCCTGGCCTGGCAGCCTCCCCTAGCACGGGCTACAGCAAGCCAGGGGTGGCTCGGCCGGCCTGGCTGGGGCTGAGAGCCTGGCATGAATGTGGCCTGTTGGAGATGTTGCCCCCATTTCCGGGGCTGTGTGCATCCCTGGCAGGCCAGTCCAGTGTTTGGCAGGCTTACCTGTCATTGTCATCCACAGTGCTGGGTCCTGCACCTGGGCCTGGGCCTGGACCCGATCCACTCAGCCTCCTCCAGAAGCTGATTCTGTGGCGTGTGCTGCGACCTGAGTGCCTGGCAGGAGCCCTGGCAGACTTTACCACCAGCCTCCTGGGCCGGCCCCTGGACGAAAACCTGGGTGCCTCCACCATACCCTTCGAACACAGCCAGGCTACTCAGCCTGTGCTGATCTTGTTGCCACCACCTGGTCACCCCACAGCCACCATGCATCCCCTGACTGTCATCCAGAAACTGGCTGCCAGGCATGAGCAGGTTTGAGCCTAGTCCCTTGGCCACAGAGACACCAGACCCCTGTGGGCCAAGATGGGGTGTGGTGGCCCCATCCCAGTATTCTTATAGATCTTTCTGGCTAACTCAGGGATTTCTGGGGTCATTTGTGGCATTCCTTTGGGTCCCTTGGGTCACCCCAGGATCACTTTGAGTTCTCTGCCACCTCTCTGTTGGTCTTCAGGGGCAGAAGCATCTGGAGGTGATCGCCCTAGGCTCTGAAGCCTGGGACCCAGTGTCAGCAGTGGTCAGCACGCTATGCCAGGCTATGCACAGAGGGCACTGGCTGGTGTTGGAGAACTGTCATCTGATGCCTCGCTGGCCAAAGGAGCTGCTACAGCCCTTGCTGGGGCTGTTGGATGGAGCCAGGGGTGTGTCTGCTACCTAATCCAGTACTGGGCCTGAGCTTGATCCCCTCACCCCTGGATCTCACTCCTGACCCCAGAGCCTCAAGTCTGACCCCTAAACTTGTGTCTGACCCTTTACCCAGTGATTGATCTCAGCCCCATATCTGACCCCTAGTGGTCTCGGACCTGGAGTTAGAACCGCTTCTAGCCCAACCTGCAAGCAGGAGTGTGACGACCGTCCACAGAGATTTCCGTCTTTGGCTTATTTTGTCTGCAGAGGCTATTGCTTCCTTACCAGGTGAGGAGTCCCCGCTATAGGCTCTCAGATTGAAGGAGGAGGGCAACTGTGCTGTGCTGACCCAGCACTCTCCTTCTGCCCCAGCTGCGCTGACTCAGCACTCCATGCCTGTTTTCTGGGAGCAGTCTCTGGAGCTGGGCCACGTCTTGATGGACAGCTTGGAGCTAGCCCAGCAAGAACTCTCTGTGCAACCCCCAGCAAGGGTGCTGCCTCTGCTTCTCTTACATGGCCTCCTGCTACACCGGCAGCAATATGGAATGAAGCTGCAGGCACACAGGGGGCGCTGGTGAGGGACCCCTGTCCATCTTGTTCAGTCAGTCATTCAGCAAACACTGAGCATTTTCCATATCCCTGAGGAGTACGACTAATTACTGCCTGGGCAGCACCAAAGTGTGCGGGCAAGGGCAAGTCAAGAAAGGCTCCTCCAAGGACTTTGAAATCTTGCTTTGAATTGAGTCTTGGAAGCAGAGGCAGATCAGGTGGAGATGGGGCTTTTCTGCGCAGAGGGAACTAAGCTCAGCAGGAGGAAAAATATTTCAATGTGGCTAAGATGGACATGCTGGGGGTTGGGTGGGGACAGGCGAGGCTTATGGTAAAGGGCCTATAAGACCATGGCAAGAGGCCTGATTTTATCCTGAGGATAGTGGGAAGCCACTGGAGAGTTTTAAGTAGAAGAAGTGTGATCCTAATTATCTGCTGGAAAGATCACTCTGGCTGCAGTGTGGAGAATGGACCAGATGGGACAGGGCTGGAGGCAAGCAGAGCCGTTTTAGGAGGCTCTGGCAGTCTGAAGGGACAAGACCATGGTATGGGTGGTAGGGACTAGGGTAGTCCCAGCACGGATAGAAAGTAAATATGGAGTGAGGAAGAAAGAGGAGTCAAGGGTGGCTCCCAGATTTCTGCCTAGGACAACTGGGGGCTGGTATAGGAGGAAATGATGATTTCAGTTGAAAGCAAGTTGAATTTGAAGTGCTAAGTGGCAATGACTAGTGAACCGTCGTGAGTCTGGAGCTTGGGAGCTTGGGCTAGAAAGACCAGAGTCCTCAGCATATAGATGGTTCTGAAAGCCTACTTCCTGCTCCCCTCCCCCAGGAGTACAGTGACCCTGACGCAGGTCCTTCAGATCCAAGAGCAGCTGTGGGCCGGCCTTAGCAATCCCAGTGCTGCCATGCAGGAGCTAGCGGGTGAGGCCCTTCCTGTCCCATGTGGTCATCAGCCCCCAGGACAGCCCTGAAAGGGCAGGAGTGGGAGTACTGGGATAGGGGCATGATTCCCAGCTTTGGTTTTGGTTTGGGAGGTGGTGGAAACTGCAGGGGCTAAAACTGAGGGACTCTGACCTTATTCTCAGCTTCCGTTTTCTATGGGGGTCCTGTGGGAGACAAGAAGGACAGGGAGGCCCTGATTAGCCTAACACAGGCCTGCCTGAGCCCCAACAGCCGGAGCTGGGCTCAACCACACACACCCCAGTATCTGCTGTCTACTCTGTTGCCCAGCCCAGGTAAGCTGCAGCCAGGTACCTGTGTTGGGCTGGGGCACAGTCTGTGTAATGCCCCCCTCAGGAATGTGAACCGCGGTACCAACAAAGGTGTAGGATGGGGCAATATTCACACAGTTATGGGATGGTGGCTTAAAGTGTCACCCCTCCCCTTCACCTCCAAGAGCTAGGGGAGCTGGATGCTTTGGAAGAGTGCAAGGCCCAGATGCACCTCTTGCCCACACCTCCTGAACCCCAGAGCTGCGGACTGAGCGCTGGCCCCCAGGCCTGGCTGTTACGACGCCAGAGCCGCACTCTCTTGAACGCGCTGCAGCGGAGTTTACCCACTTGGGTTTTTGCGTCTCGAGGAGGCTCCCGACACGCTGAAAGGCGGCTGCGGCAGCGCCTAGTGCAAGCCAAGTGGAGGCTGGAGTCGCTGCAGGCTCTGCTGGCGGAGACCGCCCGTCAGGAAGAGTCTGGCGCCGGGTGGCTGGTGCTGGGACTGAGCTCGCAGCGGCCTCTGCAGGCCTTCCTCCAGACAGAGGTGCTGGAGCTGAGCCAGCTGGCGGGTGCACTGCATCGGGACCTGGATTGCCTGTTGCAGCAGCTGCAGGGCGCGCCCCCGTGCGCCTCCCCGCGCTGTGCGGCCGTGGCCCAAGCTCTCTGGACTGGCCGCCTACCCCCGCCTTGGCGTCCCCATGTGCCTGCTGGCCCCCAGCCACCCTGGCACTGGCTGCGACAGCTGTCACGCCGTGGGCAGCTGTTGGTTCGCTACCTGGGCGTGGACACCAAAGTACCAGAGCGCATCTTTCACCTCTCAGCCTTTCGCCACCCACGCCGCCTGCTGCTGTCACTGCGTTGGGAGGCTACCTTTGCTACCACCACCCTGAACCAGCGTGCGCCTAGCTCGAATTTCTCTGGTTGCCAAGGCTCCAGCTCCAGTGGGCTCCCCCATGAACATCAGGAGCTGAACAGCAACCCTTTGCACCTCCAGGTATCTTCATGCCGCCCCTCAAATCCCTGATTACACCTTACAATTACCCCACCTTGCCTCTTGGTGATCTTGCCTCCTCAGGAGCCCCATATGCACTGATACCCCTCCACTAGGAACCCTCAGCTTCCTAGCCTTGCCTGATCAGCTTCTGGCACCTCTAGGTGGTGAATGGTCCAAATCCTACCGTTCCAGAGATGGGGCTGCTGCTGATTGGGCTCCAGCTCCAGAATGCCGAGTGGGACCCGTTAGCAGGGGCCCTGCAGGACAGCACCTGCAGCCAGCCCAGCCCTCTGCCTCCGATCAGCGTCAGTGCCCAGGCCCTGGGCCCCAGTGACTTGCCACCCCCACCTGGCCTGGCTGTGTATTCCTGTCCTGTGTACCTGGAAGGGCCCCTAGGTATCACTAGGCTGCACAGCAGGCACATTCTGATGCACCTGCCCCTGCCCACGAAGCTCAGCCCCGCCACCTGTGACCAACGGAGGGTCCATGTGTGCAGCCCACCTTTGCTGTGAGCCCTCAAACAAAATAAAGTTGGGGTGATTCAATGAAGGATTTCTGAGATTTAGCAGTGCAGGGGGTCTGCACATGGAGAATTGCCCTGCTGAGGGGAAGACCCAGTGTGCACAACTGAGAGGGGAATGTTGGTATCCTGTGGGAGATGGGCCTGGTGTTGGTCATGCATCCCAGGGGCTTGGTAGATGGGGATGGGTAATACACAGGATCCCGAATCCTCACCCAGCTTTCTACTGGGGTCTGAGTACTTGTGTTAAATCCACAAGAGATATATTTTTTTATCACAAGCGATATTTTTGAAGAGATAACATTAGAACTGAAAATTATTTTTTTAAAGCTTTCATTGTATTATCGAGAATGCCTCCATCTTTCCCTACCAGTCATCAACCTCCGCTGTGATAGATTCTCCAAGTGAGTCATATACATAAAAAACAAAAGCCAAATAAGATACAAGGTTTTATGTGCATTCAACAATTATTTTTTTTAAAGATTTATTTATTTTTTGAGAGAGAGAGCGCATGCGGGAGAGCATGCAGGCTACTGGGGGGAGGGGCAGAGGGAGAAAGACTCTCAAACAGACTCCCCACTGAGCAGGGAGCCCCAGCCTGGGCTTGATCTCATGACCCTGAGCTGAAATCAAGTCAGACGCTTAACCAACTGAGCCCTTCAACAATTATTTATTGAGCACTCCTCTGAACCAGATGCTCTTCCTGGCACTGATGAGGTTGTTCCAGAGCAGGGAGACAGACAAGAAAAGGTCAGTGTATAGGGAAGTTAAATTTGATCTGTATGTGCTATAAAGAAAATAAAGGAGGCTGATGTGTTAGAGCACGACTAGAATGGAGCAGTTAGTATCGTTTAGGTGGTCAGGCGATGCTTCCTGAATATGAGAAAGAGAGCTATTTGAAGATGTTGGAGGAGTGTTTCTTTTTTTTTTTTAAAGATTTTTATTTATTTATTTAACAGAGATAGAGAGAGAGCACAAGTAGGCAGAGCGGCAGACAGAGGGAGAGGGAGAAGCAGGCTCTCCGCCGAGCAGGGAGCCCGATGCGGTGCTCGATCCCAGGACTCTGGGATCATGACCCGAGCTGAAGGCAGACGCTTAACGACTGAGCCACCCAGGCGCCCCTGGAGGAGTGTTTCTGGGTAGAGCCCTCAGTAGGCGCAAAGGTCTTGAGGCAGGACAGAACATGTAGCTGGAGTATGGTGAATGAGGGGTAGGGTGATTAAAAATGATGGAAAGATATAGACAGGGGTAGATCACATAGAGCCTTTTCATGATAATCACCTTGTATTTTATTTTTAAAAGCATAAGGAGGAATCTAGTGCAGAGTATTAGGTATGAGAGGACATGATGCAAAGATCACTCTGGCTGTTCTCTATGGCGAATGGGTGGAAGAAAATCCAGAGTAACAAGGAACATTTGTTTGGAGGCTTGAAGTAATTCTAGTGGGAGATGATGGAGTTTGGATAGGGTCCCAACAGCAGGGATGGAGAATTGATGGATTTAGGAAATATTTTAGAGGCAAAGCCAGCAGGACTTGCTGATGGGTTGTATGTGAAGAGTGAACAAAGAGGACAAATCTAGGATGACTCCGAGATTTTAGGCTTGAGCAACTGAGTGGATCATGGTGTCATTAACTGAGATGAGAAATTTGAGAGAGGGACTTGCTAAGGGTAGGGAATCAAGAGTTCTGCCTTGATATGTTCAGTTATTATTAGGTCTTTGCATGCTATCCCAGGACAAACTTCTCTGACAAAAATTGGGTTAGCATGTAACTGAGCTAAAAGGCCTACATGGGCTCCTCTCCTTACCCCTAAGCACCAAAACTTACTAGGTACAACCTACGTCCCCCGCTGTATGGCTAGGTGTGAACTGTGTGGTGGGAGGTAATGCAAAGGGCAGTGTATACTGAGCGCTGACACACAACCTCTTGAGCCACCCGCCTCACCAGTGAATGTGGTGTAACCGATGTCCTTTAACAAAAGGCTGAGCAGAGGGGCAAAAAGTTCTACTTTCCTCAGAAACCCTTTCCTTTTCTTTTCCATGGTCAATCAGGGACAGGGCTGTTCCTTTAGGAGAGGAATAAGCAGATTATTAAAGAAGTCCGTTTGGATAAATGAACCGTACCCTCTATCCACATATACCATCGCTACTACCTATCCTCCAGTGGAAGCAGGGAGCAACAGTGCAGTACCTGTAAAACCACCTAAAATTGGTTAGAACAGAACATTTTCTACAAATCCACACTGTTTTCTAGACTGAAATTCATTCTTTTTCTCTTTTATGTAGGATTTTCTTCTTTTATTTTTGTAACTTCAGCTTTATTGAGGTATTAAACTTTTAATCAGAGACTATAAATAAGTACCATATGACTATCTGGCTCAAATACAATGACTGCCATGTGAAAATATTCCAGACCAGACAATTTCACTATTGTCTATCAGATAAATTAAAATCCCATTAGGAAATCAAAGTCCCAAACAATGAAAGGAAGGAAGAAGTAAGACACACGACAAAAGGGAGCAGCAGGTCCCATCCTGTCCTGATGGATGGCGGTAAATGAAGTAGAGACAGGAGGGACAAGTATGACAAAATCAACCTCATCTGGGACTTGGGATGCAGCAGTAAACTGAGGTACTGTGGAGAAAATGCTTTTGCCCTTTTCCCTACTAAGATTTTAAAAGGAAACTGCTCTGCAGCATGGACCTACTGTGGCCCCAAGAGCATTAAGAGGGCAGACTGGCATGGCCAGGAAGAAGTCCCTTGACCCCTTTATGGTATGGATACTGAGCAGAGACCCTTTTGGCCTGATGGATATGAGGCAGAGAATCACTGGGGTCTGCAGTACCAAAAAGGGTTGTTGAGAGGAGGCCAAATTGACAGGGAAGGGCACAAGGGCCTGACAGTGGAGAGAGACAAGACCACCAATTTATCAGCTTTAGAAGCAAATGTTGGTAGAATGCCTAGGTATGGGACGGGGCCAGCCATGCCCAGAAGATTCCAGCTTTTGCACACCCAAGAACCAGTATTAAGCCAGGCAAGCCCTTCCTTCTGATATCAAAATGCCACATAAGTCCTCCTGTCTATACCCAGATGCCACTTTGGAGAGGAGCAAAGGTAGAATGCTCAGACTTTTCTGAGCATTTATTTTAAAAAGAATGCATGAAACCTGAAGAGACTGAATTTATTTCTAGACTCTACTACTATCCAGTGGAGTGGAGGAGGGAGTGAGACTTGTGAGGAAAATCAGAACAGTAATTGAGAAAGGAGCTAAATTGTATTTGCATATCCAAATTTGTAAGGAAATTTGTGATCCTGCTCTGTATATTGCATGCACTAATAATCCCAAGACCAAAAATCTCATTGAATTCTGCTCTGTAACTCACCTGAAACTCATTTATTTTTGTAGTTTTTCAGTCTAATTTGAAATCCTCACTCAGAAATAGGATAAATAGGGGGAAATGTCTGAAATAGGGGGGAAAAAAAAAAGTGCCAGTTTCACCCACTAATGCCTAAGAAGCTCCGGTATCTAAAAGATACTGTTACCATTCCATTTTACATATTCAATAAATTATCCAAGGTCACAAAGTCAGAAAATGGTACAGCCAGTTTTGGAATCCAGACATTTGTCCCCAGAATCCATTCTCCATATGGCTTTCTATTGTCTCTTCCCTACCAAATGTTGAGGATATAGTGAAAAACAAGCATTCTCATGCACTGTTGGTAGGTGGTTATCCTGGTATAGTTATTCTGGGGAGCAATCTGGCAGCGCTTGGTGAAATTAATTAAATATACTATGTTCTAAGGGAAACAAAGGCAAAAATAAACTATTGGGACTACATCAAAATAAAAAGCTTCTGTAGAGTGAAGGAAACAATCAACAAAACTAAAAGACAACCTTCGGAATGGGAGAAGATATATGCAAATGACATGTGATAAAGAGTTAGCATCCAAAATATATAAAGAATTTATAAAACTCAACCCCCCAAAAAAAAATCCAATTAAAAAATGGGCAAAAGACATGAACAGACATTTCTCCAAAGAAGACCTACAGATGGCTAACAGACACATGAAAAGATGCTCATCATGACTTATCAGGGAAATGCAAATCAAAACTACAATGAGGTTATCACCTCATACCTGTCAGAATGGCTAAAATCAGCAACACAAGTAACAACAAGACTTGGCGAGGATGTGGAGAAAAAGGAACCCTCTTGCACTGTTGGTGGGAATGCGAAGTGGTGCAGCCACTGTGGAAAACAGCATGGAGGTTCCTCAAAAAGTTAAAAATAGAACTACCCTATGACCCAGCAATTGCATTATGAGATATTCACTCAAAGAATACAAAAACATTAATTCAATAGGATACATGCATCCTGATGTTTATAACAGCATTATCTACAACAGCCAAATTATGGAAGCAGCCCAAGTGTCCACTGATACATGAATGGATAAAGAAAAGGTGGATTGTGTAAGAACTGATGAATCACAGACCTGTACCTCTGAAACAAATAATACATTATATGTTAAAAAAAAAAAAAAGAAGAAGAAGAAGAAGGTAGTAGGAAGGGAAAAATGAGGAGGGGGAAATCAGAGGGGGAGATGAACGATGAGAGACTATGGACTCTGAGAAACAAATTGAGGGTTCTAGAGGGGAGGGGAGTGGGGGGATGGGTTAGCCTGGTGATGGGTATTAAAGAGGGCACACATTGAATGGAGCACTGGGTGTTATATGCAAACAATGGATCATGGAACACTACATCAAAAACTAATGATATAATTTATGGTGATTAACATAACATAATAAAATTAAATTTAAAAAAAAGGTGGGATATGCGCAATGGAATATTCAGCCATAAAAAAGAATGAAATCTTGCCATTTGCAATAACATGGATCGATCTAGAGGGTATAATGTTAAGCAAAAGAAGTCAGAGAAAGACAAATACCATATGATTTCACTCATATGTGAAATTTAAGAAACAAACAAGCAAAGGGAAAAAAAGAGAAAGATAAACCAAGAAACAGACTCTTAACTATAGAGAACAAACTGATGGTTACCAGAGGGGAGGTTGGGTGGGGGGATGGATTAAATAGGCAATGAGGATAAAGGAGTGTACTTGACATGATGAATGCTGGGTGATTAAAATAAAAACGTAAAAAAATATATTTACTATGTTCTAGCAATTCTGCTCCCAGGTTTACGTCTTAGTGGGTCACACACAAAGTGAGTTGGGACATGTTCTCTCCTACTCTACTTTCTAAAAGAATTTGTGTTGGATTGACATTTATTTCTTCCTTAAATGATTCATAGAATTTGCCAGTAAAATCATCTGGGCCTAGAGTTTTTAGTTTTGTTTTTGTGGGGGAAGTCTTAAATTAAAAATTCAATTTCTTTAGTAGATTTAAGGCTAGGTTTTTTACTCGTGAATTTTGAGAGTTCTTTGTATATTCTAGCTACTAATCCTTTGTCAGATATGTAGTTGGCAAATATTTACTCCCAGTCTAAAGCATTCTCTTAACTGGATCTCTTTCATAGAGCAAAGGTTTTTAGGTTTGATGAAGTCCAGTTTATCAGTTTTCTTTTATGGATCATGCTTTTGATGTCATGTTTAAAACTTTTTGCCTCATTATAGATTTTTCTCCTGTGTTTCTTTTCTAAAGTTCTTTTATTGTTTTGTACTTTACATTTAAGTCCATGATCTATTTTGAGTTAATTTTTGTCTAAGGTGTGAGACTAGGTCAAGGTTCATTTTTTTTTTTTTTTTTTTGCCTAAGGATGTCCAAGGTCTCCAGCTCCATTTGTTGAAAAGGCTTTCTCCCACCCAGTTACTTTTGCACCTTCGTCAAAAATCAGTTGGGCATAGTTGTGTGGGTCTATTCTGGGTTTTCTATTCTGTTCTACTGATTTATGTATCTATCCCTCCCTCCACCAATACCACTATAGTCTTGATTATTGTAGCTGTATAGTAAGTCTTGAAACTGCGTAGATTGATTCCTTCTACTTTATTTTTTCAAAACTCTCTTCCTATTCTAGTTCCCTTGCCTTTCCATACAAATTTTAGAATGATCTTGCCTATATCTACATAAAATCATGCTGGGATTTTGATAGGAATTGTGTTAAGCCCTCCTCTGTGGTTTACATGTGTACACAAATGACATCTTTACCATGTTATGTTTTGCAATCTGTGAACATGGTATGTTTCTACCTTTACTTAGATCTTTGATTACTTTCATCAGCATTGTATAGTTTTTACCATACAAGTCCTACAAATGTATTTTAGGTTTCCAACTAAATATTTCTTTGTGAGCAAGTATAAATGGTATTTTTAATTTCAGTGTCTACATGTTCATTTTTAGTGTACAAAACCATGGTTTTTTTTTTTTTTTTTTTTGTATGTTTATTCTGTACCTTGTAACCCTGCTGGGGTTTTGTAGATCCTTTGGGATTTTCTATATAGACAAACATGTCAACTGTAAATAGCAACAGTTTGAGTCTTCTTTTCTGATCTGTATGCCTTTTATTTCCTTTTCTTCCATACCACATTAGCTAGAACTTCTAGCACTATTCTGAATAAGAATGGAAATCCTTGCATTCTTTTCAATTTTAGGAAAAAAGCATACAATTTTTTCACCATTAAGTGTAATGTTAGCTATAGATTTTTAAGAGATTTTTTCTGAAGTTGAGGAAATTCCTCTCTATTCCTAGTTTTCTGAGTTTTTATCATGAATGGGTGCTGAATTTTGTCAAATGTCTTTTCTTATCAATTGATGTAATCCTATGACTTTTTTCTTTAGCCTTTAAATATGGTGAATTACATTGATTTTCTACTATTGAACCAGTCTTTGTATTCCTGGAATAAATTTCATCTGGCCATGGCATATAATTCTTTTTTATATATTGCTGGATTCTATTTGCTAATATTTTGTTGAAGATTTTTGTGCCTATATTCATCAGGGATATTGGTCTGTAGTTTTGTTTATACCATCTCTTCCTGGTTTTGATATCAGAGTAATATTAGCTCCATAAACTGAATTGGGAAGTGTTCCTTTCTATTTTCTGAAAAAGGTTGTGCAGAATTAGTGTTATTCTTTAAACAGTCGGTAGAATTCCTCAGTGAGACAGATAATCAGGGTCTAGAAATTTCTTTCTTGGGAGTTTTAAAATTGTAAGTTTAATTTCCTTAATAGTTTATAGGGTTAGTTATTTATTTCATATTGCATGAGTTGTAATACTCGTGGGGTTTTTTGGAGGAATTGTTCCATCCTAACTACGCTGTCAAATATGTGTCTATCCAGTTATTTGTAGTATTACTTTATATAGTATGTCTGTAAGATCTGTAGTAATATTTTACTCCTGATGTTGATAATTTGTGTCTTTTCTGTTAGTCTTGTTAGAGGTTTGTAATTTTATCCATCTTTTCAAAGAAATGGCCCTTTGTTTCATTGGTTTTGTTCCACAGTTTTTCTGTTGTCAATTTCATGGATTTCTGCTCTTACCTTTATTATTTCCTTTCTTCTGTTTGCTTTGGATTTATTTTGCTCTTTTTCACCCCTAGATTATCAAGGTGGGAGTTTTGATTATTCATTTGAGACTCTCTTTTCTAATGTATGCTTTTAGTGCTATAAACTTCCCTCTCACCATCGCTTTAGCTGCACGAATTTCGATATGTTGTATTTTCATTTTCATTACATGCAATGTAACTTTTAATTTCCCTGTCTCTTTGACCCATGGATTATTTGTAAGTACATTGTTTAGCTTCTGAACGTTTGAAGATTCTCCTGTTACTGATTTCTAGTTTGATTTTGTTGTGGCCAGAGAACACACTCTATATGATTTCAGTTCTTCTAAATTTTTCAAAATTTATCTTATGGCCCAAGATAGAGCCTTTCTTGGTATATGTTCCATGAGTACTTGAAAATAATGTGTATTTTCTTGGGTGAAGTATTCTATAAATGTCAATTAGATTATACTGGTGGAAGAAGTGTTGAGTCCTTCTGTATACTTGTTGATTTTCTGTCTTAGTTGTTTTCCAATTTTTGAGAGGGGTGTTGAAGTCCCCAACTGCAATTGTGGTTTGGTTTTATTTCTCCTTTCTGTTCTATCAGTTTTACTTCATATATTTTGCACAATATTATTTGGTATATACACATTTACATTGTTTTATGTCTTCTGGATGCATTGATACATTTATCATTATATAATGTCCTTCCCTGTCTTTGTCAAATTCTCCTTCTCTACTTTATCTGGTATTAATATAGCTACTCCTGCTTTAATTAATTTTTGCAGAAGTTGTTTTCACCCTTTCTGTTCAAATAACTTTATTCCAATAAAGAATAACCAAATAAAGAATAACCAAAAGAATGGTTATTCTTTTAGGGTAAGTCTGCTGGTGACAAATTCTCCTACATCTGAGAATGTCCAAATTTCCCCTTCATTCCTGAAGAGTATTTTCACTGGGTATAATATTCTGAGTTAATAGTTCTTTTCTTTCAAAACCTGAAAAATATCATACTACTCCCTATAGTTTCCATGGTTCATGAGAAATCTCCTGTCATTCAAATTGTTTTCTTTTAGGTAAGGTGTCATTTTTTTAAGCCACTTTCAATATATATTTTTTTAATTTAGTTTTCAGAAGCTTCATTATATGTTTGATATTGATTTTTTTTTCATGTTTATCATTTGGGGTTCACTCTGCTTGTCTCTTGTCAAAATCTGGGGAATTTTCAAGTATTTTTCATCAAGTGCTTTTTCAGCTCCTTCTGGGATTTTGATGACACAATGTTAGATCTTTTGTTATAATCCCACAGGTTCCTGAGGCCCTGTCCATTTCTTTCAGTCTATCTTCTCTGTTATTCAAATTGAGTGATTGATATTGTTCTTCTCTTACCCCTTTTTAAAAAGTTTATACTTTTCAGTTCTAGAATTTCCATTTGGTTCCTTTTTGTAGTTCCTGTCTCTGGCAAGGTTCCCTATCTGTAATATTCACTCAAGCCATACTTTCCTTTAGTTTCTTATACATATTTTCCTTTCATTGCTTGAGCACACTAATAACAGCTACTTTGAAGTATTTGACAGCTAAATCCAATATCTGAGCCCCCCAGAGTCAATTTCTATTGAGTGTCCTTTACCCTGAGTATAAATTACTGTTTATAATTTCATGTTTTTCTAACAGGGTTATAATTTCCTGTTTATTTGCATGTCTGGTAATTTTGTTTGAAAGCTGGTTGTTGTGGATAATATGTAGTAAGTTTTCCTTCTCTTATATTCTGAAGATTTATTGGTGGTGTAGTTATAGCAGGCGATCTGGGGTGAGGGTAGGCTTAAATTGCAAATCTTTTATTTCCTGTGTTATGTAACAGTAGATAGTTGTGCTTATTTCTTCCATCTTCTAGCAGCAGCTTGCTTTTTTTTTTTTTTTTAAAGCCTGGTCTCAGGGCATCTCCCATATATATAGTTTAGTCACTGGCCCAAGATGTGAGCAGACTTTGGCTCAGATTTTGGGGCTCACTTCCACTACAGTCATTTTGCTTCTGGGGTTTTCCATTTAAATTTCCAGCTGTTCTCCATTACCAAACCCTGACCTCTGACACTTCAGTTGCTACCCAAGCTGGACATGAATTGAGGAATGCACTCAGTCAAAAAAGTAGCAAATTTGCACATCTTGGCCAGTGCACTTCTGTCATTCAAAGGAAGACTCTTCACTGGACTCTGCCCGCTTTATTTGGTAGGTCCCGAGTCTCCTCCGTGCATGTGTACTTTAGCAGTCACACAAAGACTTGGGCAGAGTTTATGTTCATATTTTGGTCTTACCCCTCATGCCACTCTCTCACTTCCAGGATTTCTGCTCTTAAGTTTCCAGCTGCTTTACTAGCCCTGAACTCTGTTCTCTGTTATTTTGAGCCAGTAAGGCTGTGGTTTTCTGCCTTTGGAACTGGTAGATGGGGTGGGGTTGGGAAGAACCTTTAGGCAAAGACCACAAAATCACATTTTACCCACTGCAGTTGAAGTCTTTTAAGGGTAAATTCTCCTCTAGTTTTTGCCTGCTTTTGTTCACTTTTCAGTGTCTTCAAATAGTTGCTTTTTGGCTTACATTTTGTTTAGATTTTATAGTTGTTAATTTTGTTATATTTTATTTTTATTATTTTTTTAAAGATTTTATTTATTTGACAGAGAGAGACAAAGTGAAAGAAGGAACACAGGCACGGGGAGTGGGAGAGGGAGAAGCAGGCTTCCCGCTGAGCAGGGAGCCCGATGCAGGGCTCGATCCCAGGACTCTGGGATCATGACCTGAGCCGAAGGCAGATGCCTAACGACTGAGCCACCCAGGTGCCCCAATTTTGTTATATTTTATAAGGGAATAAAGGCCTGACAAATTAACTTGAAATCTGGAAGCAAGACTCAACATACGTTTTTAAGAGAACATTTATAAGAAAATTCTCTACCCAATTTTTTGTGGTCACAAGATTTGCATAATCTAAATGTCCTTTACTAGGGGTATGGATATGTTAAAAGTTCTAAACAGACACTCTGGAACACTACACAGACATTGGAGGCAAGTAAGTCCTAGATCCTAGGAGTACAGTACTGAATAAAATAGATCAAGTCCCTGCTGCCTTGGAATTTACATTCTAATGTGGAGAAATACACAGTAATCATATAAACAAATGAATGTATAACTTAAAAGGTGATGATAAGTTCCTTGAAGAAAAACTAAGCATGGTAAGGCCAGTAGAGGGGGGGGGGACTATAAAAACTGACATTTGAACAGAGACCTGAATAAAGTGCATAGTGAGCCATGTAGATATCGTGGAAATAACAATCCACATAGAAGGAATATTAAGTACAATGACCCCGTGGCAGGGGCATGCCTAGCATTTTCAATAAATAGCATGGTGGATTGTGTAGCTGAAAAGACATGAGTAGAGGGAGTGAGTATTAGATAACTGGAATCCAGAAAATACAGGGCCTTTTTTTAACTTAAAAAAAAATTTTTTTTTTAAGATTTTATTTATTTGACAGAGAGAGACACAGCGAGAGAGGGAACACAAGCAGGGGGAGTGGGAGAGGGAGAAGCAGGCTTCCCGCTGAGCAAGGAGCCTGATGTGGGGCTTGATCCCATGACCCTGGGATCATGACCTGAGCTGAAGGCAAACGCTTGATGACTGAGCCACCTAGGCATCACAAATGCAGGGCCTTTTAGGCCACAGTAAGAACTCTGGACTATGTTATTTGAGTGAGATGGGAAGCCATTAGAGCATTTGAAGAGGAAAAGTGAGTTAAAGGTACATATAGCAACAATGTATAGCACTTAATTAAAAGCACTGTATTGAGAAAAAAAGATTTATAGGAAAATATGTTCACTCATGAGCATAGCTGTAAAAGTCCTATGCAAAATATTACCAAATTGATTTCAGCAATATATTAAAAAGGATAATAATCAACTAAGGTGATTATATTCTAAAAATTCAAGGTTGATTTCACATATGGAAATGAATCTATTACTTGCTACATTGACAGAATTTTTTTTTTAAAGATTTCTTTTTTTGAGAGAGAGAGAATGTGTGTGTGACAGGGGGCGGGGGGTGAGGGAGAGTTTCAAAGTGCAGGGCTTAATCTCATGACCCTGAGATCACGACCTGAGCCAAACCAAGAGTCAGATGTAACTGACTGGGCCACCCAAACACCCTTACACTGACAGAACTTTTAAAAAATATGTATGATATCTCAATTCAAAAGCAGCATTTGGCAAAATTTGAAATCCAATTCATGATAAAAATAATAGCAAACAGAAAGGCACATCATTAATCTGACAACCATTAATCAGAACCTCACTGCAAATATCATACCCAATGATGAAATACTGAAAGCTTTTCTTTCAAGTTTGAGAATGAGACAAGCACTTCCACCAACATCACTTCTCTTGAACACAGTAACAGATCTCCTGGCCAGTGAAGTAAAGCAAGAAAAAGAAATAAATGGTACAAAATTGGAAAGAATGAAATAAAATTGATAACTTCAGAAATAATGAGTATGTTTGTAGAAAAGTAAAAAATACAGATATATTATTGAATTAATTAGTAAATGAGGTTATTTATATTTAGTAAAGGTGCTGCTCCATGGTCAACACATAAAAAATAGTAATGTATTTCTATGTATAAGCAAGGAGAAAATGAAATTTTAAAAGATCCCATTTGTAAGTCATTAAAAAAAAAACAACGAGTAAATGCCAAGGAATAAATCTAACAAAAGAGATGCAGAACTCTGGGGCACCTGGGTGGCTCAGTCGTTAAGCGTCTGCCTTCGGCTCAGCTCATGATCCCAGGGTCCTGGGATCAAGCCCCGCATTGGGCTCCCTGCTCGGCGGGAAGCCTGCTTCTCGCTCTCCCACTCCCCCTGCTTGTGTTCCTGCTCTCGCTATCTCTCTCTCTGTCAAATAAATAAAATCTTTAAAAAAAAAAAAAAGAGATGCAGAACTCTGTACATCAATCTATAAAATATTATTGACAGCAATTAAAGAAATGGAGCATATAGGCCACAGACTTGAAGACTCACTATTGTAATTCACCCCAAACTGATCCAGTGTAAGAAAATCCCATCAGGGTGTCTGGGGAGCTCGACAATCATGAAAATGCAAAGGGTCAACAACAGTCCTTTCGGAAAAGAAAAATTGTGTGGGACATGCTGTACCAACCATGAGGACTAATATTAGAAAACTATTGCAATGAAAACAGTGAGGTACTGGTGCCAAGATAGACATATAGATCTAGGAATGGATTAGGATCAGAAAACAGGCTCACATATACAGAGAAAAATATGGAAAGGAGGCAATGCATAGCAATGGGAAGGTTTTTTCAGTGAACAGTTTTGGATTAATTAGATATCCAGATGGAAATAAAATTAAACTCAGGTTCCTCTTCTAACCACACATAAAAATCAGTTGCACATGGGTTGCTGGCAAAATACAAATACTTCCAAAAGATAATTTAGTAGAATATCTTCACCATTAGGGGGTAGGAATGACTCCTTAAATAGGTACACACAGCATTAATCATAAGGGAATGATCGATAAACTAGACTATATTAAAATTAAGACTTCTATTCATCAATAAACACCCATGAAGAGTGATAAGGCAAACTGCAGAATGGGAGAGGATACTTGTAATACATATAACTTAAAGGGGTTATATTCGGTATATAGCCAAAGAACTCCAAAAACAGTAAGAAAAAGATAATCCAATAGTAATGGGCAAGGGACTTGAACAGGCACTTTATAGAAGAGTATTTTCAAATAGCCAGTAGAATCATGAAAAGATCAATCCCATTAGTAATCAGGGAAATGCAAAGTAAAACCAAATGACATTAACATTACACATACAACTGGGGGGAAATGCCACAAGATAGCAGAGATATGAAATAAAGTGAATTCTCATATGGATTAAACTCTCATATTCTTTTTTTTTATTCTTATGTTAATCCCCATACATTACATCATTAGTTTTAGATGAAGTGTTCCATGATTCATTGTTTGTGCATAACACCCAGTGCTCCATGCAGAACGTGCCCTCTTTAAAACCCATCACCAGAAAAAAAAAAAAAAAAAAAAAAAAAAACCATCACCAGGCTAACCCATCCCCCCACCCCCCTCCCCTCTAGAACCCTCAGTTTGTTTTTCAGAGTCCATCGTCTCTCATGGTTCGTCTACCCCTCCGATTTCCCTCGCTTCATTCTTCCCCTCCCGCTACAAACTCTCATATTCTTGATGAAGAGTATAAATTGAAAAATTTGGAGCAGTTTGGCATTATCTGCTAAAGTTTAAGGATATTCATACTTTACAACCAAACAGTTCTACTCCTAGTTATATTCCCAACCTAAATGTGTACACACGCACAAGAGGCATTTGCAAGATTATTCATAACATTATTTGCAGGAATCAGAAACTGGTTATTAGGTGGTTCACAAATCTTGTTTGTCTTCCCCCTGGGTACATGGTGGGAGTGTACTTACTTTCTTTCTTTTTTTTTTTTCCTTAAAGATTTTATTTATTTATTTGAGAGAGAGAGACTGAGAGAGAGAGCACATGAGAGGGGGGAGAGTTGGGAGGGTCAGAGGGAGAAGCAGACTCCCTGCCGAGCAGGGATCCCGATGCGGGACTTGATCCAGGGACTCCAGGATCATGACCTGAGCCGAAGGCAGTCGCTTAACCAACTGAGCTACCCAGGCGCCCTCTTTTTTTTTTTTTTTACCTTGAACTATATATATATATATATATTTTTACTATGTTACGCTAATCACCATATATCAGTTTTTGATGTAGTGTTCCATGATTCATTGTTTGCATACAACACCCAGTGCTCCGCGCAGTATGTGCCCTCAATACTCATTCACCAGGCTAACCCTTCCCTCCACCGCCCCCTCCCCTCTAGAACCCTCAGTTTGTTTCTCAGAGTCCATAGTCTCTCATGGTTCGTCTCCCCCTCCGATTTCCCCCCTTCATTCTTCCCCTCCTGCTATCTTTTTTTTTTTTTTTAACATATAATGTATTATTTGTTTCAGAGGTACAGGTCTGTAATGCAACAGTCTTACACAATTCACAGCACTCACCATAGCACATACCCTCCCCAATGTCTATCACCCAGCCACCCCATCCCTCCTGCCCCCCACCACTCCAGCAACCCTCAGTTTGTTCCCTGAGATTAAAAATTCCTCGTATCAGTGAGATCATCTAATACATGTCTTTCTCTGATTGACTTATTTTGGTCAGCGTAATACCCTCCAGGTTCCATCCCCATCGTTGCAAATGGCAAGATTTCATTCCTTTTGATGGCTGAATATTGAATTGTGTGTGTGTGTGTGTGTGTCTACACACACACAACATCTTCTTTATCCATTCATCTGTCGATGGACATCTTGGCTCTTTCCATAGTTTGGCCATTGTGGACATTGCTGCTATAAACATTGGGGTGCACATACCCCTTCAGATCCCTACATTTGTATCTTTGGGGTAAATACCCAGTAGTGCAATTGCTGGATCGTATGGTAGCTCTATTTTCAACTTTTTGAGGAACTTCCATACTGTGCACTTTCTTATCAACTATGGAGTTATACATGGCAAGGAGACTTGTTTTGGCCAATTACATAGAGGGAAAAAGGGCATGTGTTACTTCTGGGCTGAAACTTCTGGTGCCAGGGAGTGATGTGCCTTGTTCCCTTTTCTTTCCTTTTGGAAGCATGTACTGCATTGGCTAGGGACCCTGAGTGACTATGAGTAGTCCCTGCCTCTTCTGTGGTGTTAAGCCATTAACATTTTGGATTTTTATTTCCTGCAGCATGGCCCAGCCCATTCTAATTGATATACCACTCAAAAGTGTACATGAATAGTTGAATCAATCAACTGTGGTTTACAGTTGTAATTTACTCACAGAACAGGATAATTCTACAGTAATAACAGTGAAAGAAATTCATTTGTACTCAACAACATGGATGAATCCCATAAACTTAATGTTGAGTAAAAGAAGCCAGACACATGGAAATATATACTATTTAGGTATAGGTACTTAAAAAGGGGTCTGAGCACTGAATTCCACCATGGGGGGGGTCCCCCATACCAACAAGTAATTCTCTGAGACACCAGCAGGTTGTCCTACAACTCACCTTAATTCTGACACTATCTGCCTAGAGACAGCATCAGATTGCACAGATTTAGGGCTCAGTCCTACAAGACTGCCCTCCTCCCTCATATCAGACACTAGTTGAAAATCCAGGTTTCAACTGGTGCTTCTAACTGCCTACAGATTGGAGATTCCAATGACCGCCCCACTCCTGGGATTCAATTAATTTCCTAGAATGGCTCACAGTTTATTTACATTTACTGGTTTCTTATAAAAGAATACAATAAAGAATGCAGCTTAACATCCAGGTGGAAAAGATGCTTAGGACAAAGCATGTGGGAAGGCAAACCTTCCATCCCAGGTGACTTGGGGCATTACAAAAGTTGTCTCATTAACACAAAAGACAGTTTCCCAGCTCTCATCACTAGGAAATTCCAATGGTTTTAGAAGCTCTGTGTTAGAAATGGGAGGAAGCCCAAATACGTTTTTTTTTTTTTTTAAGATTTTTTATTTATTTATTTGACAGACAGAGACATAGTGAGAGAGGGAACACAAGCAGGGGGAGTGGGAGAGGGAGAAGCAGGCTTCCCGCCGAGCAGGGAGCCCGATGCGGGGCTTGATCCCAGGACCCTGGGATCATGACCTGAGCCGAAGGCAGACGCTTAACGACTGAGCCACCCAGGCGCCCCTGTATTTTTTATTATAAATCACAGTATCACAAGGCTTAACTAGTAAGACTATACAGAAAAGCAGGGAAATTAATGTCATGAGAGTCAGGATGATGGTAACTTTGTATGGCTGAGAGAAGAAAGTGGTTAATGTTTGGGAGGTAGCATAAAAGGCTTTCAGGTGCTGAGGCTTTCTCAATTTGGATGGTGGTTACAATGGTGCTGGCCTGTGACAAACAATGGGCTAAACATTTTTGTTTCATTTACTTTTCTATACGGATGTGTGTTTTGTTTACTTTTCTGATGTGTTTAACTAAAAGGGATTTGAAAAAAAAGATCAATAGTTGCTTTAACAACAAACCTTCAAGGGTGTAATGGTTGAACCATAAAGAAAATGATTTCTCACTCATGTGAAGTCCAAAACAGGTGTTCCTAATGATGTGGAGAACAAAGGCAAAAGAAAAATTAAATTTCCTTACTACTTACAGTCCACTGACAAATCCTTGAAATAGGAAGAGTGACATTCCTCTAGGAACTCAGCTGCCTCGATGTTAACACTTTGCTAACGGCAAAAGGCAATCTTAGCCCGACCCCCCAGGATCCTGTCAGTCAATTTCAACATTTAAAAACTACTTTGGAAATTTCCTTTATCTCTAAACTCCCCCAAGATACACGTTGACAAGCATCCTCCCAGCATCTGGCCCACTGATATCTGGGGCTTCTCTCAGCCATACAAAACAAAGTTACCATCATCCTGACTCTCATGACATTAACTTCCCTGCTTTTCTGTATAGTCTTACTAGTTAAGCCTGTGATACTGTGATTTATAATAAAAAATACATATTTGGTCTTCCTCCCATTTCTAACACAGAGCTTCTAAAACCATTGGAATTTCCTAAGTGATGAGAGCTGGGAAACTGTCTTAACCTAAACAGTAATAAATGACCTTTTCCCAACAAGAGCTAGCCTCCTCAAGGTACTAGGAACCTGTGCTATCCCTAAATACCTCAAAGCCTGTGCTATCCCTCACCCCCTCCCAACTTGAAAGTATATAATCGGCCACTCCTCATGACCCCAGTGCAGTTTTCTGCCCATAGGTCCTGTCCCCGTGCTTTCATAAAACCATCTTTTTGCACCAAAGACATCTCAAGAATTCTTTCTTGGCCATCAGCTCTGAACCCCACCATTTCCTACATCACTAATTGGTGGGTGGCTCTTCTCTAAGTGATGTTTCAGGGATCTAGGCTCCCTCCATCTTTTGGTTCCAGCATCTTCAGCATGTAGCTTTCAAGGTCACATGTGCAAATGCATGAAGGTGGCCATAGTGGATAACAGAGGACTATGCATAGGAAAATATAAGGATCCAAATCTGCAAGTAGCACACATTAGTTCTGCTATCATCCAACTGGCTAGATTTAATCCTGTGGCCACACTTAAGCATGAGGGGAGCTGGGAAACAGAGTCCGGCTGATTTCCCAGGAAGAAGAACATGGGTGTGAGGAACACCTGGCAGGTTTCTGCCACAACACATATATACCAAAACCATGTATCTGCCCAAAGATACATATGTATCTAGGGACATGCAACAAACACCTTTGGGTGAGGAACAGAAGAGTGAGAATCAGGAATAAAGGAAACAAAGAACAGAAGAGGGGGCTTTCATGAGCCAATCCTAAAACAGGACCACAAAGAGGCTTAACTCAATTCTCAGCATCAATCGATGCAGCAATGAAAGAGACAAGAAGTCCAGCAGCAACGGTGCCAGAAGCGCCATCCTAACCGGATTGACTCTGAATTGTGACCCTAGTCTTTACAGCTTTCCATCCTCTCCTGGTCCAGTCTGTTTTCTAAGCCTCACTCCTTGGACTTCTCACAAGTTCTTATTACTTACTGATGTCCTCCCAGGACTTTCTCTTCTTAACCACACTTTGTTATAGCCAAACTCTGTACGTGTCACAGAGTAGATGGGATTTTACCTGTTGAACCTCCGTCCCATGTGGAACTTCAGCCATTACAGTAAGCATCCTTACTTCATCCTTGGCGTCAGTGGGAAGGTGGCTACAGAGAGCCCAACATCTAGATAAACCTGCTTTCCAGCAGCAACAGCCAAGCAGCAGGAGGATGACCCTGGCCTCCCAAATCCCGTGAGTGCATCTAATTGATGGAACATAATTTTTATAAGAACGCTAGCTCCAAGGATTTTAATTTCTCCAGGTAGCAAAGAATTTGAAGCAACAAGGTGAATGGAGGCATATTACTATGTGGCTGACAGAAATGACAAAGTCATCAGAAACGACATGGGTTATATCCCTTGTTTACCTATTTTCTTTGGGCTCCTAAACCACTACATTATCTCCGCCCACCCCCTTAACACACTCTGGTTGTGTTGCAGCAGCTGAGATTCTGCAAACTCTTATTTCCCAGAATCTACTGCCAGCTGGTTCCATTAGGTCCTGTCAATGGGACATCCTAAAGGGAAACTGAAAGTGAAAGTCAGGAGGAAGGCCCTTCATTCCTGTTTTCCAGATGCTGTCACCCTACTTCAGGGGCAGGCAGCTGTTTCCAGCTACTAGCCGCTTCTGCATTTAGCAGCAGCTTCGCCACACTTGTCAAGAGATTTTAGCAGCAGACAAGCCATCATGCCCTTCCTCAGATGTCCAAGCACTAGGTACGTGGAAGGAGCTTCCCCCACAAAGCTCTGAGTATCAGCCAAAAGGGGCCCCTTCTCTGAGCTCCTAGTTTCCGGTGATTATACCACTTCTTCCTGTTTGTTGTCCCAGGACTTGGGATGTTCTCGGATATCTCCAGTTATTAATTTCCGAAATACATCAGCAACTTCTTCCTACTCTTTCATTCAGCCTTCTGACACTTGGAATCAATTCTCCGTATTAAATGCCGTCACTTGAAATACTTAGTGTGGTTTGCATTTTCCTGACAGGGCCCTGATTGATAGGTGAATGGATATTAAAAACACAGCTGAGTGAGGGAGGGGGGTGGGAAAGTAAGAATATGTGGTCAGTAACACTCTATATAAATAAAGCGTACACACACAAACAGTTCACACTTCCTAAGAATATGTACATAAGAACGAGGACATTAAATGAGGTTTTCAGTTGTCTAAGATCTTTGGGTAATACACCAAAATTGAACACAATAGGTAACAGGTACTGACACATTCTAATGAAGGTGCTGGGTATATCCACATAGGATTTACTCCTAAGATAATAAAGCTGATCCAGAGCCCCCCAACCTTCTACTGTATGAGAAGTGGGAAATGAAAGATGCACTGATGGGAATTTTTAGGAATAGAGAACTTTTCCTCCCTGAAAGGAAAAGGTGCAGTGCTGTTCCCTCCATCCTAAATCAAGTGAGGAGGGCTCCAAAGAACCATCTGTAGTCATTTTGTGTTTCCACAAGGGACAGGCTTTATATTCATTCCAATTACATTCTCTAGCTAGAGGTCTGCCACACCCAGAAACTTAACAGAGCCATCTCCATATGACCACTGAGGTGGAGCCTGGGGCAAAGGCTTCTTGGGAGAATAGAACCTGAATCACTTATGAAGGTTTGGAGTCCTATGACTGTAGAGACTGGTGCTTTATTTCTCATATGGAGAAGTCAGTCGGGCTGGCAGGGGCAAGCAGGGAGAGAGGAGTCAGCTGCTGGGTGGCCTGCACTTTCACTGTCTGGTGGGACAAATATGCATGAGTTTCCAGTGGGCTTCTTGAAAGAAAACCAGTCTTGAGGTGTTTGCTGGAACCGCTCCCAGGAGGGCTGCCCGGGGGTGGGGGGGGGTGGGGGGGGGTATTAGTATTAGGAGGCTGTGGATTCACGGACAGGGGCAGGAGCTGAAGGGGAGTGTGGGCTGTGTATTATAAGGAGGGAAGCAAAGCCAGTCAGTGCACAAGTCCCCATGGGGCCTCCAGAGAACCCCAATAGCTCACACAGAGGCAACATTTAAATGCCTGTCTTAGTAGAGCACACTGATGGGAGTTTAGCTTTTTCTCCTCCAATGTGCCCTCCCCATCCCAATCCTAAGTAACAGAGGAGGTAAAGAATGAGTGAAAGCAACAGACCATGTTTCCCCACCCCACTGAGCGGGAGGAAGAACAGCTCTGAATTGGATAAGTTGCTCACAGGTCACTGAGGTGTGGGAAGAGATGAGGGAGACAAATATATTTAAAATGCTAATATTTTAGATTGGCCTCAGTTATGTTGTAGAGAATAATGAAACATATTTACACCAGAGTATTAACAATGTAGAAAGACCCTTGAAGTAAGGTCAAAAAGGTAAGGGCTGTGGCAATCAGCGAGACTCCCAAGAAGTAAAAAAGTAGGGTGTCCCTGCCCAATCAAGAACACATCACCTTGTGACCATCAGAATCAAGAGACCAAGAGTAACAAAGATCTAATAACATCCTTGAGTTCCTAAACCAATGTCACCAGCCACCTACCTTTGGGTTTCTAATAATATTAGAATAAAAATCTAATTTGTTTAGGACATTCTTCAGTGGGATATTTTCTTCTGGTCACAATCAAAATGCAACTGACAGGGGCGCCTGGGTGGCTCAGTCGGTTAAGCATCTGCCTTCGGCTCAGGTCATGATCCCAGGGTCCTGGGATCTCCCTGCTTCTCCCTCTCCCTTTGCCTGCCGCTCCCCCTGCTTGTGTTCTCTGTCAAATAAATGAATAAAATCTTAAAAAAAAAAAATGCAACTGATAAAATGAGTATCTCAACTTCCTCATGTGAGCATTTTTTCTCTCAATTAAGATTCAAAGTTATGGGACAGGTAGGAGTGTTGATTGGCACCTGGTAAACGGTATGTTTGAAGCACCCTGAAGGAAACAAAAAGGGTTTTGTGATCTAGAGTAAGGTGGACAGGGTGCCCAGAAAACATATATTAGCCAGGGTATATAATGCTAACTTCTGTAACGTTCCCAAAACTCAGTAACTTAATGTAACAGAGGTTTCTTTTTGTTTAAAGTCCAATGTGGATGTTCTTGGTCAGACAGCTTTCCTCCCAGCAGCGACTCAGACTCTATGTTCTGACTCCACTGTCTTCAAAACATGTGCTTCAAGATTACTGAGGAAGGCAGGAGGGGGTGTGGGAATGTGGAGAAGACGCATCCACTCTGTAGCTGCCTTGGTCTGGTAGTAAAACACCACTTCTACTCACTTTCCATTGGTGAGGACTATTCACAGAGCCCCACCTTGATGCAAGGAGCTGGGAAACGGAGTTTAACTGTGTGTCCATGAATAGGACATTTTGGTGAGCATCTAGCCAGTTTCTTCTACGGAAGAAATGCAGATACTGGCGTGAAGATCTGGAAGATGAAAATGAGCTCATCACGAAAAGTACTGTAGAAAGATGGGGCAGCATGTGTAAAGAGCCAGCAGGAGCAGCTTGGAATGCTTGAGGAAAGAAAAGCAAGCCTGTGTGGCTGGAGCCTCAGGAGGAAGCAGTGGGTTAAGATGCAGTTGGAGAGTGAGGCCTGGGCAGATCACACAGGGCCTGAGAACGAGTCTACGTCTTTTGTTCTCAGAACACTGAGAACCCATTGAAGGATTTTAAAAAGAGAAATGACATATCTGACATACATTTTAAAAATCACTTGGCTGTGTGGGAAATGAATGGCTTTGGGGGCAGGAATGGAAGCAATCAGACCATTAAGGCAGTTGCTACAGTGGTCAAATGTCCCAGAACCAGGGGGCCAGTCTGAGAAGTCACCTGGGAAGGAGGACGACCTGTGGATAGAGAGCTCTACTTGCAGGTCTGTGTCTGTGAAAAGCTGTGAAGGGCTTTGTGCAATTATGTAAATGCTTGCGTGTTTGGAGCTGAGCTGCGTGTCTGCCAAGATCATGCTGCTTCCTTTGGAACGGTGTTCCCGCAGGACTGAGTTACAGGAACAAAAGCTGGAGCACACCAAAAACTGCAGCAGCAAGAAAGCTCTCAAAGCACGCTGAACAAGCACAAGGCACAGGCTGCCATCCAAACCCAACCTTATTCCTACCCCCCTCCAAACTTTTCTCATTTGCGGGCACTGTTCCCTGCTGTGGAGAGAAGCCGCAGCAAGCCTATGACTTTTCAGCTCATTCTTAGTTAACAATCTTACCATCTCAAGCAATTAGAATGTCTAACCCTATGTAACAATAACTAACCTGCACCTACTGTAGCTTTAGCTACTTTCCCCTCCCGGCCCTGCCCCACTTACGTCTAGTCTCCAGGAGCCTGAGCTGGGGAGGGGAAGAATCATCTGTATGCTCTCTGCTCTTCTTACCTCCAATCTACCTAACAGCTGCTGACTGCTCTGGGCCCAGCTGCGCAGAAATAAGGGGGTAAGAAAGGAAAGAAGGTTCTTGCTGGACTGGGTGGTTCTGTGCCCTGTGGGCCTGACAGATATTAAAGGGGACATCCCAGCTGCCCCCGACCCTGGTGGATGCAGCTGTGGTGGGTGGTCTCCTGCAACTCCCTCCTCAGCCCACATGGCACACTCCTAGCTGCTCTGTGCTGAGGTCTCCCTGCTTCCTCAAATGGTCCTACTGGAAAGGACCCAAGACCACCCCACACTTCCTTCTCTCCTGCAAGATGCACAGGATACACACATGCCTCAACTGCCACGGCAAAGTGTGGGAATGCAGGCCAATGCAAAAGCAGCGGCACTCCCCCGGCTTCACCACTGAACAGTTAGTGAGCCTCTGCTTGCCCTCTACATGCCCAGGGCGGGAGTCAGACTCCAGGCTCATCACTCCTCGGCCGTAGGAATATAAATACCTCAAGCTTCCTGAATGGTCCCAGTGGAGTCCGCAGTTAGATCTGAGGTGAGGGGGGTGGGCCCTCACAGTCCAGCTGTGCTGTCTCACAACAGCAAGCTCTCTACAGAGATCCTACACTGTCTCTCCCCATGCATCCTCTTTCCGACCTTGAACCTCAAGCATGCTATTAATACCACCAGCAATCATACTCCATTTCCCTCATTCGTTCATTCCCTCTTAATTCTCGTAAGGACGTTTACTCTCTCCTCGCCTCAAAACTCCAACCCCTTCCCTGCTACTCTCTCAACCCTGCTTCCTGCTTCACTGTGAGAAACCAAAGCAACCAGAATAGAACTTTTCAAACCCTAGCCTGATCTCCTGAATTAGAAACTGGGGGAAGGCTCGGTAATCACTGGGTGATTATAATGCACTGCCTTGCATGGTAGAGCAACCCCCTCCCACTTACCGCTTACTACTCTTGCCCTTCCTTCAATCTTTTCTCCAATTGTTCTTTAAACTAGGTTGCTGTTTGAGCAGCTGGCATGCGGTTATTTCCTAAGGAAATATACTGTTCCCTCTCCAGCCTCGGCTCTCAGCATTAAACACTGAAGTCCAAGAGTCTGGGCTTGCCCAAGAGTCTGTCCTGAAGCTGATGATAGAGCCAGGAGGCCCCAGAGCAGGCTCAGGGGAGTCCTGCTTTCAGAATCAGAGCAACTGATGGAGACACTAGTGGGGCTGGGCTGAGTTACGGGGAGTCCAAGGCCTGAGTCAAACCCAGAGAGATATTTACTTGGGTGGATGGAGCCAGAATAGGCATAGGAAAAATCCAAATTATAAGTGAGGAGGACAAAAAAAAGGAGAAAAGCAGACCGCAGCTGTCTTGCTGAGAATTAAAAAAAACAGGGAAAATAACCAAGACCTACAGAATATAAACATTTGCAAAAGAACAGAGATAGGGAGCTATCAAAGGTAATGTGTGTCCCACAGTGAGATGCCTGCTACTCCAACACTTTCCTTGGACTTTGTGGCCTGCCTCCCCTTACCCCTGGAGGCTCCTGTCCCGTGCAGCTGCTGTAATAATCATTTCCCCAGAAATCCCCAGTGAATCCTGAGAAGCTGGAGAGGACTGTGAGGGTATTTTATCTTGGCTGCCTAGCAGCCAGCTCCTCACCAGCCTCACATCGCTCCCACAATGGAGGTCTCTCTAGTAGGCAGTCCAAACCCCCTGCACTTCTGAAATTCATGCCATCTAGCTTCCCCGTCACTTTGTCTGCAGATCTCCTGGATCCGCCCCCTCCCTTGAGAGGTTAGCACCTGTTCCATGCCAATTTCTACCATCATCCTGGAGAACGTCAGAGTCCATTCAGACAAGACCTCCCCATAATACCTGAGCCCTCAGTCCATTACCCAACGTATGGGCAACCTCTCTCGCACGCCTCTCAGGCACTAACCCCTGTGGCTTCACTCTAGACGCAGCCATCGCCTGGAGCTGCTGTGCTTCCAACACTAATAATTAAAGCACTCCAAATGCTGACCACCACCTCTCACCTGCCCAGGTCGCTTGTTTAACGATTCCCAGTGCAACAACCTACCCCTCTGTCTTCACTCTCCTACCTCTTCTACAATAGTGCATGATCTAGCAGTGATCAGTTACTTCTGAATGGTGTGAAATGCCTCCTTTCATTTCCACTGCATGGCAAGACTCCAACTCTGGATGATTCCTTAGTGCTCATTTTCCCCACAGCTACATTTAGATTCCTGAGTAGGCAGAGAAAACCACACCACTGGGCTGGCTGGTGTAACCATAAAGTCATGAATAATACCACTATAAATTCAAACAGGCCCTCAAGAGTATTCAGCAACCTTCACTCACTGCAGTCTGACTTCACTGTAAATTTTAACAGACCTTGCAACAGCGTTTGACAGCTGACAACTTCCCCATCCCTTCCTTCCATATTGAAAGCATCCATTCTCCCAGTTTTACTCCTCCATTTTTGGCCCAACCTTCTCACCTTGTCACCTTGACTGGTCCATTTGCCTTTGCCCATCCATCAAATGGTCCTCAGTTTTATTCAGAGCCATTTTCTCTTCTCACTACCTTACTCTGGATATCTTATCTATTCCCATGACTTGAATGACTACCTCTAGACTACTGATTCCCAAATCCTAGCACAGGTCTCTCCTGGCACGTTTACGTCCCTCTTCCAAATGAACATGGAACAGGTACCTACAACCCAACGTTCTAAACGGCAGCACCAGCCCAACCTGTTGCTCAAGTGAGAAACCAGACTCACTGAAGATTCCTCTCTCTCACAACCCTCATCAATCCCACCTGTTCTACCTGCTCAAGTTCTCCTATCTGCTTACTTCTTCCATCATCTCTAGTCCTCAGTGCCCACATCTTGTACCCTGAGCCTGGGTTCCTCCCAATACCCTGTTCTCATCAGTCCCACCCAACTAGACCCTGTTATTCCACCACCTAAGTGACAAGCTCTGGGAATACAAAGATAAATATGACTTGAAAAGACCACAGCCTAATGCACAAAGCAATCACAATGCAGTTTGGAGAATGCAGATGAAGAATTAATTCTGCTTTAGGAGAGGTGGAGTAGGGAACAACTAAGCTAGGACGAGTAAGACTTCATCAGTCAGATGAGTATTCCACAGACAGAACACATGCGAAGACACTGCGGTACACTGCCAAGCCTCCAAACATGCCCTCCGGCCTACAGCCTACCTCAAAATCTCCATTCCCTCACTGGAGGCATCTGACTGGCTCAGAGCCCTGGAAGCTGTGCCCCAGCGGGCACTCTCAGTTTTTGCCCTTCCAAATAGGTAAGATGCTGCATCTTTATACCTGGACATGGCAGATACCTTCCAGGAGAGGCCAAGGGTCTATCATCCCAGTTCATCTTTTTCCAACACCAGCCTTCCTTGCCTGTAGCTTTCCCAGGACATGCTGATCTGGGCCCACTGCAAGGTGGAAACAACAGACACTTGTGCCAATGGACAGCCCAATCCCCCAGCCTACCATGGCATCAACCAGTTGTTATTTATGAAGAGACCCAGCTCCCTTACCATGCTCCTCCAAGAACAGCTCAGAGTCTTATCAACAATCTCTAAATACCCTGAAATGAAGCCCGTTGAAAGGCCTATCTTGAGCTCTCCCAGAGTATTCCTCAGTCAACAAATCCATTCTTCACTCTTCAACCTCCAACCCTACCTAGGGAAGGACTGTAGAAAATAGTAAGGCTTACAACACATCACAGCCATAGCTACAGTTTATTGAGCACCTCTTATGCCCCCCCAGCCCTGGCTGTAGATTTTCTCAGCAGACGGAGATGAGAAGAGAGGAGAGATGCCAGGGCAGAAAGTCCACGTGACTCCTGATAGATGGAAAGAGGAGCCAAACCCAGAGATGCCTTGAATTCCAAACCAGCTAGTTCCCACATCTGGAGGACCCATAATTCCCAGATACCCTTGTATTTTCACAATAAACTCCTTATTCTTTAGCTAGCCTGAGTTACTTTATGCTTCTCACAAACAAGAAGGCTTCGTGAGAGCAGGGCTGAGCCAGGGGGTTTCATCACACTTTGGTCTTAAGACGGCGAAAGTGATGTTATCAGTTCCTGGGTCAGAGACTGGCTGGATACAGTCTTCAGAGTTCTGAGCCTGGAGTTCAAGACTTGCATCCCCTTTCAAGGCAGGCCCAGGGGTCACCTGCGCTTGTAGAGACATGGCTGAAGCTTCAGGCCTGTGAGTTGAGCCTTGGGCCCTACCCGAGGAGGCCCAGTCTTTTCAAAGTCAAACAAGAAGAAGTGGCTGTTGGTAAGATCCTAGGGGTGGAAAAAACCTAGTGAGCTCCAAATCCTCACCCCAGCTCCTCAAAACACCTCTGCTCCATGTCCCGCCCTTGCTCAGAAAGCTCCCCAGGGCTCTCCCATGCGTCATGCCTTCAAAGAGCAAATATCTGTGTCTGTGCCTATGGCCTCCTTCCTAAACACCATTACCCTAAAAAAGACCACATGAGACAAAAATAGGGAGACTTCTTGAGGCCCTCACCTTGGAGATGACCTTGAAGCCCAGTTTGGTCACAGCCCCCAGAAAGGTCCGAACATCTTCAAACCGGCTACTGACTTCAGCCACTTTCAAGAGACCCCTGAGAAGAATGAGAAGTTCTGTGTATATACACAGACATACATCTGTGCACATATACACATATCTGTGTCCCGGGAACTCCTACCCTTGCTTCAGCACTCGATTTGCCTCCTCTAGGAAGTCCCTGATGTTGGTTCCCATCAGCGAAAGGCAGAACACAGCCACATCCACAGACTCATCCTCCAGAGGCACCTGTAGAGAGTAGGAGTACTGTATAAAGCACACAACATGGGAAGCAGAAATCCAGCACTGAGGGGCACCTGGGTGGCTCAGTCGGTTAAGCAGCTGCCTTCGGCTCGGGTCATGATCCCAGGGTCCTGGGATCGAGCCCCACATTGGGCTCCCTGCTCAACGGGGAGCCTGCCTCTCCCTTTCCCTCTGCCACTCCCCCTGCTTGTGCTCTCTCTCCCAAATAAAATCCTAAAAAAAAACAAAACAAAAAAGAAAGAAATCCAGCACTGACTGCTAGCGCCAGACACCAGGATGGGGGTGCAGAGGGAGGGAGCATTAGAGATTGGCACATAGAGGCTGGGTCTAGAGCACAGGCCAGAGACACAGAGAGATAGAAGGGTTTACCTGGGCCATGTCACACACAGTGACCCTGGGGTCCAGAGAGGCCAAGTCAAAGCAGTGCACAGGGTTCCGGATACTTGAAGCCAGGCGGCAGTCCCCGCAGCCGAAGTCAGCCACCACCAGGGACGCAGGCCTGGGAGTGGAGGGGAGGGATCACTCACTGGTCTAGTCTGAGCCATGACTGACCCACATCGATTCTCAGTGCCCAACCCCCATTCACCGCTGGCGAAGATCCCTGGCGATGCGGTCCACTGGCTGTAGTGGCCACTTCTTGACTTGGCTCTGGAAGCCGCGGTGATAGAGAAGAAAGGCTTCAGGATCTTCCTGGAAGAGACGCTGTGCGGCACTGCTAGGCCCTGAGTATAGCTGTTCGTTGAGGTAGCGAAATCGGGCACCATCCAGCCGCTGTGCCATGCGGGCTCGCAGAGCCCCTGCCCGATCCTCACAGTTATCTGGGCTAGGGGCAGGAGGCATCTCTGTCTCCTCTTTGGGGGCTGTGGCTGGAGCCTGGTCTGGTGGCTGAGGTGGCCGAAACTTGTTCTTATGTCTACGTTTGTTCTTCTGTCGGTTCCGCCACTGCTTGCGACTCAAGGTTTGCAGGGGGTTGGCAGAAGTGGACCCAGGACTTTGCTTGGATTGGTCATTTGTCGCACTACTCTTCCAAGCTTTGGGACCTGAAGAGAGGGAGATAAGAAAGCGTATTTGGGGCAAGAGCCCCTGAATTCAGAGGTTTGGCAATCATCCTGGCCATACCCCTGTCCTTGAGAAAGACACTATGGCCTGGATGAACACACTTCTTATTGCCTAACCCCAAACCTAATGGTGGCAGGTAACCTCTGTCATGTACAGGATCAGCTGATCCGCCTCCCTGTTCCACACATATATACACAGCTACTAGTACCTGTTTGGTTATCATTGTCCTGGTGCTGGGCGGGGTTTGAGGGGACCTGTTTCTGGCATTTCCTCTTTCTTTTCTGTTCTTCAGCAGAGTCACTGGCACTGAGAACCCCTTTGAGGCACTTTTTGCTCCTTTTTACTTCCTTTTCTTCATAGTCACTGCCAGGTGGGCCCTGTTGTTGACATTTCTTCTTCCTCTTCTTCTCTACTTCAATAGAAGCACTGGCAGATGAGGTCTTTTTTGGGTGTTTCTTCTTCCTTTCCACCACATCCTCCTCAGAGTCACTGCCAGGCAGGCTAGGGGGTTGCTGGGGAAGAGATGCGGCCTCTAGGGCCCGTAATGTGGCCAAGAGCTGACGGTGCTTGGAGCCCTGAGGAAAAACAAGGGAAGAGAAAAGGGGTGAGGTGAATAGATGGGGCCTGGAGAATAAGAAGGCAGAAATGGAGACCTGATTCAGATGCTGGCAGAAGCATCTGGATTATTCTTAGTTAACTTCACTAGCTTGTCATGAAGCCTGCCAGACCCTGAACAACTTTTAAGTCACCATCTCAACCTTTGGGAGGCTGGAGAGCAGAGAAACCACCCATCTCACTTCTTCAATTTGCAGATGAGAAAATGGAGTTCCCCAGAGGACTGTGGTAAGGCCACAAGCAACAGGACCAAGGTCAGAGAATAGGAGTTCAACCCTCAATCTCAGCCTTTTGCCTGCAGCTTTCTATATCTTTCTGTAAAAGCTAGGGAGGTTTCTGAAAATAAGAGTGACAGGATCACAGGTGTGTACTTAAGATGAGTCTAGCCGTAGTGTAGAAAATAAATGGAAAGGGACAAGCTGCCGACGGAAAGACCTGTGGCATTGATTATAGCTGTAGGTTGAGGGGATGAAGAGGAGGGAATAAAGCAGGCAGATTTCATGTTGGATGCTCACTAAAAGGCAGGAAGAGCCTAAGGAGGTACAGCAGCCTTCACATCTGCAAAGGCTTAAAGGAGAAGGTCTCTTGTCTGGGAGGCCTTCTGGATTGAAGTCCTACTGGGAGGTCCCAGGCCAGGTACTTAACCTGGTGGTTTTCAGTACCCACTCTGCACCACTCCTTTAGAATGGTAGTGCTGGTAAAATCCTTCATTGTCATTCACCCTTTCTCTCTCTAATCCAAGCTCCACACTGAAACCAATGACTTTTTCAAAATGCAAATCTTAAAAAATCATTCCCCTGCTGAAACCGCTTCATTGGCTTCTATCGGTAAAATATGCAACACTTCTCCTCTACCTCTCCAACTTCAATGGCATACCCTCTCACTCTCTGTGCTCCAACCACACGGATTACTGTGTGTGTGACCCTAACAACAGGACATGTTTTCTTGCTCCAGAGCCCCTGCACGTGCTTTTCCTGTCCAAAATGCGTCTTCACTAACTTCTACTCAACAGCTCTCACTTAGTCGGGTCTTCTATTGGCCGCAGCCCCCCCCACCCAACATTCTGTTGGCCGCAAGCGCCCCCCCAACACACACACACACACACACACACACACATTCTGTTGGCCGCAAGCGCCCCCCAACACACACACACATTCTGTTGGCCGCAAGCGCCCCCCCAACACACACACACACACACACACACATTCTGTTGGCGGCAAGCGCCCCCCCAACACACACACACACACACACACACATTCTGTTGGTGGCAAGCGCCCCCCCAACACACACACACACACACACATTCTGTTGGTGGCAAGCGCCCCCCCAACACACACACACACACACACACATTCTGTTGGCCGCAAGCGCCCCCCCAACACACACACACACACACACACACACATTCTGTTGGTGGCAAGCGCCCCCCCAACACACACACACACACACACACATTCTGTTGGCCGCAAGCGCCCCCCCAACACACACACACACACACACACATTCTGTTGGTGGCAAGCGCCCCCCCAACACACACACACACACACACACACATTCTGTTGGCCGCAAGCGCCCCCCCAACACACACACACACACACACACACATTCTGTTGGTGGCAAGCGCCCCCCCAACACACACACACACACACACACATTCTGTTGGTGGCAAGCGCCCCCCCCAACACACACACACACTGCGTGCCCACACGCTCAGATCCCCCAGGGTAAGCTCGGCTTGAAACAGCTCCCTGCAGGGCCGCTCACCTTGATTTGCGAAGCTGAGGCGGGCCGAGGCCGCGAGGCTACAGGCGGGAGACCCGCGGCTACTGGGGCCTCCTCGGCCCACTCCGGCTCCTCAAACATGCCGGTGGGGTGGATGAAGTCGCGGGGTCCACACAGCTCTCCACGTGCAGAGCGCGTCTCTAGTGAACCGAAGGCCCGGAGCCGCCGGAACTGAGCCGGAAACCAAAGAGTGAAGCATGGGTAGCTAGAGCGGTCGGCGCGGCGCCGGAAACCATCGAGTTTAGGCACTGCTGGCTAGAAAGGCAAGGGAGGCGAGAGGGAGGGAGGAATGGGGGCCCGCGCTGGCCAGAGAGGGCCAGGGGCGGGGCCGGGCGGCGGGCGCGGCCGGACGGGAGTTCCCCGAAGAAGGCTCCTCCGGTCCGAGTCCCGGTGAGTGCGGGAGCACCCGTGCCCTTCCCCAAGGCTCGACCCCTGCCAACCCGTCAGCCTTCACTCGGCCCGAATACCGAGTAGGGAACGAGAGCCACCCCTCGGGAAGGACCCCCGATCGCCTCTCCCAGGGTTTAGGGTGCCTGAACTCCCCCCTCCCCCCCAGGTCTGTTCGCGGGTAGGGTCCCCGAGCTTGTTCGCCGACACCCCTTCAGGAGACTCTACTTCCTAATCACCCCCCACCTCGCGCGGACCCGCTTTCCCTCGCGCCCAGGGGACACGGTCAGGGATAATCCCGACTTCCCGAACTCCTTCCCAGACCTCCACTAGCTGGGGAGGCAGCAGGAGACCCTCACCCCCTTCACGAACACTTATCTCCAGTAGGGGACAAAGCTCGGGGTTCATCACCCTTCTCTGGATCCCTCCACAGTCCGCAGGCTTCCCCAATCTAGGGGACTCAGCGCCGGGACGCTGCTATGGACGACATTTTCACTCAGTGCCGGGAGGGCAACGCAGTGGCCGTTCGCTTGTGGCTGGACAACACGGAGAACGACCTCAACCAGGGGTGAGTTGAGGTGGCTGGTGGGTGAGAACGGCAAAGACATACTCCTCTCCGCGATGTGGGGTGCTCACGTTGGCTGGGGGCGGCTGACTTTCCTACCCAGTAGGACTAGTGCGAAGCACAGCCTGTGGGGGGCAGAGGGTCTCCACAGAGGAAGCTGTGTTTCGGCTGAATCTTGACTGCTCAACAAGAGTTTCACAGGCACAGGCTGCAGAGAGGCTTTCCAGCCTCAGTGAACTGCATGGGCGAAAGCTAGGAGGCAAGAGAGAGAGCGGAGTGTCTGGAAATTGTCTACAGGTCCATGTGGCTGGAGGATAGACTTCTATGAGCTTCAGTGGGCTGAAGCATTGGGTACAAGTGGTAAACCACAGGAGATAAGACTGGAGAAGTCTGCTGCAAGGGTCAGCCAGATCATGCAAGGGTATTTATGCTATAATAAGGTCATTATTCTAAGAACAAGGGTTTAAAGCCCTGCTGTGATATGATGAGATTGTCCATTTAAGTGTCATCTTGGATACCTTCTGAAGAGCAGGTGGCCATGTGGAGAAGCAATTGCTTAGTCTGTCCCAGAAGTGGTGACTAGAATGGGAGCAGATGAAAAAGAAAGAAGTGATCAGATTCCTGAAATCTTTAGGATAAAGAATTGATGAGACTTGGTGTGGGAAGTGAGGAAGCAAAGATGATGACCAGGGTTCTGGCTCACACTCTTGGGTAGATGGTGGTTGCTTTTACTGAGTTGGACAAGGCTGAAGGATGATGACTGCCGCTGTGACATGTTAAAGTGACTGTACAGTAGAGTAGAAATGTCATGTAGGTTGTTGGTTATGCAGATTCGGATTTCAGGAGAGCTGACTTGGAAAGACAGATTGGGAGGTGTTAGCATATCGATGATACCTGAAGACACGGGTGTGACAGAGACAGAAGCCTGCAAGACTAAAAAGGTGCAGCTGGAGGTTGCAGGAAACAGGAAAATGTTAGTAAAGCTCAGAGAAGTGAATGTTTCAATGAAGGGGGAGTGGTCAACAGTAGTATAGGCTGTTGAGAAGTCAAAGAACTTGAGCACTTTAAAGTAACTATTGAACTTACAATTAATAGTGTATTTGATGATCTTTGTGAAGGCTGCCGTAGAGGAAAATGGATGAAGAAACCAGACAACAGCGGGTTCCTTCACTTAACGTACTATGAACACCTCCTGTGCTAAAGGCCCAGAATCAGACATAATGCCAGCCCTCACGGCAGCAGCCTGGTGGCAGGTTCAATGGGAGGTGAGGAAATAGAGTGAATGTAGACAAGTTCTTCAGGGTTGGCTGAGACAGGCAAGAAAAGCAATAGTGATGTTGATGATTCAGGGTGGTGGGTTTTAGGGGTTTTTTGTTTTAAAATTTTATTTCTTCAGTTTTTAGGTTTGAGAGGTAAGGATCACCTATAATCTTTATCTAGGCTTCACAGGTTCTCATTAGGCTTTATGCTCTTCCTCCATAATTCCTGGTCACTTTTTCCCATTTTTCGTACTCTTTTATAATTTCCATAATTCTTTCATAATTCTTCAAAGGGTGCTCAGATAAAGACACTGAGTACTCTATTTTTGTTGGTAGGGTTATAAAGGCTTAGGTAAAGTTGTCCTGGGGAACTTGCATTTTATAAAACTCTTTAGTGCCAAAAGGTGAAGGGGTGGCATTAGTGAAACTGGAAGGCTTTGGGGGCCCAAGCAGGCTATATGCTGGATATGAGGTGGGGTGAACTCCCTGCAGGGCTCTTCGGGATTATAGTCTGTGGCCCTGAGGTGACAGGCATTCTGACAGTGAGTGGAACCTTTGTGCTCATATTTTGCCCTGAGGCTCTGGCCTGCTCGTGCCACAGACTGCAGGAGGCTGATAAACCAGGGCACAAATTAAAGATCTGGGAGGCAAAACTCACTGATAAGTAGGGAATGGCTGCTTCAGAGAGGGGGAGGAGGGAGTAATCCACCTCCCAGGAAAGCTTTTGGCTATCTCTAAGTGAGCAGATGAGGGCAGCTGTGGAGGGAAGTCATTAAAGGCCACACACACCCCATTCCCCTGGGGGAGGGGGACATCTGGATGGCCTGCAGTGGCCAGACCCCTGATCTGTTTCAGGCCACGCGTAGAGCCCCCACAAGGGAAGTGACCGCAGCACTAAGGCATCCGGAGGCTGCGGTCTCAGACCAGGGACCGCCCCCTGCCCCGCCCCTTGGATCTTCATACACAGGACTGGAGGGAATTTCCTTTTATGGCCCCAGGCTGTCAGGCAGGCCCAGCTCCCACCAAGTGTTTTCTTTTTTTTTTTTGTACAGTTCTTTTACTTTAGAAAATACATGTCCTTGGGGGTGGGGGTGGGGGAGTTAGATAGTTTTCTTTCTAAAGAAGCCATTCTCATTTTCCTGTTTTCTGGGACCAGGACTGCTTGAGTAGAGGAATCCTGTTTTACCAAATCCTGGTTTGATATCTGCCTCATTAGTAATGACTTATCAAAAGCATTTCTCTCTTTCGTTATAAACCCTTCCAAAACATTAATTCCAGTCCATTTTTAGGTCTTATGTTTCAGTACCAGAGCCAATCAGTAAGCTTGCTTCTTCTCCCATGAGTTGTGGCTTTCCTTCTCCAAGACACCTCTCCCTTGTATTAACATGCACTAAACACCTGCTGTCAATCCATTCTGTCAAGAAGCTCAGTCTAGCAGACAAGACAGCTCATTAAGATTTTTACAATCCGGGGCGCCTGGGTGGCTCAGTTGGTTGGGCAACTGCCTTCGGCTCAGGTCATGATCCTGGAGTCCCGGGATCGAGTCCCGCATCGGGCTCCCTGCTCGGCGGGGAGTCTGCTTCTCCCTCTGATCCTCCCCCTCTCATGCTCTCTGTCTCCCATTCTCTCTCTCAGATAAATAAATAAAATCTTTAAAAAAAAAAAAAAAAGATTTTTACAATCCAGTGCCACAAGTAGTATACCAGAGGGATGTGAAATGCAGTGGAAACAAAAAGGACCAACAGATGTTGCAAAAGGAATGCAGAGGAAACCAGATGAAAAATGCTACCATTTAATGAGATAGGGCATGCCAAGGAAGAAAGGCTAGTGGGAGATGGTGATGAAGACAGTGAATCATACGGATTTGTTGAGATTTCAGGTGGTGGTTGGATAGGTTTGAAGCTCAGGGGAAAGTCTTAATTGGATGGCTTTGGGAGTTGCTGGCATGAATGAGAATCAGAGTCCTGGACAGGTACGGTTTTCCAGGGAGATTATTCAGAATAACTATCACTTTTTCCCATATCAAAGCCTTTGCCCCCATCCCACCTCCAGATCAATGACCATTGTCCCTTCCTCAAAGGGATGATCATGGCTTCTCCCCCTTGCACTGGGCCTGCCGAGAGGGCCGTTCTGCTGTGGTTGAGATGCTTATCATGCGGGGGGCACGAATCAATGTGATGAATCGTGGGGATGACACTCCCCTGCACCTGGCAGCCAGTCATGGACACCGTGATATTGTGCAGAAGGTAGGCATGAATGCTCCCTCTCACCTACATTACATACATGTCTGGAAGTCAGTCACAAGCAATATAACACATGTGTACTCTTCTCCCTCCTTGCACGCCTCAACTCCCATCTCTCATTTGTCTTCTGCCTCTTCTACTTGGCCATGGGGACCAGCTGCTGCAGTATAAAGCTGACATCAATGCAGTGAATGAGCATGGAAATGTGCCCTTGCACTATGCTTGTTTTTGGGGCCAAGATCAGGTTGCAGAGGTGAGTACTAAGGCCCTGAGCCCTGGGATGGGTAGGAAGCAAAGTCTGAGCCTGAATGGAAGAGTCTAGAACCTTCAATCCATCCTGTAAGTACTGCTGAATATGTGACACTCAGAGTTGGTACACCACTTGTATTGACGGTTGGTTGTGACTGCCAGGGAGGTGGCAGAGCCCCTCATCACAACCCCTTTTCATTCCAGGACCTGGTGGCTAATGGGGCCCTTGTTAGCATTTGTAACAAGTATGGAGAGATGCCTGTGGACAAAGCCAAGGCACCTCTGAGAGAGCTCCTCCGAGGTCTGTCCCCCAACTCCAGTTTGTATCCTCTTGTCTTGTCCCTGCCTATCTCCTCGCTCCGTACTACAACTGGGACCAAAGCTGTTTTTCTTCCCCAGAGCGGGCAGAGAAGATGGGCCAAAACCTTAACCGTATTCCATACAAGGACACATTCTGGAAGGGAACCACCCGCACTCGGCCCCGTGAGTCAGTTGTAAGGGGAGGGGTGGTCAAGGGAATAACCCTGGGCTGCTGGAGCTGGGTTATGGTGAAGCTTGGGTACCTGACCTGCCCACACTCTCAGGAAATGGGACTCTGAACAAACACTCCGGCATTGACTTCAAACAGCTCAACTTTCTGGCGAAGCTCAACGAGAATCACTCTGGAGAGGTGACCCTGCCTTTCTTGCCCCTCCCTCCCCAATCTCCTACAAATTACCTGCTCTGCACCTGTTTTTAAGTTTTTCTTCCAGTTAGTGGACAAGAAAGCAGTGACCTTAGTTAAAGCTTCCTAACCCTTACCTGTCTCTCAGCTATGGAAGGGCCGTTGGCAGGGTAATGACATCGTTGTGAAGGTGTTAAAGGTTCGAGACTGGAGTACAAGGAAGAGCAGGGACTTCAACGAGGAGTGTCCCCGTCTCAGGTGGGGCAAAGCCTAAACAGGAAGCTGCTGGTTCCAAGGAACCCTGACTAGCACCCAAAGGGAGATCTTTTATGCTGATCTCAGCTAGGGATACTGTCCTTCTTCCAGGATTTTCTCGCATCCAAATGTGCTCCCAGTGCTAGGTGCCTGTCAGTCTCCACCTGCTCCTCACCCCACCCTCATCACACATTGGATGCCATATGGATCCCTGTACAATGTATTACACGAAGGCACCAGTAAGTAGTGGATACCAAATCTCATGGGATGGGGGGCAGGGTGTGTGAGCCTCCCCAAACTATTTGACTCTTGCCTCCTTAGATTTCGTTGTGGACCAGAGCCAGGCTGTGAAGTTTGCATTGGACATGGCAAGGGGCATGGCCTTCCTACATACATTAGAGCCCCTCATCCCACGACATGCACTCAATAGCCGTAGTGTAATGGTGAGGTCACACTTCACTCCTGGCCCAGGCCCCCAGAGCCCTTTCCCTGTCTAGAATAGGACTTACCTCCTTCCACATATCTATCTTCTCTTCCTCAGATTGATGAGGACATGACTGCCCGAATCAGCATGGCCGACGTCAAGTTTTCCTTCCAGTGCCCTGGGCGTATGTATGCACCTGCCTGGGTGGCCCCTGAAGGTGAGTGAGGGCATCATGTTGGGAGGTAGAGGAGGGCCAGCTCAGTAGTAATGGAAGGGGCAGAGACAGGATAGGCAGCTGGAACAGTTAAGTCCTGTTCCTCCAGCTCTGCAGAAGAAGCCTGAAGATACAAACAGACGCTCAGCAGACATGTGGAGTTTTGCAGTGCTTCTGTGGGAACTGGTGACACGGGAGGTACCATTTGCTGACCTCTCCAACATGGAGATTGGAATGAAGGTGAGAGCACAACTGTATGCACTTGTGTTGGGGGAATGGTGGTGGTGGTGACAATAACTATAGCAGGGCTGGGCTCTTCCCATATTTGTTCAAATATACAGTAATACTGTCCTGAGGACTAAGAGGCCTCTCCCTGCAGGATATTCAAGTTCTGAGACCCATTTTGTTTTTTCCTGTATTTGCAGGTGGCACTGGAAGGCCTTCGGCCTACCATCCCACCAGGCATTTCCCCCCATGTGTGTAAGCTTATGAAGATATGCATGAATGAAGACCCTGCTAAGCGGCCCAAGTTTGACATGATTGTGCCTATCCTGGAGAAGATGCAGGACAAGTAGAGCTGGAAAGCCCTTGCCTAAACTCCAGAGGTGTCAGGACACGGTTAGGGGAGTATGTCTCCCCAAAGCAGCAGGCCTCTGGTTGCCTCCCCTGCCTCCAGTCATGGTACTACCCCAGCCATGGGGCCCATCCCCTGCCCCCATCCCTACCACTGCAGCCCCCAAAGGGGCTAGGCTCAGAGCTTTGTCACTTGCCACACGGTATCTCCCAGCATGGGAGGGACCAGCCCTGCCTGTCACAATAAAGTTTATTATGAAAACAGGCTGGTGTGGGGACAAGGGGACAGACAAGTACATTTAGGTTGGGTGGCTCAGGTGAAGTAGTGCGGCTTCTTCACATTGATGCCATACTCGCTGAGGGCAGGGGTCAAGTCCTCCATGGTTAGAGTGTACTTGCGGTCCTGAGGGAAGAGGGAAGAGCACCAGCTGAGCACAGGAATCCCAGATTTCAATCCCAGGTGGGTGACCCTGAGTAGGTCTTTCACCTCCCCTAGGGCTTAGTTTCCCCAAAGGGATTTCAGAACAAATTAAGCCTCTGATGCTGTGGGAGGTAATTACTGATTCAATGAGCCTCCCCTCACACCTTGCTCTTGCTTCGGGAGCTGCCAGAAGCTGTGCCCTTCATTTTGCAGTGCTGTAGGGCATCGTTGGCAATATCTGAGATGAATTTCTGGGCAGCTAGGGAGATGAGCCGAATTCTAGAGAGAAAAAACTGGTGTGAGAAGATGGGACAATAAACTCCACACAAGCACTCAAGACTCTTAACCTACCCACCCAGACTGTACTCACATGCGTGGGTCCGAGGCCTCAAAGCCAGCACGGTTCAGGTAGTAGCCAGTCACTGCGTCTGGGATCTGAGAGATCAATGAGATGACTGTCAGTAGTATTTGCCCTGGGCGCTGCGGGGCTGAGAGGGTGAGGGAAATGGAGGGCAGGCCTGGCTTTTAGGAAGCTCACAGTTTGGGTGGGCAGAGGGGATAAATCAAAGAGCTAGTAGGGGAGCAAGTACAAAAGGAAGCTGGAAATCCACGCGGTGTAGCAGAAAGTTGGCCTGACAGCGCGCCAATAGCCTTGTTCAGGCAGGAAGCCCACCGTAGGCGTGTAATCCTCCAGCTGCATCAGGAAATCCACCAGAGGCGTGCTGGACACCACCGGCTTCACGTCTCCGTTGGCCGCGCTCGGCAGTACATAAACCCCGTTAGACATGGCCCCCTCCGGGGGCGCCGCGCCTCCCGCCGACACCGGAGCTGGAGGAGAACCAGCAAACAGACATGGAGGTGGGAGATGCGGGGCCCCGGCTAGGTCGGCCTCAAACCCTCTGCCCTCACCCGCCACTGGACCCAGCCCTAGGCGCTGCCCTCACCCTCACCCGTCCCTCACCCGCCCCACGCCGCTCGGCCGGCTCCCCGGCCCGCGCCGCCACGGGTCCCGTGCCCCCTGCCGCAGCTCCAGCCCCAGGTCCCCCTGCTGTCCCCGCGGGGCTGGCCTTATTCTCCGCAGCGGTGCCAGCGGGCAACGCTGCGGGGGCCGAGACCGCGGGCGCCGGGCCCGGGGCCGAGGCGGCGGAGCCCGGCGCCGCCTCGGGGTCCGCGCCGGAGCCGCTGCAGCTCATCGGGCCGGTGGGAGAGGCGGCGAACAGAGCCGCTTCCGCTTCCGCTCACGTTACGCACACACCAAGGGTGACGTCACACGCCCCGCGCTTTGCCCCTCCCATGCCATGTTTGCTGTCTCTCGGGTCTCCCGCCTCCCGGTTGTTTACCAGCCAGTGAGACGCTTCCGACAGGCCGCCTCCCACCCGCCCGTACTCCTAGGCCCTTTCGCCGGGATGTCAACCATCAATGTCTAGCACGCTTTTCCGCGGGTCTGGGACCCCTCTGGGAACCTGGCGCTTAAAGACCTCGTTTTGGGACACCCCTCAACCACAGGTTGCCTGCCAGTCTGCATCCTTTCTAGTTCCCTTACTCAGCCTTTTAAGGGTTGGAAAGCCCCACTCCCCTCCAGCTGCCAGAAGTGAGGACAGCAGGGGAGCGAATAGTGCTGCTGTAGCTAGGAAGGGAGGTATTTCAGCTTGAGTATGCAAAATCACGTATGTTTGCAATATATGCAAAATCACGAGTGAGGGTGGGGTTTTCAAGCAACAAACATTTATTTAATTCCTATTTGCCAATCCTGAGCTAGGGCCTGGGAGTACAAAGTTCGGTAGGACAAGACTCTAGTCCTCTAGGCACCAACAGTCTTCAAAGGGAGGCAAAGAGGTAAACTGGCATTTTCAATACTATGCTGGAGTTACAATACTAGAGGTAGACACAGAGTATGCAGTGCAAAGGAGAAAGGGAACTAACATCTGCTGCCTACTTCTTTGTGTCAGGCACTCTATCAATTTTATTCCATTTAATTATTCCCTGATTATTGTTAGAGGCAGGTACTGATATCCCCACTTAACAGAGGAGGGAAAAGACTCAGGGAGATGGACTTGTCCAAGGCTCTCTCCCAGTCTACATCAGAACCAAGAATCAAACAATGTTTGGTTTGAAAAAAAATCTGGGATTTTTCTGCTATACCAAATCATTTTCTGCTATACCAAAATCAACTAGCTTCAGAGAGCCAAAGGTTCACTGGAGAAGACTTCTGAGCTGGGTCTTCAAAGAATCCTGGAAACCAACCAGGCAAAGGGAGTCAGGGGTCATGTTAAGGGCACAGAATATCTTGAGCAAAAGTGAAAGGGGGGAAGTGGAGGAAGGGGGAAGGAGAACACGGGAGGATAAACAATTTGTTACTCAGGAAAAATAGCAAGGAAAGGATCAGGTTTGTGAGTCAGAGCAAAAAGCCAGAACTTCATCAGTAATCTTTGAAGGGTCTTAAGTAAATGACCTGATGGGATTTGCATTTTACTCTGGAAAAATGGTTTTATGGACAGGCAGGAAGTAAGGACATCTTTTTCAAGAGCCTCCTAGAATTCAGAGGAGAGAAAATATGGTTCTAAGCTAATTTAGTAGCAGTAGAGATGGAGAGAAGTAAATGAGTTCTAGATATTCTTAGGAAATGTTAGGCAGGACTTGTGGATTGATAAAAATATATTTAAGAGGTGAAATCAGTAGAACTTATTGACAGTGGTAATAGGGAGTGGGAGGTGGAGGAAAGGGGAGTCTAAGATAATACTTAGGCTTCTGGCTTGCTTGGAAGAAGCATAGTCTCATCTACCAAGAAGGAACACAAGAGAATGGTCTGGAATTGGGAAGGAGGGAGATGAAGTATTGAGTGTCATACACCTTGCATTTGAGGTATCAATCATCGTCTGATAGAAAGTCTGATTTACGGAGGGGTAGACGAACCATGAGAGATGATGGACTCTGAAAAACAAACTGAGGGTTCTAGAGGGGAGGGGGGTGGGAGGATGGGTTAGCCTGGTGGTGGGTATTGAGGAGGGCACATTCTGCATGGAGCACTGGGTGTCATGCACAAACAATGAATCATGGAACACTACATCTAAAACTAATGATGTAATGTATGGGGATTAACATAAGAATAAAAAAATAAAAATTAAAAAAAAAAAAGTCTGATTTAGTGAGATGGTGACAGCTGTGGATACAGGTGACTAACTTGTTCCAGGGAACACTGGGTAGATTGAGAAGAGCAAAAGAGTAAAGATGAAGCAATCAAGTATACCAACATTCAATGAGGAAGAAGAGAAAGAGAAGGAAGAAGAGGGAATGGTCAGAAAAGAAGTTAAGCCCTGAAGGCTAAAGAAGGAGAGGCAGTGGACAGCTGTGACAGAGAGCCCATAAAGCAAAGGCTGGGAAGAGTGCACTGGATGAAGCAGCAGGACGGCCATTGCTATCATTGTCAGGGGAGGAAAGAGGGAAAAAGTGAGAGCAGAGGTCTCACTGCACTGAACTGAGGAGAGAACATGAAGTGAAACAGTGTACACAGAGAGCATAGACAACTCTTCGAAAAAGCCTGGTTGAAAAGAGGAAGAAGAAATGGGGGGGAGTGAAATAGGGGGGTTCGGGGGCGCCTGGGTGGCTCAGTCGTTAAGCGTCTGCCTTCGGCTCAGGTCATGATCCCAGGGTCCTGGGATTGAGTCCCACATCGGGCTCCCTCCTTGGCGGGAAGCCTGCTCTCCCTCTCCCACTCCCGCTACTTGTGTTCCTGCTCTCGCTATCTCTGTCTCTGTCAAATAAATAAATAAAATATTTAAAAAAAAATAGGGGGGTTTGGGGGGTCCCAAACAATACTAGTTATAGCATCTATAGAGAAACATGAGGCAGGAGTAGGGAGACGTGAGCGTGATAGAGTAGGGTAGGGTTGGGAGTCAAGTCAAGCTCACAAAATTTCAGGGTTAGGGAGATAAGCTGTCTGCAGCAGTCTATGGTTGAGGGTTCAGCAGGGCTTCCAACAGTGCAGAATAAGGGACCAAGCCAGCAGCTATGGGGCAGGGGATAGGTTCACTCTCCAGCAGGAAAGGGTCACGGGTTGATTAGTGTCTTCAGCAGAGCTGGGAAGTTGGGTGTTCCCCAGCCTGTCACAGGATCCCAGCCAGGGCCAGAGCAGAAACCCTGACCCTGCACCTCTTCATTCAGACAGGACTCATGGCAGCCATGGGTTACCTAGGGAGAAGGTGGATATCAGATCTGGGCCTGTCTGTACCAGTACTAACAGACTAAGCCCCCTTACCTTGTATTTACATTTCAGGACCCCGTCAGAACTGCCCTCAAGTTCATCTTTGCACTCCCCATATTCATGAAAATGTCCACACCCTTCCCTTCCATACTCACATCAAAGAGTCCTGCTCCACGCTGCTGGTAGAGCCTTGGGTTGAGAAAGCCAAGAGGGGGGTGGCCACTGAGGATTCTATGTTCATTTATCAGGGACAGGACCCCACCAAATACTGGAGTAGAGGCCTATAAGAGTGAGGGTGTAAGTAGAAGTTAGGGGTTCAGAGTGATTGGATTTGGGGGAGGGATGTTTGAAAGGATCAGAGGTCTCTGAGGAGACAGGGGTTCTGGGTGCAAGGTCTTAGTAGAGGGTGAGCATAGTTCCTGAGTGGGGGCTTGGAGCCAGGCTGATTCTTACCGAGGTGCCAGACACCCATGGAATGGGCACGCTGTTGCTGACCACCCAGTAGCCATCGGAGAGTGCAGCCACATCTGGATAGGCACGGCCACTGGCATTGAAATAACTGGATGGTGGTAAGTGGGGACTGGAGCTCAGGAACTGGGCTACAGCTTCCTCCTGAAAGATGTTGTTGAGTGAGTACTGTCTGCTGAACTGAGGATCCCTCCCACCCATCCATCCATCCAGACACATACACATACCTGGTATGAAGGCTGTGGGAACACATTGCTGAAGCCACCACCACTGATGTAGTCAACGATCTCATTTGTGACTCGGAATGGATTCTGGAAGGATGTGCCTCCCACTGTGGTGACATAGGGGCTGAAAGCAGAAAACAGCACTCACACTGTATGGGTTCCAAGGGGACTTCCAAAATGTGTGGAGATGGGTAAGTGTGGGCTCGCTTTGCTAGAGGGGCTGGACTCTGTGGGGAAGCAGGTACATGAGAAAGACTAAGAGATTTTGAGCCCTCAAGGCATGGCCTGAGGTGACAGTGCACACTTTTGTCTACAGAACATTCACCAAATCTTCTACTAAAATGCCTGGGAACTGAGAAGAGGAATACTGGGAACTGCATTCCACCCAGAAGCCATGGGGCCTAGACATGTAGGAAGAAGGGAATGCAGCAACCAGAGCTGGTTAAACTGAGGTCTTAGCTACAGGAGCACCTGGTGGGGTCAAAGCAAAGTTCTAGATCATGCAGCCATAGATGAAGATTGGTGGTCACAGGTAAGTAGTGGGCTGGGGTGCTTACCTGGAGGCAGGGAAACTGGGACGGAACTGGTGTCTTCCAGAGACAGACCAACACCCAGCCCCACTGTCACCTGGGAGAAAGACCAAGTTTAGCACTCAGATTAATTGGTCAGAGCTTGATATGTGGGTTCAGATGTCAGAGAAGAAATTCAAGAGTTAGTCATTACTGCAAGAGGTCTGAGTTTAGAGGTCAGATCAATGGTCCCTACTGAGTTCAGATTGTAAGTCAGCGATCACAAGGGTCCCCGTGGGGTCAAAACTCCTGAGTTGAGGTAGGGTCTAAGTTTAGAGTAGGAGGTCACCTGAGGCAAAGAGCAGGGTAAGACCCCGAGCGGCTGCCTTCATGAGCTCCGTGTTGACCCGCTGGGTGTAGGCGCTGCTGAGGGAGTCCTCGTCATCCCCATAGCTCACGGTGTGCACATGCGGCAGGGCTGACTCATTACTCAGCAGCAGGAGCCACTGCAGGAAGGGCTCCTGTGACTCATGTCGGCCTGGATTTGGGGGGAGGGGAGGAGCACAAGGGCGGTCCTTTGGGAGGTTGTCACGGTCTCCCTCTAGCTCATGGGATTCCCTTGAGGGAGCAGTGAGCACCACTCACGACCACCCCTCTCCCCACCCACCAGTCCCCTTGGCAGTACCAGGGCTACTGTAGACCCAGGTGGAGATGTTGGCGCCGGCACTCATCAGGTATTCCACGTCTAGACTGGCCTCGATCCCAGCCCGGCCCCAGCCCTGCTGTCCAACCACACGGGCTACTGATGCCTGGTGTGCAAATTTCCCACCGAAGAGGCGCATGAACTCAGCCAGGTCCGAGTCATGGAAATACTGCTCCAGGAACTACAGAAGGATTCAGATCAGGTATCATGGGTCAGAGGATGCAGCCCCAAGGTCAGGCCAGGGGACACCATTCCAGATAGGGGGTGAGGACCCAGGGGAGGAGTGAGAAAGCAAGCCCCAGCCTGGGGAGGCATCTTGGGTAGGGTGTCAGGACCCTGGAGCTCTCTGTCCGGCTCACCTGGGCACAGGCTTGGCTGTTGTTGGTTGTGCCAGAGCCCACGTCTTGTGCTGTCAAGTTGTATCGCTGACGGATCACGGATGGGGTCACCCCCAGGTGCAGGCCAACAGTCCCTGACACCTGTGGCTCTGGGCGTTGCCTCAGGGATGATGTGGGGGGAAAGCGGTGCAGCCCGCCCACTGTGGGGAGGGGTCAGGCTTGAGGAGGAGATCTTTTAGACTCCAACCCCCACTTTACCACAGATCCCACCTCAAACCCCCCCATGGCACCTAAACTTTTCCAGCCCCTGGTTCTGCCTGCTTCAAACCCCACCGACCCCACTGGGTGTTACCAAAGTCCACATGAGGGGCCAAGGCCTTCGGCAGGTGGTATGGACGTGGGGACCTTATAACATGGATCTCTGCAGGTCCCCCCACATAGCGATGAAACTCAGCCCCAGGGAGCAGCAGTTCTGCCTGTCTGGAGGTCAGAGATCAGAGAACAGAGGTCAGAAAGCAGCACAGACCAGAGCAGAGGAGGCTACCTGAGCATTACTGCTCATTCTTGTCTCCCTGTGTGTTAGCTCTCACCCACAAGCTCCCACCAGCTTCTCAGCTCTCTCCCATTGGGGTGACTCATCTCCCTGATGGGATGATTGGTACCCTCCACGGGGCAATCCTTCCCTCTCACCGGACACTCAGCCAGCAAGTCAGAAAGTCCTGTGTGGTCACTGAGTGGCAGTTCCGGGCTCCAGCTGCCAAGAGCCATTTTTGGACTGTGCGGAAGGTCAGTGGTGATGGCCGGACCAGTTCAGCCACATCCTCTAGGGTCAGGTATTTTCCTGCAGGGATTCAGTAGAGGATCTTGACTTCATTCATTGCTTTTCCAAGTTGCCCATTTTGGACCTCAGCCAGGACATTGGGACTTCCCAGGGAACCTGGTACAGGGTCTTGAGGGATAGGTGGGAACTTTCTAGCAAAAAGGCAGGCTGTGCAGGTACAAGCTATATTTGGGAGCCAGGAGAAGAAAAGGCTAGGGAGACTTGGAATGCCATGGCCAGAAATATGGATTTACCCTAAAGGCCAGAAGGTTGCAAATGCTGCATCAGAACATGTATTGCCATAATCATAAACAACAAATGAGATTAAAAATTAAAATTTCCCATATTAAGTTTATTTCCAGTAAAAGTTCTCAAAACTTTCAGAACCAATTATAAAGTGACATCTAATTCAGTTACAGTCTTCGTACTTGTTGATTTTAAGCTTAACGTGATGGTGAGTCACTGTTTTCCTACAGAGTGCCATGTACACAGCTCCAGGGTGAATCTGAGCCTTCCCCCTCACACACATACCACTGCCACCCAACCATGAAGGGCTTCATGCAGGGGAGGGACACTATCCAGCATGACCACTGGAACAGAACACTGTTTGGGAGCAGAGTAGGGGGCAGGGTGGGGAGTGGGGTGAACCACTCCAGACTGGGCAGCAGTCTGGGTGCAAGAATAAACAAATGGGTGGGCGGTAACAAGCAATGGTAGAAAGCAGAGGACTCCAAAGGCTCTTTCAGAACCAGAACTGGAGATGATAGCTCTAGAGTCTGACTGGAGGAGGAAACAGGCATGGGTTTGAGGGTGGGGAAAGAATTTGAGTTGATGAGCACCTATCTGTACTGGATACTACGTCCCATGTGTCTGGTAAGTAGTAGCAGAATTTGAGTCCAGATTTGATCACACAGCTTGTGCTCTTAACTTTCAGGTTTCTAGCCTGATAAACATAGGTGGGGAGTTTTGGGGGAAGGAATTTGAGTGAGTTTTGGACAGTTTATTTCCTGTTCACTTTTTTTTAATTCAGAAACTCTTCAATGAGGGCCACTGCCATTCAACTGTCCTATATCACCACCTCCCTAGGCACCAAGGGCATGACCCTGACGTTATGTGCGCCATCCCACACTCAGCCCAGCCCTGGAGTCCCTTCACTGCATCCCACTTCCCAGCCCCAGTCCCTATTTCAATAGGCACCATAACGAGGAGAGCCAGGATCCGACACAGCCTGCACCAGCTCGGACAACGTTTCCACGTTCTGCTGTCTCAGGGCAAAGGTGAGACTCAGCTCTTCCTCGTAGTCTACACGGCCCAGGGACACCCAGCCTGGGGGCAACCTGCAGGGTCAGAGGTCAGGAACATGGCCTTTGTTAGTGTGGGGATGGGAAATATTAGTCATGGAAGGTTCAGGATTAGGGGCTGAGACCTGGGGTAGGATCCCAGGGGCAGATACGGCTCACAGGAGGTGAATGATTGGGGACTGAGCCTGGGAACCTGGGGATAAGACTATGGAGTGGGTACCAGGAGCTGGTAAGGGGGTGAGGGAGGCTGGGCCAAGACAGTGGGCATAGGACAGGGCATAGGAAAGGGGGCGGTCTGTGCTAAGTCAACTCACGTCCGCTGCTGGTCCGGCTCCGGGCTATAACTGCATTGGCCAGCGACTAAGAGGGCAAGGAGCCCGACGAGGCTGCAGAGGCGGCAGGCGGGTTTCAGCAGGGGCCGGGCTGCCACTGTATTCCCACCCTCCAACCTGACCCCCTCCTCCCGGGGCCCCCTAATTTCTTACCAGGTTCGGAGTCTCATTCTGCCTTTCTGGAGATCCGCTGTCATGTGACAGATCACATGAGCCTTATAGTCTACCGCGAGCACCAACACCACGCGGCTGCGGGGAAACTCGTGCCCGTGCTGGCTCCTCCTTCAAATGGGTGGTCCTAAATGCTGGAGATGGGTGGGGTTGCCGCCCGATCCTTCCTCTGCGGCCCCGCCAGCACTGGGTTCGTCCGGGCTCCAGACGCCCTCCCCGACCCCCGCCCGCACTGGGTTCGTCCCGGGCTCCAAACCCCACCCCACCCCACCACCGCCCCCCACCCCCGCCCCGGCTGCCGGAGTCCAGCTGGCACCCACCAAAGGGTGTAGGGCAGTGCTTAAGGAAGGGGCCCTGGGGCACACAGACCCACAGACCAGGGTTCCTCCTTAGCTGTATGTTACCGGGAAAGCACCCAACCTCTCGGAGCCTAGGTTTCATTTAGAATACGGAAGCGGCTGTATTTAAAGTGCTCTGCCTCACAGAATTGCAGTGAACATGTACAGAGATAAAGCAGGCACACCGCTCAGCAGAGAGCCTGGTGTGGCAAAGGCTCAAGAGACGTGAGCTCTTGTTCTATGTGGACCCTCAGGCCTAGAGCTGGCCATCCCCAAGATCTTTCCTCACCCAGCCAATCCCTCTCTATGTCAGTGCCTTAAGGAAGCCCCTGCTGTCTGCCTTCTGTCTGGCTTCCCAGCCCTTGTGAGTCGGAAAGGCCAACTGCAGACATGTGACACTCAGCCTCAGGCTCGGCTTGGGCTCCCAGTGCCATCCCCACCCTAGATGCCTGTGTCCACCACCCCTCTGTGCCCCCTGAGGTGTCCACAATGTATCAGATGCCTGGCAATCATCCCCCGGCCCCACGGCCCCCACAGAATACAGCCGGACACTGGATACAAACTGCAGTTTATTAAGGCTCCAGAGTGAGAATTGGCACTTGGTTCTGTGCAGGGGCAGGGGTGTCAGTGGAACCCAAAGGAGCTGGGCCCAAATAGGTTGGAGGGACCTCCCCCATCCCCCTACCCCCCAATAAATAAAGTCTCAGCTCCACCTCAGGGTGCTGGTGCAGGGCAGGAAGCCCTCACTGAGGAGAACCCAGGGCTGCTGCCTCCTTCATATTTCTCCCCGCATTGGACCTGGCCCCAGGTCAGTGCCCAACAGAGCCTCTGTGGCACTGTGCTCTGATGGGGCAGGGTGAGATGTGGGACCTACCCTCACTGGAGGGGTTTAGGATGGGGAGCTGGCCTCCCCCGTGGTCAATCATGGTCCGAGGCTGCCCAGGGCAGGCTCAGATGGGGCCTGCATTGGGGACGCTGTGCGCATCCCAGGTCGGGGCCCAGCCTGGGCCACAGCTAGATGTGCAGCTCTGTGTCATCGGGTGGCTCCAGGCCGGACTCTGCGCTGAGTGCTGAGGCTGAGGGGCCCTGGGCCACCCCAAATGGCGAGACAACGGGTGAGCGAGCAGCCAGAGGAGACAGTGAGGGTGAGAAGCTGGGAGACATGGCAGCTGAGGATAGGGAGCCTTCGTGGCTGATGGGGGAGCGGTGAGAGGCTGGTGGGAAGATGGCCCGGGTTGCTGCCGTGCTGGCTGGCTTAGGGGGCACAGACTTGGCTCCTGGGTGGGCCACAGCAGTGATGAGGGGTGGTGGGTCAATACGGGGAGCCGGGGGGCATGGCCGAGCTTCATCCTTGAGCCGGGCAATCTCTGTGAAGACACTGGCCAGTGGCTGGAACTGAGGGCACCAGCTCAGCAGGTAGTCCCAGTTATAGCTGCCACGGAGCTCCTCCTCACCAGCCACAATGGCTGTCAGTGCACCTGCCACACATGGCTTGCCATCTGCTGGGAAGCCATAGTCCCCGGTGGGTGCAGGGCTCAGGCCACAGCCCCCCAGGAAGGCTGTGGCAGGGGCTGGTGGGCCCTCTTCTCGGTACAGAGTGGCTCCTGCACCTGGCAGCAGCAGCCCTGCCTTGCGGCCCTTATACCAGGTGTCAGGGGCAGGTGGCTCGCAGGATGTGTCACTCAGTCCATCTGCATCCTGCTGGATGCCTGAGTCGGGGCCACGGGCAGCCAAGGAAGAAGCCACACTGGCCACACGCGGGAATTCATTGATCATGCGGATCTCGTCATCCTCTGCAGCCTCTGCTGAGCCTCGACCACTGGAGTGTGAAGGGTCCAAGGAGCCACCTCGGGGGTAGGGTCCTCCAGCTCCTGGCCCACCATAGCTGGGGAGAGTCTGGTGATAGAGGTGCTCTGAGGGTGGTGGGCTGGGTGGCTCTCGGCCTAGCTTCTGCAGAGAGCCACTGGCCAGGGGCGCTGCCTGTGACATCGGACCAGGTGCTGCCTCAGCCTTGCGGCTACGGGCCCGCACCAGCCCTAGGACCAGGGCTGCTAGTGCAAGCACCACCACAACTCCCAGGGAGGCCGCCACAGCCCCCACCAATAGCAGGTTGAGGTCGGGTGCCAGGCCTAGTGCAGTGTGGGTGATATCCACAGTCACGGGCACTGTGGCACTCCGGGAACCAGGCAGAGGCCCCCGTGCCACCACCTCCAGCCTCAGCTCCCGTGGTGCCTCACGCCGTGTCCGGCCTCCACTCCCAGAAGTGCCTGTTCCGCTGCCTGGTGCCCGGCTGTCCACTCGAAGGTACAGGGCACCTGTAGTCTGGTTGATACCAAAATAGGGGGAAGAGGTGGCAAGGGAATAGAGCACCAGGCCATCGGCACCTCCATCCTCATCTGTGGCCTGCACATGACCCAGGCTGTAGCCACGCCGGGCACCTTCTGGCACCTGGAAGTGGAAAGCCGGAGCCAGGAATACTGGGTCATACTCATCCTCCCCTGTCACCAGTACGGACACAGTGACCGAGGCTGAGAGATTCCCAGCATCCACAGCACCCACCAGCAGCTGGAAGCTTCCTGTGTGCTCATAGTCAAAGGCCACTCGTGCCCGCAACTCCCCTGTTGAGCTGTTCAGTGCAAATGCTTCACGGCCCTCAGGCCCTGGCCCGGCCTCCAACAGGCTGTAGCGGAGCCTCCCAAAAGCCCCAGCATCCCCATCAATCGCATGCAGAGTGGTCACAAGAGTGCCTGGAGGCTGGTTCTCTGACAGGCTGGTGCTGAGCAAGCTCAGTGGGAAGACTGGGCCATGGTCATTCACATCCTGGACCTCGATGGTCACTGGTGCCAGAGCAAAGTGTGCCCCAGCAGGGTCGGCAGCCTGCACTACAAGCTGATGTCGAGCCTGGGTCTCACAGTCCAAGGGGCGGGCGAGTCGCAAGGCACCTGAGCTCTCATCCAGTTCAAAGAGCCCAGAAGGGTCACCTGAGCTAAGGGTGAAACGCACAAGGCCATGAGGACCCGGGTCAGCGTCAGAGGCCTCCACATGCAGCAGCTCAGTTCCAACAGGTGTGTCCTCGGGAACCGCCATGCGGTAGGACGCTCGAGTGAAGACAGGGGGGTTGTCATTGACATCCAGCACAGTGACGGTGACAGGCACGGCTGAACTGCGAGAAGGCTGCCCCCGGTCAGCTGCAGCCACAGTTAAGTTGTACTGGGTTAGGCTTTCAAAGTCTAGAGGCTCAAGCAACACCAGGCAGCCCAGTGCCCGGGGGCCTAGTCCATTACCTTCCTCAGTCTCAGCCAGCCGGGGTTCCAGCTGGAAGACTCGGCCCCGGTTGCCACTGACAATGCTATAGTCCACGGTGGCATGGGTGCGGCTTCCATCGGCATCCGTGGCCTCCAGGGTGAGCAGGGTGGAACCAGGGGGCAGATCCTCAGTCACAGCCACACGGTAGTGTGGCAATGTGAAGCTGGGGGTGTGGTCATTCTGGTCCTGCAGCTGCACATGCACTGTGGCTCTTGCTGCCCGTCCTGGCATCCCATGATCTCGTGCTTCCAGCACCACGTCCACCACTCCTGGCCCCTCCTGGCCCAAGGCCACTGTCCCCACTGTTGTGAACAAAGTCCCTGAGATGAGAAGGGAATGGAGAGAAATATGCATTCAGCAGACGCTGTAGGTGAGTACAGGGGTGATCCTTTGGGGGGCCTAAGAAATGGCTTTGGAAGTCAGACTCCAGGGAATGGCCTATGTGCTGGGAATTTATGGAATGGTCTCCAGGATTCACGAAATGGCTTCTGGACATGCAGTCAGGACAGAGCTTAAAACAGAGACAAAGGAGGGAAAATGTTCTCACTGGGTCAGAGATCCAGGAGTTAAGAATTCAGGCAAATTCTAGGAATGGAGTGAAAATATGGCCAATCATGGTCAAAGATAAGGGGTCAGATCCTGGGAAGGACGTACCATTGTTGGAGTCAACACTGAAGCCCTCAGCAGGGGAAGCTAGGTGGTAGGAAATGTGACCATTGGCACCTGAATCCCGGTCAGTGGCAGAGACGGAGAGAATGGCACTGCCTGGAGGTGTGTGTTCAAGCAGTGTCACCTGAGGAGTGAGGACAAGTGTTTATGGCTGTTTCCCAGCTGCCCTATTGTCCACTCAGCCTATGTTCTGGAGCTTGGTCCCATGAGCCCTGCTTGGCATCCATGCCAGCTTGAAGCCCATACTCAGTGTTCAAACTGCCCACCTTCCTCCATTTCTGGGCACAGGATGAAGAACCTGGACATAGCTCCTAGGACTTGGAAGGCTGGTTTGAGATGGGACCCTCCCATCCCCAGGGCTCCATCCTCAGGTCAGTTCCAACATCCAGCCCACCTCAGACACTTCTAGCCTTGCCACTTCCTTCCAACATGAACAACCCTGGGCCCAGGTGTGGGGTCAGCTGGGGACATCAGTACCTGGTAGAGGCTCTGTGAGAAAGCAGGTGCATTGTCATTGACATCCTCCACAAATACTGTGAGGTTAGCATGGCCCTCATGAGGTCCATCATGTGCCAGCAGCTGCAGGTGATAGCAGTCACGTTGCTCAAAGTCCAGGGGGCCCGTGAGGGAGAGGCGGCCTCCATAGCGACCTACACTGAAGGGATCCTGGGGTCCAGATGGGCTCAGCACGTACCACAGCACCGGTCCTGAGTCCACATCATTCCCTGTTACCTGTGCAATCTCTGAGCCCAAAAGTGCATCTGCAATACATGGGACAAGTGTGTTTGGCATGGTCCAAGACACCCCTGGAGCCCCAGGGTGGG